TTGCACTATTTATATATCTGAGAGATATAACGATAAATAAATATACCTTTAATCATATTTCTAGTGTCATCACAACCTGAACAATGAAAAGTAGATTTTATTTCCAACAGGAAAACATAAGTTGGGGTGTTGTGCTGACTGATTGCTCTGTTCTCCTATTGGCTGTAATTTGGTGGATTTACATTTTAGTCCACCAATCACAGTTAAGTAAGGGATTGCTGGACTCATGCAATATATATGACATCAGGATGAAGCCTCTGGGGCGCCGTTGCCCCAGGGAGGGCCTCTACGGGTGCTGTTACCCCTGGGAGGACCGCTGGGACGCTGCCGCTCTTGACAAAGCCCCTGGGTGCGCCACCATCGCTGGGAGAGCCCCTGGGGGCACTACCGCCCCTGGAAGGGCTCCTGGGGTCGCCAACGCCCCTAGGAGGTTCCATGGGAGCACCCACACTCCTGGGATGACCTCTGACCCCTGGCTTTGCTAGGGCCTCTGGGGCCTTTGGCCCTGGTAGTAGTACGAGTTCCTGGTCCTGGTAATACCATGGGGCCACTGGGGGCCTGGCAGGGCCCCAGGGGGCATCCCGGTAGTCCCATGGAAGCATGGTAAGCCCTCTTGTACTCCTCTATGGCCCCCTGGTAATCCCATGGGGCCCCTTTAATTAAAATATTCCAGTCGTCATTACAACCAATAATTACCCCGCAATCGAATTGTGGACTATAAATTCGTAACCAGCATGTTCAAGAGCACTGGAGCCTGTATTTGGGGTGCACTTTAGTCTATTTTCTCTTTTAGGTCCACATACACATGCAACTTAAAGGAAATCTTGCACTCAGGATGGAGGTGAGAAAGGAAACTCAAAATTGTCTTAACCCAACGTATATTGTATATACAATGCTGTAGGTTGGTGGAGAGTTGTGTGGTTGAGGAGCTTCAAGAGAGTTGGTGTTGTCAGGTGGAGAAGGCGGAGTAGAATGACCTTTACGGCGAGGCAGGGGGGTATTTATCCAATCCTCCCTACTCAAGGATGCAGGCCGTGGTGTGAGCGGCGCTGCCGATTGGCTGATGGTGAGGACAGCTGCCAGTGAGGGAGGGTGGCTCGAGTAGGCCAAGCACCTGTAGGGAAAGTTAACCAATACAATACTCCCCCTCCCCTCCGGGCGCTGCAGGATGCTTCTTGTAAGCATAATCGCATCCCACGTGCGAGGCATGGCAGGAAGGGGTGCGAACCACTCGGCCGCTGAGTGACAACTCCGTCGAATGGCTCATAATCTGTGGGAGAATCAGCAGGAAAAGCATTGGGAGTGGGAGGGTTGTACATATGAGAAGGGTGAGCGGTGGGAGGAATATGCGAGGAATGTGATGGTTCTCTCGCGGCAGATGCGAAGTCCTCGGGGGCGCTGGGTGGGATGTCTGGGTCTACAGGGCCAGGTGCAGGATCATCAGGAGCAGGACCAAGAGCAGTGGGTACCTGAGGATGAAAAGACGGCACCAAGAAATGTTGTGGACGAGGTGGTGCTGCAAGTAGCAACGGTGGGCAGACTGGTGAAGGAGGCGCAGGCGTGGTTTGCTGGGGGTAATGCTGGGCTGGGGCACCATCGGGTAAGGTGTAATTAAAATCTTCCAAGCATCATTACGACCACTAATTACCCCGCAATCGAATCATGGACCTATGATTCAGAGTCAGTTGTCTTTCACATTACTAGATTTTATAAGTATTCAAATCAACTAGTATCATCAGCAAGATTCTATTTGAGGGATAAGATTCATATACTTGGTACTATATACTGTAAATGTTGTAAAAGTTGACCCAAAGTGATAATATTGAATTTCAAGCTGAATGTGAAGTTCATTCGTACTTCACACCAATAAATAATGGGTGTACTGAATAAGACCATCATTATAAATACAGTACAGAAGTTCATTGCTTCTCTATAAGGTTGAACAGACCAAAATACAGTTACAACAGCCCACTTCAGGTCAGCTTTCATTTCAGAGACAAGCTCATACTTATAAGCCCTAACTATTGTAAGTTATCAACTTTACTTTTTTTTCACCCATGAGCCAAAGTTGAGTGAGCCTGTTCAAAAATATCCCCTACAATGAGTAAAGCCGCTACATCACAATTAAAATAAATATATTTGTAACCTGTACATGACAGCTACGGTTGCACAGTAATAAAATTAACAAGTCAATAATATTTTTCTATACAAAATATACCACAAGTATCTATCATGAGCAAGGATCCAACTACACTATTATTACTAACATGATCTATTCTTTCTTGGTCCCGATTTCTCTTTTAAATCCTCCCTCTCCAAAAAAAGGCATATTATACATACCAATGGCTTTAAGTGTGACAGGTGGCACCCACATGGGGGCTAACTGATGCTCAGTAACCTGATAAAAAAAAGCCAAGACAAATTTTCAGAAATAAGTGTCAACACTCAGATAGTATACAGTACAGTACTATGAAATATAAACTAAATTATTTTCTTTTCAACTGATGTCGAGTAGAATGACTTCGTCTTAAATGATCAACAAATCAACAATATAAGCAAAGTTTATGCTGCTTTGTTAGGTTTCGTGTTCTTATAACTCTGACTTGTATAGTTTACTAAACCTCATGAAGAACAATGATGGTAAATCAATAAAAGAATTATGTAAAGATAGTCCATTATTTGTCAAACAAATGTATTATTTTTTTTATGTAAAACAAAACTCCATGTCTCATCTACACATTTGTTTCCCACTCAAGCTGCTACACCACTCGTGAAATGAACGTCCACCTTTATGACGTCCTCAAACTGCACAGTACTGTACTACACTTCCGTTGGCCCAAGTCTGCTACACAGTTCCACCATTTCAGACACTGCAACCCAAAAAAATAAATATAAAGACACGAGAAAACCGCTATCATAAAATCTTTCTACAACGAGATAACTTAAACTATAATTAAACAAATTCTAAAGTAAAAATACATCTTGCCACAACAACAGCCAAATTCATGTGAAGCCGGAGATAAATGATGATAAAAGGTTAAACTAAAATCAAAATGACTGAAAACAAAACATTATTAATACATAGTTGAATAATATATATACATAGATAGACGGTTACACGAGTATAGATGGATACTCAACTGGGAAGCAACTCAAGCTGACCATGGATAGTACAGCTATTATTACCACAAAGCAAGAACGAATATTAACGTCAAGAGAGTTGTTGGTCATTTATCCAACAAATACGAGTCTGCCATCGTTTGGCTTACACGATGAATATAATAGATAGATAGATATAGATAGATAGATAGATAGATATAGTTACTGTGAAAAACCTCTTGTACGAAAAGAGATTTACATTGAGTCAGTACGGACCAGTAAAAGTGAGTCCGAATAAACTGAAACTCAAGGATACGAAAATTTTGGATTGTGCAATAAGTTAAGTTATTGGAAAATATTACTTTGAAAGATTATCTACATTATTGCTGTCTGTTGGTGAGTTAATATATGCTTCTGTGAAACTGTTCTGCTATTAGTGGATGTTATTTTCTCGTACGGTAATTCCCATAATATAACAAGTATTAGCTCGATCTTAGCTTATTTGTATCGCCTGAATATTACCTCCACCCAGCTTATTTCAACTTAACGGCTACGCTACGGTACGACACGTATAATATTTCATTCAGATACTCCACGTAGAGTTGAGGGGTTTAGTAATCAGGTGAAATAGGCTGGGGGGCTAATCTTCAGGTGATCCGATGATATCTCTAACAGCGACAGGTCAACAACTCGAATGACTCCAGCCGTCTTCACCTGTCATGCTGTACGATAATTAAAACAAAAATTCCTTCTTAAATCACATTAAACTTAAACTAGACTTCATTACCAGTATGTAAACTAAATAGTTATTAATTTTAGAGTATTTTATAACCATCTATTCTAGTAATCTAAAAGGAATACGATGTTTTATATACAAAGTACAGTAATGTGTGACTTGGCTACTCGAGCAGAGCAAACTGTCGTAATGATCGACTATGGTCGCTACTGTGTCGTAAACCAACTAAATTTTCATTATTCTTATGGGTATCACATCTTTGTTGGCATGTACAGATTTATCACTAAGAATTAAGTTTTATATAGAAATAAAATTAATGTAATGGTTTAGGTTGTACCATAATTCGTTACAATACACACCCAGGCCAATTACAGGCTTCTACTGTTAACAAATGCATAATACTACCCGCCTTATTAATATTAGTAGTAGTAGTAGTAGTAGCTGGTCTATACTGTACTGTATATACAAGATATTAGGCATTATTTAGGTAAACCCCCGACAATACCCTCCCTTCTTACGCCACCAATACCCTCCCTTCCTACGCCAACAATACCCTCCCTTCTTACGCCAACAATACCCTCCCTTCCTACGGCAACAATACCCTCCCTTCCTACGCCAACAATACCCTCCCTTCCTACGCCAACAATACCCTCCCTTCCTACGGCAACAATACCCTCCCTTCCTACGGCAACAATACCCTCCCTTCCTACGCCAACAATACCCTCCCTTCCTACGCCAACAATACACTACCCTCCCTTCCTACGGGCAACAATACCCTCCCTTCCTATGCCAACAATACCCTCCCTTCCTACGCCAACAATACCTTCCCTTTATCGATGTTTTTTTCTTCATAATTTACGAACATAAATTTCACACACACACACACACCTCACCACTGTCCCCGAGGCGACAGTGAAGCCTTACATGCATGGTACAGTACTCGTGAACACCCACACCTGGACGGAACATCAGCTCCAAAACTGCGAGGACATAAATGCCGTCATCTTCAAGAACTTCTACCCTCTTTATCTCGATAATATCCTACCCCCTGTTTTTTGTGCGCTAATGATCTCTCTTTCTCCTTCTCCCCGTCGCCCTCTACCTCCTTTTATCCATAGCCCGTAATTATCGCCAACAAAACCCGTAGCTGCCCACATTTACGTCTAATAAATCATCCGCCATAAATTCACCTGTTTCACTCCCGCCATGGTTCGTCTTGACGTATACACACACAATTTACACAAATAATAAGTCTTGTAAGGTAGGGGTGGAGGCGAGAGTGGAGAGCACCGAGTCAGTCACCTGTACACTGAGCTGCTGGAAACAAACTAAATCGTCGGGTGAGTTTTTTTTGATCGAAGTTAATAACGTTCAGTCGATCCAGACCGAAACAGTTCGAACCAACCGAATCATAAAGTTTGAACCAGCGACCCAAGGGAGGAGGGACGGAGAAGCCAGGCTCTTGCTGACACAAATATGTGTTATTTAAATAAGTTGGTTTACCATTATGTATTAATTCTTAACTGAGAGAATGTGTCGTGTATCGTCGAGGTTAGCAACATACTAGAACTATGCAATTAGTTAGCCATTTTATTATATGTTGTATAAGCACAAATATGTATTGATAACTTCTTCTGTGTTAATATTTACGTTAAAGTCAGTGGGTATATTTGTTATGTCGCCAAAAACATGGCAACAAATAGTATACTTTAAACGGTAAAGTTTGTACAAGTTTAGAAACAAAATGATTGAGATCTGCACGTTTCCGAAATGCTGAAAATTATGATAAAATTGTTAAGTCTACAAAAATTATGTTGTGAAATTTGAATTTGTATGGTGTATATAATGAAATATCATTATATCATGCATAAGACTCAGGATAATATAATATCACAATCTTTTATTATACATGAGGAGAAGAATACAGCATCACGAAGCCATATTGACGCTTCCGGACTCAGCCTGTCAACACCCAGCAAGACGCTGGAAGTAAAATTTACTAATTAGATTTCACCACGATGAACATTCCAGTTATTATTATCATTAAACCTAGTGCTATAACCATAATTAATTAAGGTTGAGCAAGACAAGTAGGTACAAAAATTTGATTTATTAAACGAAGAACTATAACAGTCCTTCGTGTAACGGAACTACTCCAAGGTGGACGGTAATTACCGAATCTTCCAAATTATTGTTAACTTCTTATCTCTCATAAAAAATGGGAAATATCTACTTTCCGGAAAAGTTGGTTATCTACTTTCCCGAAAAGTAGATAGATTTTCTACTTTTCGGGAAAGTAGATAACCAACTCTCCCGGAAAGTAGATATTTCCCATTTTTTATGATACAAATTTCCCGTTTTCTATGATAATCTACTTGGCAAAATTAGGTAATATTTCCCCCAAAATTCGAAAATCTACTTCCCCGAAAAGTCGATAATCTACTTTCCCGAAAAGTAGAAAATACTTTGGCCAAAAATACTTTTTCTCTCTGAACTAAAATTTAATGTGCCTAACTATTTAAGTACATCCAGAATAATACACAAGCACCAAGAAATGACCTCGAAAACCCATAAGTGGCGAGTAATTAGCATTGCAAAAGTAATTAAAATATTCTAAAAATCATTTGAACATTTTCTAAAAGCCATTTGAACAAGTTATAATCAAGATATCAAATTTTGGTTCTATAAACAGTAAGTATCTATTTAATTCAGCATATTAATACATTTTCATAATAAATCCGGATTTAACTCACTCGTTCTCAAATCCGGATTCTAGTTGTTTAAATAAACATCCTCCTCAACCAATCAGCGTCCAGGGTGGCCTGTTGACCTCTGGTGCTGCACTGCTATTAAATTAATTAAAGGATCATTAATTAACTCGCCTCTTTAATCACGTGAGTAATAGTCTAATAGACAAATGAGACTAATATATTTTACTTAATAGATAATACAGTAGGTATGAGGCTATTGTAGATATTTATTGGGGAAAGAAAAATGTTTACGTGTAGACTGATGGAGGGCCAGCTAAATGTTCTGTAGTACTGTACCTATTACGTAAAATGACTGGTGTAATATAGTAGTTAGTTGCTTGTACAATATATACATAAGATAATACCTGAGAACAGCACTACCACCAGAAGTTGTTTGATTTCGTTAATTTTTTCCCACATGATTTTTTCATCATAGTAAGTATTTTAAGAGAGTCGACATTTACTGGAACCTAATAGAACATGACCTAACCAACCAAAGAAACCTACCTAACTTTGGTTAATATTCGTCCATTGGCTATCTGCAGGTTCCCCGCCATGTTTACCTGAAGTTATATTTTTCACTTAAAGTTAGTTGTCTCTTCATTTCCTCCTCCTTGTAAGTTAGGTTAGGTAGGTTGGTTCCTTGGTATGAGAATACATTTTCTTTTGTGTGCATTTTTGGTGAGTTTTACTCAAATCTGACCTCTATTTTTTGTGTAAATTGTTTGATAAAAATGAAAATGTTAATTTTTTTTTTCAAAAACAGCTAATTTGCACAAGAAATGAAGGTCATATTTGAGTAAAACACACTGAAAAAAAAAAAAAACCTATTCTCATACCAAAACCTGAGGACAGCCAATGGAGGAATAGTTACCCTAATTTACCTAACTTCCTAGCCTTTGGACCCTGTGCCATTTTAAACAATAAGTACTAAGTTGGATATCTGATACTAATTAAAGCCACTTTGTTGAAGCGTTATGGTGTAATTATACGTTATTTCTGGATGTAAGAGTATGCTCAGAATCAGTGGGTCGGTGTAAACAAACTGAACAGACAAAGGTCAATATTAGCTTTTATCCGAATAGGTATATCAAATTTTTTGCCATTATCATAAGAATTATTTTTTAGTTTAGGATAAATTTTCTTCTTTATCATTTCCTGCGCAAATTTATATTTTTCGAGTACAGTATTTTAAATGGTAAGACCTTCCCAATTAACAACAATATTAGTTGCTCAAAGTGGGAAGGGCTTTGAAGTAGAGGGAAAATGTGGGTTAAAATACTAAAATTAAACACCAAACAAGATCTAAATATAGTTTTTGCTTGAATTTCATGCAAAGTGACTCCGTGACATGCTGGTTAAGGATATTGGTCTAAATTTTGAAATTACAGTAATTAATTTTAAACAATGACCTTTTGAATAACTACAACAGAATATTTAAGATCACAAAGTACATATCTTTTGTCCATCACCACTTGCTTATTACTAAAAACATTTGTCTCTTATACTGCAAAGTTTTCTGGTGTAACTTGTGATTATTTTGCTGTGGCCTCCAGTCTTAACAACTTACTCTTGGTTAGGTTAAGTTAGGTTCGGTTAAAATGATGAACCTCTACCTCAGTTATATAACTGTCTGTGTCATTGTGTAATTTTATTGATATTTCTTTAAAAAAAATTTCCCCCCAGCTAAGGAATGTTGAACTGTACCTCAAGATGGAGATGATCAAAGCTGAGATGAAGATGATACCACAGTACTGCAGTCAGTTATAGTGCCAGCATGTACAGTGTACACTTCTACGTGTATATGAAACCTTCACTTCCAGTATTGTTACAGGTACCCAACTCAGCCCAGAAAACAAAAATGTTCAGAAGTCGTACTTTTTGGGTTAAATTTCAAGGAAGTGGGACTGTCAGGTGGTGTTGCACCCAGTTCGCCTATGTTCCAAAACACAGACCTTGTCAAGACCAGGCACTGATCTGCATGCAAGAGTTTATGGACAGTACTAGAAAGTTATTTGTGCTTACTGGAGCTGGCATCTCAACGGAGAGTGGCATCCCGGACTACCGCTCTGAGGGAGTTGGCTTATATGCTACCAGCACCAAGAGGCCAGTACATTTGAAGGTAAACTTTGTCATTTAAAATTATTCTTGTCCCTCTTCTGCATATGCACACACACACACTATCTCATTCATATAATGCAGTACAGGCAGATAAACCCAGAGGTGCTCAGTACTCTACAGTATATGTAATGTCTTCACTATTAATAACAAACCAACCTTACTGTTTAAACACATTAGTTTTTACATTCCAGTAAAAAGACGTCATTCGGTCAAATAATTATAGATATAAAATTAAAGTCAACAGATCCTTAATCAGCATGTTTAGGAGTACATATATTGAGATTTTAAGCAAAATCGGTGAGATCAAGATTATGGCCGAAAATACTTTTTCTCTCAAAATTTAAATTTAATGTGTCTGACTACTTAAGTACATCCAGAATAACACATTTGGTTTAAATCTGCCAATCCTTCTTTGAAGGCCTGTAGTATGAGGGGGGCCATCAATATGTTAAACACTGCTGGTGGGATGGTTACCCAGTCCAGTAGCTGAAACAGGAACAAAAGAATGATGTTGTACGAGGAGTAAAATTCAATGTACCATTTTGATCAAAGTTTTTAACATGTACAGTATCACAATAGTTTAAATTTCCACCATAGTGACTATTACTCCTTATCCATTCATTGTTTTTGGGAGTTGGGAAACAAGAAATTTAGTTAGACTTTGTTGTAAATTAATTTACAGTTCTTTGTTTGTATTTAGTAAAGAAATACTATAGTATACCTGTACATATACTGTATATGTTTTTAAGTCCGAATAACATTTTATTTTGCAGATCTTCAAGGAATCATCAAAAGCCCGACAGAGTTACTGGGCAAGAAATTATGTAGGATGGCCACGTTTCTCATCATTTAAACCAAATGTAACACACACAACTCTGGTAGAGTGGGAGAGGAAGGATAAAGTTCACTGTGTGGTGACACAAAATGTGGATCGGCTGCATCACAAAGCTGGGAGTCACCATGTTCATGAACTTCATGGTATCTTGATTTTGGTGTTAATTTATAAGTTACAGTATTGTATAGCCTAACATGGTACAGTAATAGTAGCTTAACATGATACAGTAACAGTAGCATAACATGGTACAGTTGGTCAACCTCAACACAACCCCAGTAAGGTCTCCTGTTGTGTTATTATAAAGGATCAGTTATGGAGGATTGAGAATCACACCAAGGGGAAATGTGAGAAAGAAATGACAATAGAGTTTGTGGGCAATTGGAGAATGCCTGGATTTACTGATAAATATAATAGGTTGTTGGAACATTCTATCATCAATCATGCAGTAAGAGTCAGTTTTTATCAACAGGTACAGCTTTTAATGTGATATGCATGAGCTGCAATCAAACGTTGCCTCGTCACAGCTTCCAGACCAAACTGAGGGACAGCAACCAACACATGTCTGCACGGTACTTGGAGATACGTCCTGATGGTGACGTAGAGCTGACCCAGGTGACCCCTACTTTGATCTGATCAGTTTGTTGACAAGAGGTCTTTTTTGTGTCATCAGTTGCTGGTTATGGTAGCTATATACCGCACCTTAACATGAGACATCATGCACTTGCTCTTAATTCAGTAAACATACTGTATACAGTATGACCAATTTTCATATACCCTGTAAAATAAGTTAAGGAAGTCAAAACAACCTCTCGAATTATTTAGTTTAATACAGTATACTGTATATAATTTTGCTCAGTAGAAGTAGGTCTCATACACCTGACAGCCAGTTAGGTGCAGTGTATTGATATTGAAAATTTTTATTTAGTCAGTAAAATACAGATTAGAGCAGATGATAATACTACTGTATTGACATGGCTGAGCCAATTGAGAACCCGAGCTCTCTTAGTGGCACCTTATACATACTGTTCATTTATATCAGGGAATTATTATACAGTAAACCCCCAATATAACTTGTTAATTGGAGGGAAGGTCGGTCCATTAAAGCTAAAAGTCCGTTAGAATGATGGACTTGGTCTGTTATACAGTAAACTCTTGATAACTCGGCACTTGTGTAGCTCTGGCCTTGCCGAGTTATCCCAAAATCCGACTTATCGAGGCGCTTTCCCCCTCCTACAAAAACACAATAAAAAATTATTGACTCATATTTGTGTTCCTGTAATTACTAAATGTAAAAAAGTAACACTTAACAGCACTGCAGGTGAAGATAGGAAGCATCATAGTAGGTGACACAGATGCATGGTGGGTGATACAGAGGCATGGTAGGTGATACAGGTTGCCAGATATGCCGAGATTTTCCCAAATAATTTTACATATCTCAGCATTTCCCAAGTTATACAAATACATTCTGAGACCATATCCATGCCGAGTTATATGAAATGCCGAATTATCAAGAGTTTACTGTATACCAACATAGTCCAGAGTGAATATGATCATTTTACTGTGCTTGAAGAGCTTCTATCACAACTTTATGCGAGGGTTGTGTATCACTACCATTATAATTCTATTCCTGCTTGTTTAGTGGCTAACTATAGTACCTTTCAGGCATATAACTCAATAAATGTGTGTGTCAGGGATGTGGAGTGGTGTAGTGAACAACTTAGATGGCTAGGTTCATGTGAGCTGTGTGGCAGGGTCACATGTGCCCAATTACCCTGCTTACGAATACATATGGTATTTGATACACTTGGAATTTTGGTATTTATAATAAATACAAGCATATATTGATTTCATGCTAGTCTAAAAAGTAGAGCAATTACTGTTAAACTTTTTTAGGTGAGCAAAGTGCTGCCATAATTTTAATATGAAAAGTGGCTTTTAAAGTCATGTATAAAAATACTGCATAATATTTTCAGGATGAAGTTAATAGTTTTCAAGTACCACCATGTGAGAGATGTGGAGGAATCCTGAAGCCCGATATAGTGTTCTTTGGTGATAATGTACCAAGAGGTCGTGTGGAGAAAGTCAGACAGGTGCTGGCAGCTTGTGATGGCCTGTTAGTGCTTGGGTCATCATTGTTTGTATATTCTGGATACAGGTAAAGTTTCAAGTGCAATATATGTACGGTAATTTCTCATACTACATAGTATTATTAGTAAGAGTGCTAATGTTTGAGGGTAGGAGGGCCAGGGGAAGGCAGAGACTGGGATGGATGAATGAAATTAAAAACTTGGTCCCCAGAGAGATACAAAACCTTAGATGATTGGTAAAAACAGCCCGAGAACATTTGAGTGGAGGACTGTGGTTGTCAACCCTCAGATATAATGGTGTATACAGATTGATTGATGCCTACAGTATGTTGCTATAACATATGTGTGTGTGTGTGTGTTTAGTCTGTGTTTGTTTATTTGGTCTGTGCTTGACCTTTGTGTGTGTGTGATTTGTGTGAATATTTATGCATTTATGTCTGTATTTCTCCCAATAGATTTATCCTTCAAGCATTAGAGTCAAGAATACGGGTGAGCGCAATTAACATTGGGCCAACACGAGCTGACAAACACTTATCCTTCCGCGTGGATGCTCGTTGTGGAGAGGTGCTGCCACGGCTGGTTGTCTGATACTCAAGATAGTAATGGCCGGGAGAAGCTGTAAATAGTTATATAAACACTGTACAGTAATATACATATATACTGATGGTTGTTAAGAAGAGTTACCTCTGTCAATAGTCAGGAACTCAATTTAATAGTTTTTTCTTTTACAAACACATCAGGTAAGACTAAATGTTAATATTAATCATACGTCTGGTAAAAGTGTGAATGACAGTGGGCGAGAGTGTAGGGAGAGGTTTGCAGGAGTAAAAATTTAATTATAATATCTGTACAGTGATAAATTAATATTATACATACCTTCAATAAAATGTAAGATTCCACTAGTCCAATTAATTTCCCATAATGAAACCGAGTAGTGAAAATGGTCTCCAAAAACTCAGGTCTACATATAGAGGTAAACTATAGTGTGTAGGAGATGTACGTACGGGTATGTAGTCTGCCAAATTCCTGAGAAACAGACCCAATTCAATGTTGGATCTCCTCATTGATTTCCATAGGTGAAATGAGGAATGACTAGATCCAGGGTGAGTTTGTAAGATATTCTGCATCTTGCTTATGTTTACCTTGAGGCTAAAGTCTGTATACATTTCTGCATTGGTATATACATTGGTCCATACCAAGTAATATAGAGGAAGGAAATTGAAATCCCCTTAAAACCTATTATTTTCTTTGGCCTCCAATTGACACACCATCTATGAAGGGTGTGACATCATTAAGAATGTTTTGATGTTACAATTGTTACATGGTCTCCTGTGGGTAAAATGGGCTCTTGTGGGTAATACTGACTTTGGTGAGTAACATTGGCTCTTGTGAGTAAATGTGGGCTCTTGTGGGTAATATCGACTTTTGTGTGTAACATGAGCTCTTAAGTGAGTAACATGGGTACCTACGGATGTCACTAAAATATGTGTATGTTAAGTGCTGTTCTTGCTGCCACACACCTGGGAGTGATACACGAATCACACACCTACCTGGCTCCTGTGTCCTGGAGAGAGCCACTGTGACTGACGCTCCAGAAAAATAAGCTGGGTTGTCTAATCTTCATGTTATTCATTCTTCCATCTGAGGTTCTATGGGCAAAAATGAAACAGTCAATGACATGCTGATAAAGTTTACAAATTGAGCAATTTAGCCAAGTGACATAAACAGAGCCAACAGAGGGCAATGTAAGGTCATTCAATTTACATATTGAAGTAAAATAGTACAGTACTGCAGAGAGGTTAAGCTGTGGTGAGGTCAGCTGACTTCAGAGTCAAGCCTATATTGTTGGAAGTGGTTAAAAATTTCCAGCTGAGCACACTGGAAGGTACAGTAGCTAAAATAAACTATCTGTGCAGGTGGTAGTCCACATGCTCCGAAATTTTACGTGCGACTTGTGACAGCCCTCCTATACACCAATATTTATCGTCCATGGTCTCATATTGTTTCCCACAAAGTATGCACAGATAGTTGTTTTAGCTACTGTACATACCTGGGATGTTAAGTTAGCAAGGAGAAGTTGTGTACCCTATCCTGATACAGTACTGTATATGAGAGTAGTTGGGTTAAATTCCATGTCTAACCTAAACTAACTATTAATGAAAAGTAAAATGTGCCCCAGTGATACTTTAGAAGAGGTGAACAGGTTAACGAACAACATTAGGAACTTTTGAATAGATAAAATCTTCCTTTTCTCCAGACACATTAAATGTTCTCTACTAAAAATTGACTCGGGATGTAATGTAGACTACGTTGGTGAAAGTTTCCAAGTGCCTTGAGGTGCTTCCTGTATATGACCCATGTCCTAATGCCATAGAGCAGGGTAGGGAGGACCACAGGGTGGAGGATAGCCAAGGTGGGGCAGCTTTGGATGCCGAGGAACTTGTTGGGTAGTCATGACATCCACATCAGTGTTTCAGTTGAGCAGGGAATGTTAGTGCTCTTCCCAGCACTGACAAATGCCTTCTTCATCTTTAATTAGGGAGTTGCCATCAGATGAGTAGAGGGGGCTTATCACTTGGGGAGCCACCTCATATTTGGGCTTCCTCCTTATTCCATAGTGCATGGTCAAGTTTCCCTCTCAGGTTGTCAAGAATATGAACTGTTTCAGGGGAGTTGTTTGGAAAAAATATAAAGTCGAGTATTCAAACTGCAGCTTGGAATCATACATAGAGGTAATAAACTATTAAGCCAGGTATAAAAGTTTTATTAATATCATCACAGGATTAACTGGGGGTAATATATATACACAGATTAGGGTCACTGATACAAAGTGTTGGTGACATGCACAAAGGTACAAAATTATCACTTTGAAGAACAAAGCACTTCCCCTCTGGTGAAAACAAACAATGGTCATGATCCTAATGCCTAGTGATTATTATTATTATTATTATTATTATTATTACTATTATTACTATTATTATTTCATCTGTAATCCACTTTCACTCTCTTGGGTTCTGTTGTATACAGTACTCGAAAGTTTTTCAGTGTAAATTTTGTATGTGGTTGAATGGCAGTGCAGTGAATGAGCGAAAATGATTGTGTCAATTAATAAAGACTGGAATAGCATCACCAATTGATTTTATCATTCATATGTCAAGAAATGGTTTAATTGCATAGATTTTTTTAAATCTGTCATATCACCATTTTGTGGGTGATTTAGGCTAAAGCAGCCATTTCACACATATACATTATTATAAAAAGTGCTTTCATATTGTTTTGAATATTAAAATGACTTTCAAATATTTTTAATCTTCAGGTCTCCAAGAGGCTTTTGTGTGTGTCAGATAATAAACAAAGAGGAAGGAAAGACTATTACTACCTCAGATACAGTTCTTCAATAGTTGGAGATGAAGTGGCTCTCATATGTTTACTTCAGTCACTAAGAAATTCTACAGGAGGCAATCTGACATTTAGAGGGAAAACTGCCTATTAAATGTATGAAATTATAGGGAGAAAAATAAGTTATAATCAACGTATTGATACAAGACATGTGAAGTATTTTGTTGTTAATTCAGTAATACCTAATGAACGAGTGAGTAAAATCACAGATACTTTTGACGTCCAGTCTTCTTTTGACGCTCAATGCTCTCCTATGTTATTAATGACAAGTATAATAAAATTTTTATCATATTTAGAAAGGGTTCAGTGGCCAGATATCAAGGCTGAAATACTACTGTAATTATAAAATGCTACACAGTACTTCCTTGTTCTGCCCCAAACAGTTGAGAGTCCACAACTGTGAACACCGAGCAACATCAACAATCCCTCAAATATGGGTACTACAGTGCATCATTATGGGTACTCGTACAATGGTCTGATCCCATGATTACAAAATCTTAACGTACCATAATTGAATTTACTATTTTGATACTCGAATTTCTAGAGTACGATTATTAACACGGTCAAGAATAACTTAAAGTTTTGGCTTTAATAAGTTTGAGTATATGGCTGTTATCAAGCGTGTTGGTAACACATTTAGCTCAGATGGCCCCTGCAAAACAAATAAATAATCTGAGTTTGATGATTCATTACGTATGTAAGAATTCGACGAGATAAGTGTATACAGGTCAAACCTCACTTAACCGGGATAGATGAGAGAGGAGGATAATATTAACACATATATCACTGGTAACAAATTACAGTGGTCCCTCGGTTAACGAGCGCCTCGGTTAACGAGTTACCTTCCATAAGATTCTTAACTTCGGTTAACTAGCAATCCCTCGATTAACGAGTTTCTTAAGAGCCAACCTGAACATGATTTCGCTTGCATTTGGCGGTCCACCAGCTGTAGTAATAGTCCGCCAATGCAGTAATCGGTTCTATGGCTTAAATTCCTTACCATTTTAGCAAATATCAAGAAGTTTATACTATTCAATAATTTTAAAAGTTTAATATTAAATTTTTTACTCATTTTAACAATAATTATTGAACATAACTGAAGGTAATGAAACTAGTTTTATGCGTGCCATCCAGCCTCTCAACACACCATACAGGCGTCAGTCTTTGTGTCTTTTCAGTGGAGGTAACATCTTGCTTGAGACTCTCTTCAACTAAATGCTTTTTTTATGTTTTTGCAAGCAAATTATTGGTCATTTTGAAATTTATTTTACATATTGACAATATATAACGCAGTGGTGCTAATTTAAAGAAAATAATCTTGAATTACACCAAGAGAACTAAAACTTTATGGGTGAAATGGCACCATGGGGTGACTTCTCTTCCACCCCAATGCCTTCTCTTCTCCCTTCTCCTCCACCCCCATTCTAATTCCCATCATCATCATCCAGGAGCCTTCTTCATACACACCTCAAAGCAAGTGTACTTTTCTACCTTTTTTTGTTGAATTTAGGCAATTTTCGGTGAGCTGGAACCAATTACCCAAAAACCCATTGAAACATTGGTTTCGGTTAATGAGTTTTTCGGTTAACGAGCAACCTTCTAGAACGGATTGTGCTCGTTAACCGAGGGACCACTGTATTTAAATAATTTAATCATTCTATTTATCTACTGATGCCAATTTTCTAATTTATTAAATTTATTTCAACATTTGAGACTATGCGCTGAGGAGGTGATCCACTGGCCAGTTATATCGTTTGCAGATAAAAAAATAACATTAATTATCAAAATGATTTTTTACATTACTACTGTACATACTAACCAAAATGAGATTCAGGTTTTGCAGAACTAACTATAAAATGCATTCGTTTTTCATTTGGTATCCCATTACCAGTTTTTACTGTATAAGGAGCAAGTACAGAGATTCAACTTTAACTCAAAATAACTTTACTTGGTTGCAATTAGGACTCAAATTTAAGGCAGAGAATCTTTTCCAAAAGGATATCCACTTTCATATTGTCTTCTACCTGGTGTTAAGTCAACATATTGAGTACACAGGTTCTTCTGACAAATTTCTGCTATATTTCTGTGCAATTCATTCACCGTATGAACCACTGTCAATTTGTGTTTGAAGCAACAAATACCCATATCCAGTAATAATCCTGCATACTCGCATGCCTTTAAAAAAATATTCAAATTTCGACTTTTTTTTTACTAAAAATTTATGGAGGCTGAGGAGGAATTGACAAAAAACTGGGATATGCCATAAAACCTTGAAATAATTGTGCCTAATTCCTTTTGTCACAAATTTCTTGGATAAATACTAAAACTATGTTACTTTGCCCATGTTGCCTGCTGTTGTAGAATCCTCCAGTTTTAGAAAAAAATGAAAAAATTTAATAAAAAGTGACGACGGGTTTGTATAATATAATCTGAAAAATCAGCGCCCCACAGCTTCAGTTGACTTCACACACTTTGCACACCCAAACCAAATTTGCCATATGATTAAGAGTGAAAAACACTTTAATCTTCATTCTAAGCAAAGAATTATCCTTTTTGAAAATATTATGCATACTCATTTTATTTTTGAAAAGTTATTTCGGGTTAAGTATTATTGGACAAAAGTACATGAGTTACTGGTGAAACATCACGTACTTGAACTGTACAATGCCAAGAGCGTAGCTTTCTCTTTAGTTATCGGCAATTTTCGACAACCAGATGATCCAAGGTTTGCAAAGTTGTTGTACATCACCTGGAAGCCTTATAATATTCTGCTTTACCGTGTCTAGAAGGTCGTATTTTGTTTCACATTCACCCTGACAACAGAATAAAACAAGTCACAACACAACACCATGGAATACCAAAACAGACCTTTCCTTAAACATTATCGTTTTAACATCATACTCACGTTTCTACGGTAACGGTAGCTGTGTCCAAGAAGTTTGAACACAGTGCAGTTGATTTAATTTGTACAAACATGTCTTCTGATAGCGTAAGAATATTCTGATAGCTCAGTATCTTGAAAAATAGAGATAGTCTTTTCCATCATGTCGAGAAGATGTTTATAATGCGGATTTTTGTTTCATACTGTTGCTAAAATTGTTTCAGAACTCAGAAGCTCCTGTACAAAACTGTTTTTCGCATCTCACAATTAATGGCAGGGAAGATTCAGGGTTAAGTACACTTTTTTAATGACATAGAAAAATTATTGTACAGATGCGCCACCATATATCGTTAATTATCAATCTCATCGTTTTAATGTTCCTAATATTTGGTCTCCGTTTATTAATATTTCACTGCATGTTTATAATCATTATAATATACAAGGAACAGAGTAAACCAGCGATTTTAGAAATGCACAGCAAAGTATATTCATAATACTCCGCAATCTGTTGTTCCAACATTACACAGTAAACTGACAAAGAACACGAACACAGGGATGGTGTCTGGCACACTGGCGAAGGTGATACTTCCAAATTCAACTTTGCTGTGAGGTTACGACACAACACAGCATGGGATACATAACCTTAATGATTGGGATAGGCACAAAATAAAGTCTTTTAATTAATAAGAAATTTTTTTAAATGTATTTTAAATGACGCCAGCGGGTCGGGGCACATCAATCCTGTTGTGAACGTTATTATTATTGTTGAGTCGTAAATACACAAATAGAAGCGTTTAAAAATACTGCCCATAACATGAAGTTGTTTATATCATGGGAAATTGTTCCTATTCACTAGCTGCTCATCAACATCATATGAGGAACATGAATGGTTGTATAAAACTGCAGTGAACGACGAGCTTTGGCGTTAGTGGATGCTACTGGATTCCATGCAGGAGTATTAAATTTTCCCTAAAAAAAGGGGCGTATTTCGTCAAGCTGCACCGCTGATGCAGTACACCAACATTAACCAGAAATCTAGGGTTAATATCATGACTGTATTATTATGAATTAAGTAACTCGTCACCTTAGTTGTTGTGAAATATGCAGAATTTTAGAATATTTTATGCAAACAAAGGCATTCAAACGGGTTATGTCTTTATATGATAAACACTCAATGAAAATATCATGTCATCTAATAAAGACGAAAATTATGCTAATATCAGACTATAAGACAGCTGCAAGAAATGATTCGTACTGATTACCGCTCAAATATCTGTCATTCCAAGTAAAAGGTTGAATATGCAGTATGCAGGATATGTGTTGATAGCTATTGCAATGGTCCTTATCTGAGATGAACCCGTTTAAGAAGGCTATTTTAATCATTAGCGGGAACAAATATTTCGGCAATTACTGCCCAGCGTGGGTTTGAGCATCATTAAGTTGCATTAAATTGTCCTATAAAGTACTGAAAATTTTTCCTCCGTTTATTGAATGTAATTTCCGGGACAATTATGTATTTTCCTTGCCCACAGTATCACCTGGTATATAAATGTTGAGTATATATGCAATTAAAGAAAAATATTATAATGTAATAGTTCTACCGATTTTCTTCAATCGTTAGAATTTTATTTATTTTTTATTTTATTCACGTCACTATAAGAACAATGACATTTTCCGGTCTACAGCGATACAAACAGTTACGAAAGACTCCACCACTTCCACGCCCTCTGTTACTTTCTTGTCCTGGAATTAATAGCTTAATAGTATAACTTGTCTCAACGCTTTCCTGGGATAAAAGTCTTTATTATAGAATTAATAAAATAAGAGCTTCCGTGACTCTGTACCAGCTGAGAAATGTATTTTTTGTACTTATTTGCGTTGTTGATTAGTTATCCAGTCCAGTTATGCACTGCAGGAATATAATAATCTAAGATCTTTCAAAACCTCTCATTAGTATTTCACCCCCAAACTAAGCCTCATTATCACAGCAAGAGGTGTTCCCAGGTCTTCCTGCCTCAGGAGGTGACAGGCGAGTGAGGCAGTCGAGTGTGTGGAGGCCTACATATAACCTCTACTGGACCCGCGATTGGCTGGGAGAAGAGGAATCTGGTGCCTCGTTCTTAGTCGATTACGTCACGATTAAATAACAGAGGATACTTATCAGTATTCCATCGTCAGTAGAACGCAATGGAGATAAGCTTCCTTTATCCATTTTCCGTAAAAAACAAAAATCAAACGGACAACTCACTCACTAAGATCACAGGGGTAGGTTATCGGTTGTGCGTCCTAACGTGAATCCGTATGGGTAAACTTCGACTTCAAAACCGGCTTGGGTGTAAATACGGCTGAACATGGGCGTCAGTGCGGCTGAACGTGGGGGTCAATACACCTGAGCATTGGCGTCAGGTGTGAAGGAGTGGCGTAGACTCTGGGGCAGGCATAGTCCAGGAGGTGGCTGACTCGGAGTTTGGCAGAGTGGGCGTGGTGGTGGTGGTGCGGGTGTCTGGTCACACGTAGTCGATGGCATCCCCTCATCTGCTGAACTGCCACGACCCCATGGTGCCCACGCAGCGACCTGTCAACACGTGAAGAAATAGAAGCTCAGCTGATGGAACAGGTGTACTTGTGATGAAATACGTATATACAAAAATAGTGGAACAGTTATGCTTATGATGGAACAGGGGTATAAGTAATGGAAGAATGTGTACTGTATAACTAGTGAAACAACATACACATCAAGTGGAATAACGTACAACTGACTAGTGGAGTAAGATATACAACTGGTGGAAAGGATGTAGTACAACTGACGGAACAGATAATGTACAATTAGTGGAAGAGAGTGGAAGGACTTATGTACCGTCCTCAGTGAAGGTGGCGAGAGAGAGACGATGGAGTTTGTTGCACAGGACCGACTCTGGCACCTCCTTCCGCGATACGGTCGACAGCGGCACCAACACGTCTGCGGGAGGTAACCACGTCAATCACAAAACCATGTCAGCCACACAACCACATCAACCACACGACTGCATCAACCATGAGTGGAAGGGGAAGTGAGGGATGGAACAAAGTGAAAAATATTTAAGAAAAAAGAGGGAAGAAAAGAGTGAGTGAGGGAGACAAAAGACATGGAAAAATTAAATGTGGGAGAGGATGGAGGAGGAGGAGGTTAAAGAAAGGAAGGAAGTGAAAGAGAGAACGAAGAAAGAAAATGTGTGGAAGAGAAGAGAAATGAGGCAATGGGGAAAGAAAGAAAACTCAGAAATTAAGAGAGAAGAAGGTAGGGATTGAAAGAACGAAGGAAGGAAGGAGTGTTGAATGATAAAAAACAGCCAAAGGGTGAAAGAAAGAAAGACGAAGATATACAAGGAATCGTCGAGTTAGGGCATAAGTAAACATCAATAACAGTTTCATATTTCCAAGGCCAAAAAAAAAAAGGACCCAAGGCATTTTTCTTGATTATTTGATATTGTATGTGAGGGAGAGAGTAGAAAGTAACAAAAGAGAGAGAGAGAGAGAGAGACTGACCGTCAATCTCGGTGCCGTGGTCCAGCATGTGTCCCTCTAAGTCGTCAGGGTACTGGGCCGCTCTACGCTTGAGTTCCTCCACAAAGGTGCTGATGAGCGCATCCATCATGATGGCCTGGGGGCAAGCAAGGTAGTGTGTGTGTGTGGTTAATGTTGATAGTACACCAGCCTCCTCCTCTACCGCTCTCCTCCTCACCCACCTTCCTCCTTCACTCCCGCCATACTCTTCCCCTCCCACCATCCGCCTCCTCTACTTCACTACCCACCACACACTCGCTCTACCACCTCCACCCATCGGTGAGTACCAATACAAACATCATTGCTGTATATGTATGCACTATTTTCTAAAGAAATGGCAATGATTTTTTGTATATGTAATGTATTTCATGGGGTAAAGGAACGTAACTCCTGCATTTTATCTATTTCTTATGGGGAAAATTGATCCGTTTAACGTTGTTTTGTATAACGTCGCATTTTTAGGAACGTAACCCCGACGTTAAGCGAGGACTTACTGTAGTAGTAGTAGTAACCAAGCACAAAAGTTAAATAATTCTGTAGAGTCTACTACCTGCTCGTTAATCCCAAAATAATGATAATTTCAACTCTTGGATACACATATGCCATCATTGTATACGGCAGGAAATCAGTGTCTTACATGATGAAATATATCCCAAAAGATATATTCAGAGAGAAGGAATAACATATTCAGATTTATAAATGTAATCGCAGAAGTCACATTATTTTCAAACTAGTTTAATGAATAGTTGAAACAGTTTGGAGGAGTACCTAATGTTTTCTCTCCTATGTTTGAAGAAGATTTGAAGAAGTTTGGAGGAGTACCTTATGTTTTCTCTCACCTGTTTAGAGAAGATTTGAAGAAGTTTGGAGTATCTTCTGCCGTTCTCGACAACAGCGAACTGTAGGAAGAGGCAGGGAAGGCAAGTGGCGCTGCGCTCGTTGCTGGGTCTCGCGAAATCCCATGACAATTCATCGTACCTTAAGCTCAACAGTACATTCTGTCGGAGGAATGGGGGGTGGTCATGATGCGAAAAACCCCCACAATTCTAACGTCTAAATCAAAATAAGGAAATTATCATATATTGATCAACGTTTCCAAACAGAAATAACTCCAAAACATATAGCAAGAATTCACAGTATACATACACCAGCTGCCATAAACACCATATAACCAGAGGCACACAATGACTCACCGATTTGTTGGGATCTATAACGGTGACGCCAGTTGCGTTAATGGTGACCAGCACCGGGATATCCGGCCTCGGTAGCCACGAACTGACTCCCCGTGTCGGCTGCTCGATCTGACCGTGAAAGAACGCACTCCTGCAGGCAGAGAAACCAGGTACAAATTTCATCTACTCAAAAACAATGGTACAAGTACACAAACTGCTAAATTACGTGAGTACCCAAACACCATTCATTTTTTCTGTATTATTGTTGCAGCATTGTTACATATTTACTTCATTCCCATCTAAATAACAACACCGAATTAAACTCTATTTTATACATTATGAATTCTAAACACATCGAGCTAAATTATCCTTACATTTTCAAATAAAGTGAAACAAAACCAAGGAGGATGGTGGCCATCTTAGAAAACGATAGTGTTGGATTGTTTTTGTAGGATGAAATACAACTGTTTCAGTATCTACGGCATTGGTATAGTAAGCCTGAACCCCAAAACAACCCTTTCTTCCTTTCCCTTTCCCCTTTATATCCGTAAACGTACCCATAGTAGGGAAGGGACCAGGAGAACTCGAGGTACTTCCTGACCAGCTTGCGGGCCGTCACGTTGCTAGGGATGGAGCGGAACTGCTCGATGATACGGATTTCAGGTGTTGATTTACTACTGAAGCTGACCAGGTCACTGAATTTGAGACGACATGCATGCTCCGGCAGGTAATCCAGGAGTCGACGTCTGTAATGAAGGGAGGCGTTGTGTTAGGTGGGGTGAGTGTACAGAGGAAACTTTATGGTTAAAGTACAGATACAGTTACAAGTCACATGAAACTAAGAGAGATATTCGGAAGTTAAGTTGTGAATATTGTTAACTATCGGTGTCAATCAGTAAATATGAATGCAAAAAAAAAAATAGGATACGAATAAACAGGAAGACAGAACAGAAGTAGAAAATGGTATTAAAGATGGAAGAAGGTTGGAAAGATAATAGAGAAACTATTTACAATGTTTGCAGTCGTCCCTCAGCACCACTCACCTGAAGAAGGAGGGAGTGTGAGTGGTGTGGTCATATGGGCCCAGCTCCAGCCTACTCTGAATCCCCGCCAACATTTCGTAATCTGAGAGTTCACAGGGGTAGCGCGCCGACCGCATGTTCCACTGTGCCTCCTCGTACAACAGCTCCAGGATCTTGGCGTCTCTGAGAAAGGCGATGAAGGTCTTGTATTTTTACTAATGTGTATGCGTAAATCAATATTCCAAAATTCCCGACAAGGACAGTACACGATTACATTTGGTTTTGGTATAAATATTTAAAATAGGTTTAAGGAGTGGTGGTCCTATCGTGTTGAGACTAGCAATCAGTGTTGCAGTGCCAATTATTAAGGTGCCGGAGCTGTCAAAATAATATTTGTTTCCTAAACCGTATCAATATATATATATATATATATATATATATATATATATATATATATATATATATATATATATATATATATATATATATATATATATATATATATATATATATATATATATATATATATATATATATATATATATATATATATATATATATATATATATATATATATATATACTGTGTAATATTTGATCTAGTAGTAGTCTAATGTGCTTATCCTTTCGATATTGGTCACATATGTATAGCTCTTATGCGAGGAAATACTGTTTTTAAGTGTTTAGAAGTGCACCTGTTATCAAAGTCTTTCTAGAATATTGATTTCATAAAATGTAAGCTGATCTGAAGGAGAGATTAATTATATGAGGATTTATTCGGTTTTGTATATGTATTATTAATGCAAAATAAAGTTGATTGCTTGATTGATATAGATTTATAGTAACACATAGAGCTTACAATAACTTCATGTGTGAAGTGTGGTGTGGTGGATGAAGAGGAATACACTAAGGTGGTATGGACATGTGCCGAGGATGCATGAAGACAGGCTGACAAAAAAGTTTATGATAGCAATAGAGAAGGGAATGTTGGGAGGGGTAGACCAATTGCCACCTGGGAGAAAAGAGTTAGAGAGTTTGTTGAAGAGAGAGCAGGAAGGGGAGGAAGAGTGTTTGAGAGAGCAAGTTAGGCATGCAAGGATAAAATGGCCTGGAGACATTTCAGCCATGGCTACGCCCTATTGGGGAGTTCCCGGGAGGGAACAAGGCATCGGCGGCGCTCCGGTGAGCTTCGGTAGCACTGCCCCCCTGCTAGCAATTACAATACATAATCAGAAGTGTGTGTCTGGATATAAACAAAAACAGATCTGGCCTGAGCTTTACTTTACTAAGATTATTCATGGTGTTTCCCTATAAGACCTACCTGATCTTGACTTCGTCTCTCTTGCTGAAGAAGACGTTCCTCCTGAGCACCATCTTGGGTTCGTGGGCGTAGCGGGCGTCTTGTGGTTTGATAGAGATCTGTGCAAAGCGCTTCAATAATTCTCCCCATTGCCGCCGTACCTCGAGTGCGCGCTGGTACGGTTTCAGTTGGATCTCTGTCAAATCAAGTACAAAGTTGAATGATGCTGCAGGTTTGTGGTTGAGGCGAAAGGTAAGAAAGAGAAAATTGGGGATTGTAAAGAGAAGACTGTAAACATGAACATCTTGAGGAGGAGGAAAAAGACATCTATAGTACAATTATTAAGATGTTTGTAACACTTACTTTTCTACTTTTACTTTTAATGTATCATTAGAAACCATAATGACATATATTGTCACGTTGGGAAAAATTAAAGTAAAGGTGTAGAGGGTGACCACCAGAAGGAATTGTCCGAATTGGTTGAAAATTTTTCCATACACTAATATCATGATACTAAACACAAAAATGGAAACGACAATGCATAGAACCTAATAGAACCTGACCTAACATACCCATAAGTTGGGTATGTTAGGTCAGGTTTTATTAGGTTCTATGCATTATTTTGTATTTATTTTTTATATAATGCTAATAACATGATATTAAACACAAACGGAAACGACAATGCATAGAACCTAACAATCTTTTTATTTACTCTATCCCGCTTCACAATTCTCGTCCCGGTGTCATTTTTGTTGTTTATCTCGCTGAATCCCTTTTCAAGAGACATTTCCTAAATGATGGTGAACGCTTCCACGTATTCCTCCTTGCCATTGCTGATGTATATCAACCAAAAGATTAAGGTAAGTTGCTTAACACATAAATTAACACGATAATACATAGAACCTAATAGAACCTGACTAACAAACCCATAGGTTGGGTATGTTAGGTCAGGTTCTATGAGGTTCTATGCATTGTCGTTTCCATTTTTGTGTTTAATATGATATTAGTGTATAGAAAACATTTCAAAAAATTCGGACAATTCCTTCTGGTTGTCACCCTCTTCTACACCTTTACCAAAATTACCATTGCAAAGATTATATATTTTGCTGTCATGACATGATTCTGACAGTGTCTGTAATTTTGTTTCACCTTAAACAAGTTGAACTATTCCTCACAGCATTACCCACCATATGTTAAAGAAGGACCCACTTTGTGCCTGCACTGAAGCCACTTATCCTCACAACAAACTCTAATACAGGAGACACAACTCCTTACCCTAGGTTTGGCAACCAGACACTGGTTGAAAGCTGAAATTTTACCTCAGAATTATTCCAGATGATATTAAATGTTATACAACAATTCCTTGTGATAAATGTACAGTATATATCAGGTGCCACTAAGAGGAATCAGGCTCCCACTTGGCTCGGACACATCGGACACATCGATGTTGTTCATATTGTTCACTTTCTACCTGCATTTCATTGGCTAAATAAACTGTTTCAATATCATTACATATCTCCATCTATATGACTCACCTAATACAGGAGACACCATCCAGATAGCGAAGACCTCCATGGCCTGCTTGGGTAGGGAGACGTCCTCCTCCTCTATGACCATGGCCTGGAGCTCCTGGGCGGTGATCCTGGCGCCGTCATCCAGCCGTAGTCTCACCGCCACTCGGGAATGCAGGAATACACACACCTCCACCCCGCCCGACGACCGACCTGACAATGATGTAGTTATAGAGTCAAGAAGAGTCACCTTTGATTCTTTTTATAGCTCTTTCTTAAGTCGTATGATTTATGTTTACAGTCACAGCCACACGTTCCTTCGCCCAGCACCCCATATCACACGCTGCATCCGGTACACCGTCAGTTTTGGGTAAACAAATAATTCGGAGACTCGATCTAGCGGTTCGGTAGTTCAGGGTCTCGTTCATGATATACCGTACAGTCAGTGTCAGTCACTCATAAAAGAAACGGGCCCCCTGGGTGAGAGGGTCTTGTAACTGGAAGCAGTTCAGTTCTGGTAACAGTGTACCTGACGTAGGTGTTTGGGAGGGGGGGGATCACTGTCTTTTTATGAACCACTGCCTCGGGACATGTCTCGTTTCATGAACAACTAATACAATTCAATTCAATTTCAATTGTCTATTCCTTGATAGAGGAAGCGGGATCCTAGTGCTGTCATTAGGTACCCCTGTCAACTAATACGAGGTGAATACAACATAATTATGTTACCGTTGGGCATTATATTCTAAGATCCTAATATCATCACTAAATTAACCTTATCCATCGCATTATACCTACACTTTATATCCAAACCAAACTTATTCTCCTCAAAAAAGTTTTTTTTCATATATCTATTCGACCATGGTTTGAGTGGGTGTGTCGGGGAGAGGCCTCTTCTTGTTGTTAGGGAAGGCAGAAATGTCCATAGGGGCAATATGGTCTCAAACATGGCGAGGTAAGGAGACCCTGTATGTTATTCATTTAAGTTCAGTCACATTATAAACCTGCGTGGTCGTATACAGGCAAATATGTCGGAAAATAGCTAAATATTTGTTCGATATTTATTGCAGAATGAACAAACCTAGAGGAAGACTCCAACAGAGAGCACATGGGGCTAAGGGAGGTGTTGATAGGCCCGAAATTATCAGAAAACGTAGAGTTGACATGATTATGGTATTGTATTCACCTTGTTTAGTTGTTCATGAAACGAGACATGACCCGAGGCAGTGGTTCCTGCAAAAGGCAATGATCCCCCCCCCCTTACGTCAGGTACACTGTTACCAGAACTGAACTGCTTCCAGTTACAAGACCTCTCATCCAGGGAGGCCCGTTTCTTTTTGACTGTACATACATGGGGTTCTGTATGAATATATTTATATTGGTGGTCACAGACTAATAGCAGGAATATTCTAAAACCTCGTCCATTAATATATCAAGATAATATAATACGTTAATTTGTGTTAAATGACCAGGTGTGTGTGTGTGTATGTTAGATTAGCATCATACAAATATTTTCTCTATAGTATTATGCATGCAGCTAATGTATCTCGTTCTCCACATCAGTCCCTCACCTTTGTTACTTTTCCTCTCGTGGTCGCTCTTGTTATTCGCCTTGTCGAAGTCTTCCGTGTGCGAGATGGGTTGTGGCACGGAGGGGTGGGTGACGCTGGTGGTAGTGGTGGGGAGGGTGTGGCTGGGCAGGTTGGTGGGGGCGGTGGTGGTCTGCGGAGGGGTGGCCATCATGTGGGTGGAGGGTCGTCTGGTCTCGGGGTCTAGTGAGAGGGACGGCACGTCGAAGGCAGGGGGTGGGAGACCAGGGTAGAAACCAGCTGTCTTGTCCAGGTGATCGGCGCTGCCCTTGTAGTCCCCGCGAAGGAAGTCCGCCGCCGCCCTCTCCCGCAGGAACTCCCTAAAGGACACGATAAAGGGTAAACGAATGCACATAGTGAGGAGAAGAAGTGCAGCCTCCCTGTCTCCTGTGAACTGTTTCACGTAGTTGCCGATAAGATGAATGAGAAACAAAGAGAGTGTGGGGAGAGAAGCTGCCTGCCGTCCTCTCTTCTGATATTGAAACTGACAATATCAATATCAACACCTCAAGAACACAACAGATTAGGTCAAATGTGCTTAATGGCATTACACACACACACGTTCACTTACCTAGAGATGGTGGCAGATCGTGGGAAAGCATCTGTTTCACCGCGTGGACGCCTAGACGAGAAAACAACGTGTAAGTAAAGGCTGTTAAAGTGTTCGTTTGTCATCAACCGACCACAAGATATCCACGATGAAAATAACTAAGGCAACGACTCCTCAAAAATCACTTATTAAAAAAACAAACAAAAAACAGATAAACGAGGAAGAAAGAAGACGTTCTCTGTATCTTTGAATACCTTGTGGTCAGCTAATAGACGACATTTAATTCTATTTATCTTGTGAGAGCTAAAGCGCCGTATGTGAACGGGTTTCTAGGACAGCACCTCTGGAACAGACTGATCTATTGCAATGCCGTCACTAAGCAATGCCTATTTACATCACTACGTCACAGTCTCATCGTTGGTGATAAGAAAACAAAATATAAATATTCTTGCTGACAACTAACAGCTTTCCTGAAGGATCAAATTTTCGTGCATAAAGAACAAACAAAAATAAATAAAACGGGATTTCATATCATAGGTGTCGCAAGCACAAACATCTAGTGCAATTTGTTTTTAGTTTTATTGGAGCTAACAAAACCAAAATAAACAAATAAACAATAATATTAATACAGATAATCGGGTCAGGGTACAGAACTCGCAAGTGTTATGGTTGTAGCTCCGGTCTAACACAACACTAAGAACTGTACATTATTTACAGGTGACAACACTTATATCTCTCTCTCTTAATGCACACTCACCCACTTCCACGGTGTAGACGTAAACCAAAGATAAATAAACAAAGCAGATTTGAACCCCTGACCCCTGTTGACCCCTCGTGACCTTTGACCCCTGCAGTATGAGCCAATTTTACTCGACACTTAACCATGTCTTACCTCCGAGTCCTTTTGCAGCGTTATTTAGTTAAAACTATTGATAAATCTCAACAAAATATGGAATCAATTTTCAAAAAATATATATATTTCATATAAAAATAGCAATAATGATTAATTTGTTTTAAGATTTGACAATTTTTCTTTTACATGCATAGGTAAAAGTAGAAAATTATATAATTATGTGATTTAAGATTTGTTTTGACTACAACTACTGAATGATTAAGTATTACCATTATTAAAGTGAAATTAGGTACCATATGTACTACTATTACTGTAGCTACTATTATGAAACTATTCTACTACTTCAGATATTACAATGACAACTACTACTACTACTACAACAACTATAGTTTAAACACAACCACAACGACTACTACCACCACCACCAATGTAAGTTTTATCACCACAACTACTACTACTACTGTACTACTACTACTACTACTATTGTACTGTACTACTACTACTACTACTGTACTATTACTACTACTACTACTGTACTACTGTACTACTACTACTACTGTACTACTACTACTATCTGTAACATCCATCACCATCACTAGTCACCCTCCTACACTATTACTAACACCAAAACAACTACTAACTAATCCCACCACTCTCAACTACCACCACTCCACCACCATTACCAACAAACCTCCCTCCCTTCCTTCCCTCTCTCACCACTCTCTCTACCACTAACAACCCACCAGTCAAAAAATTTCCCTCACTCCTAACCTCTCTCCCTTCACCCCAGGCTCCTACTACCACGCCACGGTACGACTACTACACACTACCAGCCGGCTCCCTACTCACCTTGAGATGGTAGCCGACCTAGGGAAGGCATCGTAGTCAGGGTAGGGTCTCCTGGTGGGGTATTCGACGGGGATGACGGTGATGTAGTTCTGACCAGCGTCTGTCTGGTGGCCGCCAAGACCCCCGCTGTCGTCCTCCTCAAAGCCGTAATCTGACATTTTTCCTAGTGGCATCGGCTGTCAGGGGGATGAAGAGATAAGACATGGGTTAGGGTGATGTCTGTCTGTCTGGGAGGAGAGGGGGAAGAAGTCATAGTGTAGATTAGGATGTCTGTCTGTTTGTCTGGGAGGATGAAAAAGACATGGGTTAGAGTGGCTAATCTTCAGGTGATCTTTTTTTTTTTTTCATTTACAGTATATTCAATTTCTAAACGTTAAGGAAACTAATTCAATATAAGTTAGAACCTTGAGCCGAGCGTGTTCAGAATATAAATGTGGAAATATTAATACATGATAAGTGGAGAGATGAAATAAGAACAAAGCAAAGAAATAACAATAATAAGATAAAGAGATCATTACCTAATTGGAAAGAGTGGATAGATCAATAAAGTGTGTAGGTGTCAAGAGTTAATACTGATTTGGTAATACTTCAAACGTACAAGGCCTATCCAGCGTTGCCATAGTCTAGCCGGGAAGGACTCGGACAACAGAGACAAATCATCTATGTTTATGTTACTGCTGGTGGTGCTGATGCTGCTGGCTTCACTGCTTCTCCTGCTCACCCTACTGATCATACTGCTTTTCCTGCTAACCTGACTCAGCAGGCTGCCTGGGAGGGAATCATTGGTACTGCTCTTCTCCCCTTCCATGTTTTAAAGTTAATAATCCTCTCTTTTGTGTTTGTTTTAAATGTTTCTAATAGGATGTATTTATGATTAGGCTGTTTTATTGTTTGTCATGGTCACTATTGTTTTAGCGTCTGGCCGGTGATGTATTTTTTTTTTTAAGTTAATATCTTTGTTTTCATGAATGTCTGAATGCCCTACAGGTAAAATGATAATGAAATGATAGTGATAAACAGGGTTGTCGCTTTACCGAGAACAAAAATACGGATACATTCCCACATAAAACTTGAGTACGCATCTAATTAAACATCTAGACATAAAATTAGATTATAAATTTTAAACATTTCCCATGCAGAACTTCACTACGAATACATGTTATAAACATAAACATCCGTTCGTTATAAAAACTCAACCAGCGCGCACAGTGTACGTAGGGAAAAAAAATCTCATTCGAGTTCAGTATAGAGGCAGGGCTCGTCAATTACATTCGTCGGCGCGTGATCACTGAGTCCATTCACAACTGCTTTAATTGCTGTATCATTAAGTGATTTGGAGACCTCAATTAACGGGCCACAGACAGACTAGTTTCTATTTGTTGCGACTGCTGTTTCTGTGTCTTCTGTCCTGTTATATTTCTGCTGTCTTCTGCTATATAATAATTTACTGTACAATGCTGTACTATGCTGTTCGTCTTTGTTGTTGTTATTGTTGGTAAACCTTCTGGATATATTTGTTGTGACACGCCTAATGATGTTAAGGTCGGTGTTGTTGTGTTTTGTTGGTAAAGATATGGTTGTATTTTTGGTTGTATTTGTTGATATTCATTAATGGTGTTTGTTGTGATACCTATTAATGTTGTTGTTGTTTGTTATGACACTCATTTATACGAGTTACTGGATAAAATATATCGTACGAATCCTTGAGAATTTGACTTAATTATTCGTTTGTGTAGCCTACATTAGCGCAGGTAGTCATTTTTTTAATCTAAGCATTTTTTCCTAGAAACTTTGGCGTTATTTTAGAAGATAAATGTACAAAACTTAAAAATATTTATTTAAAATATACTGAAAATTTACGGTAAATCATTTTTTTATGAAGTTCCGCATTTATGTAATGGCGAAGAAGTCTGAGATCACACACAACCTGTATTAAGCGCTGGCATGTACTGTATTTACCAGTTGGATGTTATCGTACACACTCTTGCCACTGTTACCTAAATAATACCTTTCGTTCGTATTATTAGAGACAATAAATTTCGCATCACTTTATTACTTATATTTTTCATACTGGTGGACAACCATCTATATTAAAGCAAACTTATTACTAGAACAACATTTGTATCTCTAGTGGACACTGTGAATAGGTCGAGTTAAGTAGTTCACACACCGGTCACATTCATGTCACAGACAAACTGACACTGAGAGACTGTAGCTATCAAGTTTAATCCAACAAGACCGGTTTGTGACGTCAAGGTTACAGGAGTTAGACAGAGAACCAATAGAGAGCGCTTATTCGGCTGACATGAATATGACGTCATTACCTCATGAAGTGTATCCAATCGGGTTCCTCCCCTGCTCTCAATTCTGTGACGACATTGCCCACTCATGTCCAACCCGACCAATGAGAGAACATAATAGGTTAGTGGCGTAGATGAGAGAAAATGTGATAACCTCTGTTGCTTTGTAGTGTGGATGCAATAATCACTTTGTGGATACACAGGATTGGACTTCACTAAAGTTGTCTAACAGTGTGTGTTCCTGTTTTTGTTATATTAACACGTTTCTATTACTTCAAAGTATACAAAGAGTTTCTAAAATAGATATATGCTCTCTATTGCCGGCAGTTCATAAACTGAACTTGCAAGTCTATTGTTAGCCTCTCATTGTTGTCTTTTGTTCAGGTTAAAAAAATCGGAAATGATATTAAAATAACAACACTGTTACCACACATGAATTACAAGACTTTTGTGCACAAACTATTAAAAGTAACTGATAGTATTTTAACGCAAAATATATTGAAAATAAAATGATCAACTGAATATCGGTCTAGAAAAAATATTATACAAATACCAGCAACTTTTTCTCACCCTTAATTCTCAAATACAGCATATAATCATATGGTCGAAGGTGAATCCCGTATATGTGAAGTCAATATTTAATTCTGACATACTGTATCTTATAATGAGTGTGCTGTATTATTGTTTCAACAACAACAACAACAACAATAATAATAATAATAATAATAATAATAATAATAAACAGGTAATTTCAGAGAGCTAAGAATGAGTCACAATGACATCCAGATCACATTTGTTTATGACAATAAATTGGAGTTATAACTCGTAAAAATACATACGGCCTTACAGTACAAACAAATGCTACAATATGAAGCGTGGGTGTGTGTGTTAGCGCTCCATTGTGTTTGTGTTAGACATTTAAGTAATGCTCGAGTGTTTACCTTCGATTGACTACAAGGCAAAAATCCCAATTAATCTGAACTTAAAAACGCGTTATGATGAAATTTAGTCCATTGTTATTACATCTTAATAATGAAGGAATAATTGTCCACGTGGACACTAACAGAGACCAAAATAGCTAGGAAATGACACCAAGACTAGTATAATGAGACACTCACACATATACCACCTACCGGGGAAAACATGGAATTAATGTAACGAGGGTCCGGGGTTCCCACTGACACAGAGGCCAGGGGCGTGACAACGAACGTGCGGAAGTGGCCAGGGCGAGGGTGGTCTGGTGATGTCATTTTACTAGTGGGGGGTGAAAAGGGCGGGAAATTGATTAAAAGGGGAGGAAGGACATTAGGAGGAAGAGGCGGGGTAGAGTACAGAATGGGAGGGGGGAAAGATAAAGGCGAGAGGAGATGAAGAGGCAGTGTGGTGAGTGTGTTGACTGTGGTGTAGTGATGTGTGGTGAGGGCGTGGATGTAGCTGTGTAGGGATGTGGGTGAGACTGCATAGGGATGTGGATGTGGCTAAGTGGGGATATGGGTGTAGATGTCAGTGTGGTGGCTGTGGGTGTGTGAGGATTGGGTGTTTGTGGGCGTGGGTGTGTGAGGATGTGGGTGTGTGAGGATGTGGGTGTGGTGGGTGTGACTGTATAGAGGGAGAAGATGCGACACTGTAAGGATGAGTATATGAAGGATGTTACTATGTATCCTTAATTTATCACTATTTTATTTCGTTAAGTTACTGAAGTTTAAGAATAGTCATCTCATATCTGAAACCTGCAGCAACGTTTACAATTTACTCACGATAGAGGGTACACGCACACTATGATAACTAGACAAAGGGAGGATCCAGTAGCCCAAAGCTGTGTTAACCCACCAGCTTAACGCAATGATATAATCGTAACCTAATCAGAACCTACGTGCAGATCCTCCTCTCTCTCAGGTCACTGCAAATTATCATAAAACGTATAGAAAGCGTTACACTTTATCTTGGGCGTATATATGGCTCCTTTAACTTGCATATTTCGGGGATAAATATACGAAATATTTAGAGTATGATGATGACCTAAAGTTATCAAAGAACAATTCATTACTTAAGTTATATACTATACTATACGTGTGTGTGTGTGTGTGTGTATGTGTGTGTAAAGACCTCTCACAAGTTAAAGGTTATAACTAGACCTTAGTAACAGAATAAAGGAATGCAGGAGGTACACTCACGGGTGGATTCAGATTGCAGTTCGCTTCAAGTGGATGTTTATTATTATAAGTGGTGCTGGTTACGGCTTGAGCATCGAGTCGTACAGCGTTAAGTGACACTCCATAGCGGCACTCACGGTCCGGCAGGGTCACGGCACCTAGCAATCAATGACTCATTAAGATCAACCGGAAATGAAAGGCTCTAATGGGTAATCAGGAATGAATCACTTAAAGTACAGTACAGTATAAATAGTCCGCCGGTAAGTACAGCATATAGCTACAAAATATGTTTATCTATGTTATGAATAAATCTGTAGAGCTCTAACACGATAAGGATCATAATAATTATATAAAGTAAAAAATAAGATGAGACTCAGATAAGAAAAAAATAACGTTCTCGGTACATAACCTAGTAGTTGCAATGCCCACAGCTTATATCAACTATATAGTTAATCCTATAGTGCTAAAATAGCCTATCCTGTGCTGTCTGTTCGAAAGAAACCCTAACATGTGTTGTCTGTTCAAGTGCTATCCACTAACAAGTTGATTACGATTCCAGTGCCTACAGTATGGTTGAATGAATATTAACCAATACTGTACAACTCTTGATCACCACAACACAGGCTAGGATAATCTCTTGATCACCACAACACAGGCTAGGATAATCTCTTGATCACCACAACACAGGCTAGGATAATCTCTTGATCACCACAACACAGGCTAGGATAATCTCTTGATCACCACAACACAGGCTAGGATATCACTTGAAAACAACACAGGCTAGGATATCACTTGAAAACAACACAGGCTAGGATATCACTTGAAAACAACACAGGCTAGGATATCACTTGAAAACAACACAGGCTAGGATATCACTTGAACACAACACCGGCTAGGATATCACTTGACCACAATATAGGCCACGCTTGCAAAAGTCAATTTCATTATGGCCATCCTCTGCGCAACTGACTCACACTAATACTTTTTCAGAAAAGTAATACGTCACATCTCGATTTCACGTTACTGAAGATCAAGAGTACAGTTCATTATACTAATAAACTCAAATTAACTGACTGAGATTATACATTTGTCATCAACACAGATGTACCTCGTTACTAGACAACGACAATGGCATAATGAAAATTCTTGCTACGTTTTCAAGGACTTCCAGGAATTGGTCTGTGGCGATCACTTCCAGGAATCCTCTCCTGTACACTGTATTTAGGAAAGTGTCATTTTGTGTAAATATTGGAAACGATTCCTTTAAACAGCACTGTGGCAAGAAGTAAAACATATTTAATGAGTGGGATGTCGAGTCAGACTATGTGGTATCTGAAAAAAAATGCAAAGTTTGCTATAAGGGCAAATTATTAAAGTGCATAAAAATATAACAATGGAAGATATGATTACAGAGCATAAATGAAAACACTTGGATTGGAAATCAACAGGAATTCTCCTCTTGCTTACCTTATATTTGGCTGTATGGGCCATTATGCTTCCACAAAATCGTCATCAGGCTTTGTTTAAGGTCCAGTTAATTATACATCGTCCAATTTTCCTCCAAGATTCCACAGGATTCGGTATTTCATGAATGAGCCACCACGACTGTTGTTATTGGACAGAGTTGCGCCTGACAGATATGTTCAATCAATACCCTGTGTACAGCTGCTATGTCGCGCTTGTCAATTATTTTTTCTTAATTATCTTATCATGTACGTTTTTTTCGTAAGTATTATGAGACTTTGCTGCTATTTTGTATGAATTGTTTCTAATGATTTTCTCTTCAGAAGTACGCGTTGTTGCTTCCGTCTTGCAAAACAAGAAACGATCTGCCAGAAAGTTGTCGTTTTCTTTTCGCCTTTCAAGTTGGTGAGTTTTCTTTGGTGTGTGCGCCTTGACGGGGTAATTGATATAAAATATCGATATCATCTAGTCACTAGATTCCAGTGCATAGATGCACAACCTTTTCGCTTTCGGGGCCACATCATCAAACTAACTCGTAAGCGAGGGCCGCAAGATTTATGAGTCACCATTATTAGATGTCTGAATTACATATTCAAATTATTTACTCAAACGCACATACATTATTTCTTTTAATGAAATATAATGTTTTTACTTAGACTAGAGACAACCAAAAATTTACTGTCACACATAAATAATTTTAATCTGTAACTTTATAAAACGGCCTATTACCATAAAAAATAATGATTAAAAACCTTGTGCTTACCTGGCGTATCACGCGACAAGTGTTTCTTAACGTGATGTTTGACATTGTGACTCTGAGACGAGCTTCTTGATGTTGGGGTCAAACTTTGTGGTTGCCAGTCGCAAAACAGAGTGCAAATTTTCGTCCTTTAACCTATTTCGAATCTTCGACTTGTTAAGATTCAACAGACAAAATGTTAGACGATTCCTACTCTATCCCCCCCCTACTCCTGCTCCTCCTACTGAACCTATGAACTTTTCTATAATCTCCACTCGTAGGGTTGCTGGTGTGTTATCCAGGTTGGATGTGAGTAAGGCGCATGGACCGGACGGAATACCCCCTCGTGTTCTGAGGGAGTGTGCTGAAGCCCTGGCCCCTGTGCTTGCTCGCCTATTTCGCCTTTGCCTCAAAACCCAAACTTTTCCTTCTTCTTGGAAGCATGCCTTGGTTCAGCCCATCCCGAAGAAGGGTGACCATTCTAATCCCTCTAACTATCACCTCATTTCCATAACTTCACCCCTCTCTAAGATTTTCGAAACTATCTTAAACTCTCATTTTCTCCGTCACCTTGAACGCTTTTCTCTTTTGTCGGATCACCAGTATGGCTTTCGCCAGGCGATATCTACTGGTGATCTGCTCTCCTACTGCACCCATCTTTGGTCATCCTCTCTTAGGGATTATGGGGACACTTTCGTGGTAGCCCTCGACATCTCCAAAGCATTTGACAGGGTATGGCACAAGTCTGCTTTCTAAACTTCTCTCTTATGATTTCTCTCCCCCACTTTGTATCTCAATTTCAAGCTTCCTTGAGAACCGATCCATGGCAGTTGTTGTCGAGGGATCGACCTCTCGCTCTTTCTCTACCAATAGTGGTGTCCCACAGGGTTCTGTTCTTTCACCTACTCTCTTCCTTCTTTTTATTAATGTTTTACTTCACACTACGACTAATTCTATCCATTCTTATGCTGATGATTTTACTCTTCACTCTTCTTCACATTTTTCCCTTTCCCCTAATTCTCAAGCTAGAGCTGTTTCTAGAGCTGATATCATTCCACATACCAATGCGGATCTGAGCAGCATCTCCGAAAGGGGAGGTAGAAACTGGGTTAAATTCAATAATAATAAAACTCAGTATTTACCTATTACACTTTCCAAATTAGATGATCTCCCATCAATCACATTTCAGGACGCAATCATTCTGCCAAGTTCTAAAATAGATATGCTAGGTCTCACCATTTCCTCAAAATTGTCATGGAAGTCACACATCCACAACATTGCTAAAGCTGCCTCCCGAAAGCTGATAACCACAAGCATATACCTAGATCACGCGCACCTACTGGGTAGCTAAGTGCAGTGCAATGGAAAATGTTATCTCATAACAGATCAACTGGTGAAGTCATCAGTTATGAGCATTGTACGATACTTTTTGTTGCGAGTGTACGAGGGATTATTGTAGTTTTATTAATACCCCTGATGGCTTGAACTTGTTCGATATCTATGATGCCGGAATAAAACAATTGTTAGCTCATGAGCTTTGTTGCCATAAGAAAATGCTTTAATTTTTATTGATATAAATATTTATTAGACACTTTTAAAATAAAGTTAAGTGATAAATAATCTTTTGACAAAGAGGACAAATATTTTATTAAAATGGTGGGTTGTTGTATGTTCGAACGCGTTCTTGTTTTCCTAGGACGGAAGCCTTTCCCCTAAATTCCTGTTTCATGCAATATACTAGATTACATTATTTCTTAATCATTAATTACATGAATTAAACTGTATTTGTTCAATAAATATTAACTAGAATTTGCTGGGCCTGAAAGGAGCGCTACATAAGAACTGCCGCGAAGAGAGAAAAAAATATATATAGTTAAAATATATCGATAATTATAACTGGAAATTTTACGAAATATATTCACGATTTTATGGGGCATAATACAACAAGAATTTCAATAAATAGTAAATTGTTACAGAATATTGGTAATGTTAGTGGTATACAACCTGGGAAATATAAGGTAGTCGTGTCCGGCGTGGTGGTGGCGGCTCCCTGGCCAACAACTGCATGGTTAATGTATAACCTCCTGCTTTGCTACTATGGAGAATGATATTTTGGATTCACTGGAAGATCTGGGGTAAGATTATAACTTCAATAACCTTATCAGCTTTAGATTTACGGGTGTTATTATGAATATACGAATGGTAGAAACAGATGGACATGGTAGGTGGTGTCATTGAACGTTCAGTTATTTATTTATTTAAGTGTTTCATGTAATGTCAAGTTTCTCTGGTCTTATGTCTATGGTTTTTATTGACACAACGGAACAAGAAATTTAGACAATGGTGGTTGAAGTTGTATTATTTTATACCTCACGAAACCTTAGAATTCAGCATTAGAAAATGGTACTCGAGAAGTCTTAATGCAGTTGGCTTAGAAATCAATACATAAATATGATTTTTAGCTGGTAAATAAAGTTTTGGGACAACAGTCCTCACGGTCATGATCCAGAGTACTAGGGAGGAAGACAATAATGTGTCTGATAAAGCTGTGCTGGAGTACAAAGTAAGGTTAAAGACCCCAGTGGAAATCCTAAAGACTCCAGTGGAAATCATTTGAGACTTTCATCCAGGCACTCTTGGTTGAGGTGACTTCCTGTTAACCATTGTTTGTATGCCTGGACTGCCTGTGTACATGTTGAAACAATGTAAGCTTGTGTGATGATATTACTGAATATTTATCTACTTCATGTAGCTAGAGATGTTATTTAGTCAGTAAAATTTGTCAGACAAGTTCTGAAGCTCACTTTGGTTCAGTATGTATGTAGACTGTATGTGGGTGTGTGAGAGAGAGAGAGGTCAAAGGTCAGATCATTATGCATGTTTTATATAGGTTTTTTTCAGAGTAAAGGTTCAGATAAGCCCCCTAAAACTGATGGCTTCTGTAATATTGAATTAATTTTTTTTGCTTGAATTTACGGTAATGTTGGAGCAGATGGCTAACACCAGCATGATGTGAACTAAGATAAATTTTTTCAAGTGTTCAAGTTACAAATGTTTAGTAACATAACTACAGTATTGTATTTAAGTTCGGTAGTTACAACTAGCTTATGTTACGATACCACCATGAACGATGTCGTAAACGAAACTGTTCTCTAATTCAATGAAACTAATAATAAAAAAGTACAGGTAACTGAATAGTACCCTTGTGAGTGCCTTTAGTGTTGGTGCTGCAGCAGTATGTTTGGTATTATGGTATTGTAACCAGTGTTTTTCCAATTCAGATATGTTGGCGACATAAGTGATGAAGGTACTTTGAAGGCGTCTGTGGAAGGGAGTGATGGAGGCCCTCGCAATGTAGCTTACACAAAACTGGTTGCATGGGTGACGGGGGAACTGCGAGTTCTGGCCAACTTAGAAGAGATGGTGAATGCAACTACCTCCTCTGATGATCACTCTGCATTTCTCATGGAGGTTTCATCATTCCTTAAGGAACTGAGTGAGCCATTAAACCTGTTGTTATGTAATATTAACTGGAGGTGTAACTTAGTAGGAATAAGCCTGTTTTTTGGATTATTGCATTGTACTGTACGCAGGAATTTTTTCTTTCTTTCTCCCAAAAGTCAGACAACTCCTATAAAAGAAAGTTAATGACAGGATGTTTTGTATTCTTAGACAAGTCCCCCATAATACTAGCCAGGGTTAGTATGCAGTGATTACTTCAGGGAGTAGCAACCCTGCCATATTGGGGTCAGTAATTCTTGACTTAATGTTCAAGAATATTCCAGATTATAAGTTTAGGATAACCAAGAATTGTTATTACAGTATGCAGTGAAAATTTGTTACAAACTGAATTAAATAAATGTGTATGTTTCAGGTTGCCCCCATAGCCAGTTAACAGAAGGAGCTCTGAGTCAACGTCTATCCAGTGCTGAGTCGCGGCTTCTTCTGCTCGACTTTCTGTTGGCTGAGCTTATGGCTGCACGCATGATAACTTCTGTAAAACCTGACCAGGGCATGACGGTTGAGATGGTAAATTTATAGTAATTCATTTCTTTTGGCATAATCCATTTGGGATAAAATATCCTAAAGTGGAACTGGTAGTAGACTTAAATTAATGTATGCTACTCTTAATTTTTTTTAAACAAGTTGGAAAAGATCCTTTGCAAGGTTTTCATTATAAATTGGCCAGTTGGTACCCATTTTATCTCAGAGTTACTGTAGTTTGTCCCATCTGTTTAATGATTTACATAAACCTTGATCACTATTATTTTTTGGCAGTTGGTAAAGGAAATGGAGAAGTATAGATTTATTGTCTTCGTACATGGAAATGCAATTAATTAATGTATAATTACTTTGTTTTTAGCGCGAGAGTGAATACGCACGTGATTTAAAGGCATTACTCATTGCTCTGGGATTCCCAAAGCCCCCAGCTAATATAACTCCACAGCAGCTCTTTGTAAAGGTGGAGCAGAAAGTAAGTGACTTCAGTTTTAACATGTTGTACTGTACTGTATTTTAAAAATTAAGAAAAATATATATACAGTACTCTATGGATTCACTTGACTTCACTTATATTCCCGCTTGTAACTCTGTTTAGGTTACCACAAATATTGTAGTTACTCTTTTACTCTGCTTCCTATCCCAATAGATTTGTTAGTTCCTGTATATCCTTCAGTAAACTACAATAAAAAGCCTCTTTATAAAACTGCTATATAGTCTGTTCACTCGAAGCTTACAACTGATGCCTAGGGTCAATTGTACCAAGGCAACTGATCGGTTAATGGACAGACCCAAAGAATCGGTACAGTTCTTTGGTGCTTAATCTACCATACTTATAGTCTTATATGTTAAGGGATAATAACCTTTCTTTTGTTGAGCTCTGAGAACTTCTTCACTTGGGGAAACAAATATTAGCATGTGAAATGCATTGGTAATAAAAATATCATAAAAGAGAACATAAACAAATTTCGGGAGGTACACTCTTTGTCATGTAACATCACGCAGCTTTGTGGAGAATGTCGCTGAAATTACGTTTCCTCTTTTTGTTCTCAACAAGATATTTATGTTCCCAGAGCGTTTTACATGTTAATTTTTGCTTCTCCAAGTGCGGCAATTGTCAAGCGATCAACATAGAAAAGTTATTATCCCTTAAAATATCAGAAGATAAATGCATATAATATACAGGTGTTGTATGTTATATATTTATGAAATAAAAATTCAAATTTATTACGTCTCCTCCCATAAATTTAGATAAGAAAATCGATCTCATGATAATTATTATATATTTTGAAAGCCAGAGGAACAAAGGAGTGTGGCCAAGTAAAAAATATTGCCAACTAGGATTTTCAGAGAGCTGATATGACACTACCTATCCTTCTATGTACCTTGACTAAGGGTTCCTGACACCAGCCCTGTTTTTGATAATCCTAACAGGTGAATGATGTGAAAAGCAAGGCCCATTCATCACTGATAGGTAAACCACTTTTCACTGGTGTCCTATCAGACAAACAGTGGAAGATGTTAGGAGAGATGCAGAATGAAATGCAGAATGAATATCGAATGCGAAGAGAAATGATGATTAAACGTCTGGATGTCACAATACAATCATTCCAGGTAATATGTTTGTTTGAGAAATTGTTCAACTCACTGGGAATGTTTTTTGGAATTACATTAGGTAGATGAGTGAACTACATGACTGAACAGTTAAAGAAATGGCTTGAAAAGCCAAAGATTTTAGGACAGAGCCACATCTGTGAGTTAAGGACTATTACTGCACACTCAGTCTATGTGAGTGGATGCTGGCTTGCCCAGTTAGATAAGTCTCGGATCTTGTGATCAACTTGCTTTATATTTGAGAAATATTGTTTGGTGTATTGTAAGCTGTAGAAGAAACTTATAGAACCAACACTGAAGGTTGTTGAGGTGCAGCACATATCTGTTCACCTTTAATTTATCCAGCCCCATATTCAATCTCCTTTCCATTATGTATTCCATGTTTCATGATACGTTATGTATTGTAGTCGACTACAGTTCAAATTTTTATGTAAAAAAATAGGGGATCAAACTATATATGCATAATACTTTTGAGGGATAAAATTCATGCATTTCTGTGGGTCATTAGTGGTGAATGGGAGTTACCAGTACAGGGTTATATTAATTATTTTTATTTTTTTATGTTTTGTCCCTAGTGGTCAGATAAAGCAAAAATGAGAGAAAATGACTTGACAAAAGCCTTCAGGATGAGGCGTGATCAAATGAAGGAAGAACCCAGTGTATCAATAGGCGACATGCTTGCTGCTCGTGAAGATCTAGCCGTTCTTGAGAAGACGAGTAATGCATCTGTTCGTAAACAGACAAAGTCTTCTCTAAATAAGGTAATTTTGTTTGATGAATACAGTTCCTTAGATATTATTGGCTTTTGAGTACAGGATATGGTACAAGAAAAGTTTTTTAAAACTTGTAAATTGTATGTCCACCTTCTCTTTTCTTATTTATTTAACTTGTGTTCTCTTGTGTAAAATACAGCTTGTACTGAAGGGTGGTGTTCCAGGGTCCTATTGTATCACTGTTAGACCAAGTACAGTCTAAAGCTATTCTTATTAACAACCAGTCTCTCACATCCTTATTATGTTCTCCTTTCTTCTACTATTTCATGAAAAGTACTATTTTATATTCCAATGAAACCAAATATTTAAGTTCCAGATCATCTAAAGTTATTCTTTTTGATCTGATGCCCTCCATAAGTCACCTGTGCAGTACTGTACCAAGTCTATGGGGTTGAAAACCTAGGTGTACCCCTTTACATGCTTTCCCATCATAACCAGGTTCTTTAAAGAAATCCTGAGAAACAAGTCTCCATTTTGAATCGATGGCAATGAGTTATGAAGTTGTATCAGAATGTGTGTACTGAAACTGTCAACTGAGGGCATTCAATAACAACTAAATTGATTCATATTTGTGAATTCGAGTGAATTTTCATAAATATAGAGGGCGATTAACCTTTTTCAGATTATAATTGGGAGGGTTCCAGACCGAGGTGGACGGGTCAATGAACTTGAACCTCCTCCTCCGGAGATGCCATCATGGACGCAACGGCAGTCTGGTGGAGGTAAGATATTAACTACCTATTTCATTTGGTTTTGGTGCCATTTAAAGTAAATTTATGCATTGTAAATGTAGACCATCAAAGGCCGGGAAGATATTTATGTGTAAAGTAATTTTATCAGTTGTGCATTCCTGTAATTTCAGCAGAATTTTATTGGGATCATAGAAAGATGTAAGAATTATTTTCATCAATAACAGTTATGTATGGCTTAAATCACTTGATGTTCAGAACTACTCCTATGCCACATTTAAGCAAGTGCTTTTTGAAAAATATTTGTTAAGGACAAATTAGTTTGTTCTATAAAAAAGAAAAAAGACAAGTGAGTTTTTAGGGTTGCACATTAACTTTTGTTATATGGCAGTGGAAAAAAATTCAAGCTCTCCTATTAGCCTATTGATTCATATAAAGTACATTTGTTAATGTAAAGTACTATATTTGTTGCTCATTTTAGTTCATTTTCATTCTTTTTTCACTGAAAACCAGGCCCTCAGAATGCTTCAGCTGGTAAGATAAATATTATTGCTGTTTGCCATTACAGTATTTGTCAAGTTGCATCTATTTCCTTTTTTGTGTGTATAGCAACAAAGCATTATGCTTGCAACACACTTAATAAGATATCCCTGACCATTAGCTTGTGCCATGCCATGTGACTTAGCATTTGTGGGATAAGCTTAATAAAGCTTTCAAGATGCATCATATTCCAGTACAGTATACAGCACTGCAGCATAAACTGGTTGGAAATGATTTTACACAGAATGGTTAGATTAAATTATATTACAGAAAAATAATTAGGTTGCTGAAAATTTAATCAGTAGATATTTAGGAATGTATTATTAATGCAGTACAGTATATTTTTTCTATTATTAATTGACTTAGTACTTGTTTTTAATTAATTAATTTAATTTTTTATCCATTTTGAATGTGTTTGTTGAATTAGTCATTACCCGAGTTGTAAATTTACAAATTATAACCACTAAATTCGGGATATTGAACGAATAGTCACCTTTACAGATATGGAGTTAATTTTTAATTTAAAAAAAATGGATTTCAAATGGATATCATAATGTGTTTATTTACTATCAAGCGTGAGTACTGTACTGTATGTTATATACTCACACTGCCTGCCTTTTTACATCTGCTAGTGAGATTGAGTGATCTTTACAACTCTCTTGGTTTGCGCACTAAGTTACTTTACAGTTCTGTACTGGCTTGTCATTTATTTAAAATACTGTACAGTACAGTATATTACGGCGATATAAGGGTTAAGTCTCTTCTACACAGTGAAAATGTGTTGTGAAGGGAGGTACTGCTTACTTTATTGTAAAATAATGTGTAAGTCTTTTTTCGAGAGTTTTCCAGTTTTATGATGCTTGCATGATGGATATACAGTATTGCTTATTTTATGAATTCTCTGGATTTAAAACAGAGGATTGATCCTGATATATTTTCTTTATTATTATTATTTTACTATTGTCCTTCAGCCAGATGGCTCAATTGTACGAGGCTACTTTCTAGGGATGTTAAGTCATGTGATGCCCCTAAATCTCATCCAGGTCTGCTTCATAATCCTTTTGATTATAGCCTCCTTATCACAGTCACCTCAGGAAAGGTGATTGGTGTAACTGCTGCCATCTAGAGGCAAGGAGCTCTTGGCTTTTTTTTTTTGCTGATAGCAAGACTTCTTTAATAAGGCCTCAGCCTCTTGAGGGTAGTAGCCATTGCACAACTCACCCCCACTAAGGTGACAGTGTGATGGGATTGGTATATCCATTTAACAAATCATTGTTGTCTGACAGTATGGGGATTGTTAGATTATTTAGATTATAAAGAATTCTCATTGAACTTGTGGTTTCCTGATACTATACTGACACTTGACCTCTTGTGATACAGAAGGTGGCAGCCAGAAACCTCAGTCAGGTTTGTTAGGTGTTGGCTTACGCTGGTGATCTTTCCCTAACAGAATGCAATATATATTTGATTATATAGCACACTAATCATTCCTCACTTCCATTGCTTCTGTAATTTTGTGTTACTTTCTACATACCTGGCATATCACAGTTTGGTATGAATTAACTTAAAGTGATGAGTTTGTATACACACAGTAAAAAAAGGTACCTCACGATTTATGTGCAAAACAATATGATAGCACGGACGAGGGATAGTGGAATATGCGTGTACGATAATTATTGTAATGGTGTTGATGATATTATGCCGGTCCTATGGGACGTAACTAATTTGGCCATACAGGCACGCATACCAGCCCTCCCGGCACATCAAGTGATGTATGGATCATATTGAAGTCAGCAGATCCCCCCTGGGCGATACTTTTTTACTGTGTACACTGCATGAATAATAGATAATGGAAATATAATATACTGTACAAGTATCCATTTCTATACAAATGGGTTAGATTCCTTGAAAAACCATTTGTGAAGTGAATATTCGTATAGCGGATGACAACAAATGGGAAAAATATGGCTTGATTCCCCATTATATAAAAAAAATCAAATTGGTTCACAAACAACAACAACAAAATACCCAACTACTGTTAGTTAGTACCTAACTACTCTATTCTAGTACCGAACTACTGTATTCTAGTGTCTAAGTAATCTAATTTAGTACCTAACACATTAAATGATTAATAAAATATAAATTTGGCACACTACCGTAAAGGACCATCATTCGTATCCTAGGAGGTTTAAGAATAGAATATGTAAATAAGTGAATATTTGTAGAGTGAACATTTGTATTGTAAGGGATATATATATATATATATGTGTGTGTGTGTGTGTGTGTGTGTGTATTATTTATTTATTTATTTATTTTTTAAAGTCTTTCAGCATCTTCCCACTACAGTATTCTGTTGTGTGGTTAGAACCAGAAATAAACACATACTCTCTTTACACCATCCCCACAACCCATCAGTGCCTTTTAAATACATACAGTAATTTTCACAGATGTCCTTAAAATTCTGGTGAGTGACGAATGGGGCAAAGTTAAGATTGCCACCAGCTTGTGTGTTGGTTTTATACACTGATGTGCATGTAAGAAAGATGAGGATGTATATATTCTTGAATTTCCACATTAGTTATTATTTAGGGTGGTCTTGAGGTGCCAGGTGAGCATTTTTTCTGTGCCTACTCTTTTCATTATTTCTTTGACAAGTTTTATACCACAAAGAACTACTGTAATAGGGTAATTTTTTTTTTTAATTATACTGATAGAAGGGAAATTTATTTGTAATACATATATTCTACATCATAGAAAATCCCTGTTATCTTGCACATGGAGTGCAAAGATCTGCTTCTTTTCTTTTAACAATCTCTGTGTTGTCTATTATTATCCAATGGTTCAGGATTAGCTTACTTTATTCATGTTACTTATACTGACTTACCAGTATTACTGAGCTCTTAGATAAGGTAGGACTATGTAACAAAATTTAATCAGTTATTAAATTTTCATACATTAAAAGGTAAATACTGTATGACAAATTTAGTATGTTTTAACTGATTGTTGTATTTCTCTGGTAAATAGTAAGTTTAAATGGAAAGTGTAATTAAACCGTATGCAATAAAAACACTATTGATATTGTCTATTTTTAATATTTTACTCTTTCAGGTGGATATGGTGGTGGTGGAGGAGGAGGAGGTCGCGGTGGAGGTCGTGGGGGTGGATTCTCTGGTGATCGTGTCCAAGGCGGATGGAATCAGGGAGGTGGTGGAGGAGGAGGTGGTGGTGGTGGTGGTTATAGTCGTGGCTATGACAATCGTGGTGGTGGTGGAGGAGGAGGAGGTTATGATAACAGAGGTGGTGGAGGAGGTTATGATAACAGAGGTGGTGGTGGGGGGTATGATAACAGAGGTGGTGGTGGGGGGTATGATAATAGGGGAGGTGGCGGAGGATATAGTAACCGTGGAAGTGGTGGCGGTGGCTATGGTTGGGGTGGCGGCGGCGGTGGTGGTGGTTATGATAATCGTGGTTATGATAATAGAGGTGGACATGGGGGCAGGGGAGGAGGTAGAGGGGGTGGTCGAGGTAGAGGTGGTGGTGGTAGAGGAGGTAGATATTAAACATTTCAAGAATTTCATATGCAGCTTGTAATTGGAGATATAGTTTCAGAAATCCTGTACGCATTTGTCAGCACTCCATGTAACCATATACCAATATATATACGTACAGTATATATAGGGTGAACTTATGCCCAGTATTAGTTTTTCATATTAGTGCCATTTAGTGGTAAAAGAAAATCATGGTATTGGAAATAGGAATAGCTTTTTTCCACTAAATAGTTTTGTAAAATTTATTAGAAAAAATTGCAAATTTTAACATTGAAGTATATGTAATGGGCTAATCACTCCCAGTTGTTGTCTTCCATGCTACATGATAATGTTGAAGATGTGGAATCTACAAAATGGAAGACTAATTCCCAGGTGACTTTAGGTAAATACTGACCAGCTGCAGCTGCTCTATCTCCAATAACTAATGTCTGTATTTGCTTCTTATAACCTGCTAATTACATAAGAAACTTCTTAAAAGATTTTTAATCATTCCTTTTTTTATAAAACCAATTATGAAATCAAGAATTGGAATCCTTTGTGGAAGAATCATGGTTACAAAAAGATTTGAATTTTTTTTATTAAATGCCCATTACCATAGCCATTCAAGTATAATATTCTGCATGTTATGTGCATGGTAACTAAATTACCTTGAAATATAATGGGCAAATCACTGTAGCAATACACATTTAAGTCACGACTGGCTTATACAGGCATTGTATGAAAATTATAATGTAATCATTTTTGTAATTTTTCTCTATGGGTGATGGCTTAAACAGATGGTGCATAAGTCATAGCCTTGATGTTTTGAGTGGAAAATAAATGTCAAATGATATCCTAGTCATTAAGATAATGTCTTGTAATTAACCATGAAGTTATTTTGTGCGGTCTGATACATACTATACATAGCTAGTTTAAGGAAGTCTTGAAGAAATAGAAATTACTGTAAGATGCCAGAACATCTAAAGAAATTTGAATTATGACAAGAATTAAGTTTGCAGGCAAATGGGATTCCATCACTTTCATGTTCACTAGCTAAACTTCCCAACAATATTCTCCAAAGGAGTTAGAAATTTGCAGTGGCATGATCCAAATTTTAAAGCACAATTCTCTAGATTATTGTCCATAAACATATTCAAAGAAGAAGGTTGACGTATTTTAGAGAAAGATATAACATGCATAAATTGTAAAATTCTATGCCTGTGATGGTAGTTCCAATATTACTGTGAAAACCTTCATGTTTTATCTTCCCATTCAGAAAATACATATATTTTAAGTCTCCGGGTACTGTCACTGGTGTTCAAGAATGATATGCAGAAAGCCATTGTTCCTTTGAATCTTTGGCTCACAATGCTTACCCTGAAAGTTTTTAATTTTACTACAATGCATCCAATATTAGGAGAAATTAAGATTACTTTTTCTTTTACTATAATTGGCACCTGTGAATTTTACCCAGTGTACATGATGCCAAATGCTTTGTGAATTTTTACAGTCAACTTATAATCAATAAGTATGTAAACTCGACCATGAAAAGGGATATTATGTTTGGAGTATACTGAATAAATACCTGACGTCCAAGTAAGAACGCAGGTCGAGGATACTCAAATTTTTTTTTTCTTAATTACCATTGACTATACAGTGGTCCCTCGATTAACGAAATTTCGGTTAATGAATTAGCTCCCATAAGGATTTTCAGTTCCATTAGCGAACAAAACTTTGATTAACGACAACCTTACGAGAAACACGCTTTGTTGTGCGCATCAGCTGATCGGCTAGTCCACCAATACAGTAATTGGTTCTATGTTTACATTCGTTTCCAGTGGAGTAAATATCAAGAAAGTTGTACTCTTGAATATTTCTGCATTTTGTATATTAAAATTATTGGTCATTCTGTAATTAATTTAACATATTGATAATATATACAGTACAGGGAACAGTTTTTGTGTGCCCTTCAGCAGATCGAGTCACCCACCAAAGCTTCTCAGTTTAACTTTGTTTCCAGTGGAGTGAACATCGAGTTTGTTGGTCTCTTGAATATTTTTGCATTTTTACATCAAAATTATTGGTAATTCTGAAATTTAGTTAACATATTGATAATATACAGTGCAGAAATTATTATGCAACATGAAGAAGGCATTAGAACCAATGCACTCTGTAAAGAATATGGCATGTCATCACCAATTGCCTCTACAATCAGCTGTTTGATATGTAAACAAAGCTGCCGGGAATGCGACATACACACCACAAAGTAGATTAAAATACAATATTCTATTGTTTTTTATTTATTATTGTACAGTACTGTATTTAGTTTATATTTAATGTTTCTTTAATTCTATTACTGGTATACAGTACTTTGTATGTACTTTTTCTGTGAGTTGGAACCAATTACCCAATATCCCATTGAAATAATATTCAGTTCACAAAATTTTCGGTTAACAACCGACTCTATGGAACCAATTGTGTTTGTTAATTGAGGGGCCACTGTATTGTTATCCTAAGCCCCCTTAAAGGTCCTCAAGTTTATTGTAGTGGTTTAGACAATACTGTAACTATGGGTTGCCAACTTCTAAGGTTGGGAAAAGATCTTCTACACAAGTTGTTTTAATTGAAACAATGGAAAAAAATTCTTCATTATTACCTTAGCATGAACTTACAGATCTGAATGTTTTTTAAAACATTTTTTCAGATGAGAGTGTAATCATTATTTAGTTTGTCCAACCATTTAATATTTGGTGTCTGGTCCATAATTTCTTAACCAATGGAAGAATTACAATGAAACTTTGCACATACAAACTTTAAATTAAAATTTTTACACCTTAAATTCTGGGTAATAGAACTAAAGTCAAGGTTGTGGAAAGATTAATGTAGGAATGGCTAGCCTTGTTTGTTTCCTGTCTTCAGGTCAGGGAACATCAGTCAGTGTTGCTAACCTCTTCCCTCTAGTTTTTATCCCTGTTTACACCGACGGCTCTAAGTCCGATGCAAGGGTGGGTTTTGGGATAGTCTTTCCCACGTAAGAAACGACAGAGGCAAATTTTTAGAATATCCCCGAATAAATGAAAAATTTTCAGTAACTTTTTTGGTTCAGACCACTGATACCAACTTGTCATCGCCAGGCTCCACAGTGTTACAGTGGCTTGTACTGTATAGTACTGTACGTATATGGTAAGTAAGGAAGATATTTACTGTAGTGTTAATTGGAATATGTTATGCTAGATAATGTTTTCCTACCTTGTAAACTGTTCCTATATGTGTAAAACATTGTATCTTGGGAATGAATTAAATTTTTGACCTACTGTACATGAACCAAATGCTATACAGTATTTCCTATAGGAAGTCGACTTCAAATACTGTACTGTAATGTATTAACAAATTATGCAATTTCAACCAATTTTTATACTTAACCTTGGCAATTTACAGATGTTACTGCATAACCATATCCTGTTTGGCTTTTCATAAAAACTCCTAGGATTTTACAAATATTAAAAAAAAAAGAGAGGAAGATAGTACTCACCCTATCTCAACCTGAGTGTGATACGCCACGCCGGGATCAAGTAGCTAATGCTCGGGGTTGACTAGAAACTGTTCACTTTGGGAGTCACTTTGTGGCTATTACCATCCTTCCCCTTCACTCCTTAAAAATAAAGAGGGAGAATTATCTTACAGTAATTTTCTGATGTCTTAATTTTTTGTAAAATATAAATTAAAATACTGCATACTGTACAGTACATATACAGTATTTATGTGTGTGTGCACCATGTGTATTGAAAGAGGAGGGAAAAAAAATGGTACACTGAGTACTTTACAGTGGGGTAATGGACTACAAGCTGCAAAGATTAGTAATACAGTCAGTCCTCGACTTAAGACGGGGTTAGGGACCGACGACCAAGTCGTAAGTCGAAAATAATACATAGAAAATCTAAAATTAAATATGGTACAGTAAAAGTAATCACTAATGAAAAATGAATAAAATGTTACTGTGCACTTTTCTTAATGTAGTCAGCTGAATGCACACGGGGCCTCAATAATTTTTTAATTAAACATGGAGACTACATTAATTGGATGAAGCAGAGGAGGAGACGGCTGGGTGGGTCATCAATTTCGCTTTCTTCAGACAGGCTAACATACTTGCTTGTTGAAGGTATTGGGTCATCTTTAGGGAGTGAAGAGGCAGCAGTGGTGGGGCGTGAGGAGACAGCAGTGGGGGACTTCTTAAAATATATTCCAATTTAGACTGCACAGTTTGCCTTTTATTTTCATTGTAAATCTCCCTGTAGCAAGCAAGTGCCTCTTGGATCAGTCTGTCAACTTTTGCAAAACGCTCAACATTTTGATCCATTTCTTCAAACATTTGCATCCCCTTATTAATAGTAGCAAATGCCTCTGCCTTGTCCTTCAAAATTTTTGATATCGTCGAGCGAGAGAAGCCAAGGTCGCGTGAAATGGTTGCTACTGTTTTTCCATTTTCATATTGCATTATTATTTTCATTTTCATCTCAAAAGTAATTGACTCTCTCTTTTTCTTCTGAGCACCACAAGAACTCTCCTTTTACGCTTGCCAGTCATTTTAAAGGGAATTAGAAACGAAAATTTTGTCAGTACACAGCGCGATCACTAACACCAACAACAGCCAAACACCAATTGAGCGGGCTACGGCGTGGATGCTGTACACCACGAGGCGACCCAGCCCACGCCACGATGTCGTATGGGACGGAAATGTTTCGGTACAAGAAAATACGTACGTAATTGGAATTTTTTTTTATACTACTGAGGCGGTCTTATGTCCGGGTGTTTGTAAGTTGAGGAGTACCTGTACTGTACTGTAATATGTCAACAAAACTATGCTATTAAGGTTTATCTGTACTATATATGGACTGAATGGAGGGAAATAAGTTATAACACAATCTGTTATTTACATTTTATTTAAAACAAATGTAAAATATTTATAAATATATGCATCAAGATACGGGTACCAACTATGCAATTTTCATACACTAATAAGAAGAATTATGAAAATATAGACTATGCCTTTATCAGGAGAGCTGCCCGTGATATGGCCTGGTGATGGGTAGTCATAAGGTAGGTTCCCAGCTCCCATGAATAGGTATGACATGATCATGTGATCTCAAGGGAGAAAAAGGTCACATTCCAAACTTACCGTCCATACACCAGTGACACTCATTATGGATTCAGAAGACAAAAATCCCCAATATCAAGTTTTAATGCCATTTAATGGATCCTTTATTCTATATTGAGAAACACACCTTATTTTTCTCAAATTAGTGAAGCATCAGTTCAGACCAGACCACTGAATCATGGACACAACTCAACTGTAACAAATAATAATTATGATGTAATTTAACCTTGATCCACCAAAGACACATTGCTACAGGTTTCAGTAAGTTACTGTGAATGGCTGAAAGAAATTGTTCACAATGAATCTTGAAAGCCAGACATATATTGGTGTTATTGCTTACCTTATTTATGAATACCAATGACATCAATGGTTAGACTCGTAAATTTAGCACTACCAACTGAGTTCTTAGGCTCACTAAGGAGAGAGAAATATTCTCACTAAGTTACAGAACTGTTTTGCCTTCTCAGAGCCTCTACAACACAATAAAGGAATGGGTTATTTCCTAGTAATCTACCAGTACTGTACAAATAAATCTATACTGTACTCAATCAAGTCTATTACCAAGTTGAAGTGATGACTTCCTTACAACGAGCACATAAATCCTCTCTATGTTCAGCTGTAAATTTCCAGCATCTTAAGCACTTGTTTCCAATGGAGTCTAATACTTCTAAAGAGAATTCTTCTGTGTCACCTGAAATGCAATAAAATAAAAATTAAACTGATTTAAGTTTAAATAAAAATAGAGAAAAGTGCTCCAGAAACATATTGCACACTATAAAACATGTCAAGCTGTACTGTACCAATGAAAAAGTTTTAAGTTTTGCCCCAATTATGTTGTTCTCAAAAGATTAACATAACCATAGTCTGTTCATTCAAACTTTGCTACTGAGGCCTAGGATCAGTTTGTAGTACAGCAGCAGATTGGCTGGCAGATGGACATGGAGAGTTACTACAGTTCTTCAGTATTTAATCTATCATATTTATATTGATCACAGTAGATATTCTGATGAAATTTCACATGACTATTTAACACTAAATAAAGTACATTCATCCTTTCTCATGTAGTTAACTAAATAAAGTACATTCATCCTTTCTCAGGTAGTTAACTCTAGCCCATACTAATAATTTACAGTAATAAATAATCAATATGATACAATATTACATCACAAACCTTCACTGGGTAGTAAAATTACTCTTGAAACCCGAAGTAGTTCAGTTAATCCTGAGTCTGTTGTGTCTGTACTTGTTTGCATCAGCTGTGGAAGAAAATATTGCAATTGGTTAGTCCTGTAAAATGAATTCTCTCTATTTAAAAACAAAACAAAAAACAGTACAGTACCCGGTAGTCATAAGCGCTGACAAAATTATTAGGAGCACTACTCTGGGAGAACAATGGATGCTAACCACTAGTGTACACACCCAAGGGCTATCCCATACAAACAAGGGAAGTAGCTGCAAAACAGTGATGATGAGGGACTGACAGCAGAGTAATTTTAATAACTTTATGAACTCTTAGGTGGTCATAACATTACTAAACAGAATCAAGGGGTCATGAACCCATTCTCACACTAATACTGTACCTCCATCTGTGCTGTCATAAGTCTTCCTTATCAATCTATCACCTGCTTTGTATTCCACATACACATAAAACTTTAGTTATATTTCATACATTTGTCTCCCCAAAGATTTGTTTTATAAAATAATGCAAAGAAAAATTTTATTTGAAATTTAAAGCCTTTCAAGGAAGGTGTTTCAATGCCAATAATGTAATTAACTTCCTGTAGTTGCAACTGGCAGCTGGAAAAAGTTGTACAGTTTAAAACTTTAAAAAGAAACAAACAATGATGCAACTCACTCTGAGAGACTGAAGCATGTTGCCACCAGCAGTCAGTTTGACATGCAGCTTCAGGGGATCTATGGCTGAAATGCTTCGATAAAGCTCATCACGAACTGTTAAGCACTGTTCAATGTTCCTGGCCAGCTCTGGCTGATTCCACAAAGAGGGAGCACCACTTGTCGTCTGTTGGAATACACACCAGTCTGGAAAGATATTTTTTCTTGTCATAATAAATGTAGTCTTAATATTGTCTCAAGCCAGCTTTGGGCATATCAACAGCAACATGTCTAATTACTATACAGTACAGCATGGAAAAGCAGTTTACAATATATGCATTACCACCGTATGTGCACATCATCAGAACAGTGTGCAACTTAAAAACATAACACACACCACCAATCAGCTGTGTCCTGTGAGATGACTTTGCATGTTGCCATTGTTATATGTAAAAAACTATATAAGTTGTGGGAAAATAATTTCATCACTAATGTGATCTAAAAATAAAGAAAATATCACAAATGACTGTAAAATAAGAAAAAATTAAGAACATTGTGTTCATTTTCTGTGAGAAGTGAACATGTCTGTCGAGCCAGTGGGTAGTCATCAATAGTGCATCTGGCAACTTGTCTAGTTAGGCCTATTTCAGTTTCACCCAATGGATACGGCAGGTTACCCTAAGCTGCATAAAATTGTCTGGCTGTTGCCAAAATAAAAACAGTAAGTGCGGGAATTGCAGCAAGGGGGTTAACTGAGATAGGTTTCAAACCCAAAACTGAAACATGTGCATTATAGGTTGTGTAATGTGAGAGGAAGTGAATGTGTAGTGGATATGATGTTGATATGTAGTGAAGATGATGATGGTGGGTAATGGAGATTATGTGTGTGTGTGTAGTGGAGATGATGTGGATGTTTAGAAGAGTTGAATGTCAGTACAGTATAATCCTCTTTAACAATTCTGATGGCCTTCAGACAAAATTCCATTTAATTTCTTAAGCTGTAAGCTGAGCCCTAATATTCCAAATTTTCACAACTGTGCAATGTCTCAAGTTGTAGGATCTTATTCTAGAACATAACTTACTCTGTATACATGGGCAGATATGATATGTATTTCAATCACCTTTATTACTATGGTGGTGTAAAGCAACTTCCTCAGTCAAGTGTGGCAGAACAGGAGCAAGGGACAGCAACAGATGATGAAGTAAGTGATGAAGCACCAACAACGCAGACATACGTTTATTTCCTGTCCGTGACTCACAGTAAAGTCTGAAATAGACGGGAGTTACACAGATCAATCGGTTTTCGATATGAAGCTTTCTACTGTGGTTTTGTCTGATACAATGGTAATGTGGGAGAGTGGAAAAAAAATTATACCTGTGCTTGTATTCGAGTTCTTAGATGTTATGATAGAAAATAAATATGTGGGAAGAACACCTACAAGTACAGTAGAAGTGGCAGGAAAATGACAAAAGTAAGGCTGAAGGATAGAGAAAAAATTTATCTATGGATGAGGGTTGGTGTGGATGAGTATGTGGTGTTACTGTGTGTGTTGTTTAATGATAATTTGTCTTTATATGAGATGGTGGCTCGGAGAACGTGATGTGATATTGATATAGATGCAACTGATATGAACAGTAAATAAACAAAATTATTTGATGAACAGAAGATATTCAAGACCGAGTACAGTACTTATAAAAAGACAAAAGTAAGGACATTATAAAGTATATAAATAGTTAAAGTATAAATTAAATCATGTAAAATACTAAACACCAAATTACTTTCATTGGAACATAAAATTACTATACTGTACCTGTCTTTTATTATTGAGATGTAGAGCCCAGAGATGTTTGAGTTAATGAAGGCAATAGAGGCTGCAGTAACTCGATGATAGAGGAACTTCTCATAATACTCCCATATCTGATACACAAGAGAAATGAGGTACACAATATACCACATACAGTTGTGAATATTGGAGGAATGAAGAGTTGAAGGTGTCCTGTCAGCCTTAGTGAAAGGGTAGTGTGTGGAATGTGTAAGAAATATGCATGAAAGGGTGGGTGCTTATTCTGAGTTTGTGTGTGGATGCATAGCTATAAGTTTCCTAACACCATTAACATCAAATATTAGAGTAGCAGAAATTAATAATTCCTGAAGCATAGTAACATTTATAAGAAATGACTGGGTAATTAATGATAATACAAGGACTATATTGGGAGTCAAGTAGTCCTTACAATAATGCATGAATATAGCTATACTGTACTAAGATGGAGCTATGAAGGTATGAGAAGAGAGTCAGAGTGGATTGGAGATGAACTGAGAAATAATTGAGTTGTTCACATATAGTATGGGTATAAATGAGGGATAATACTGTGTCACTTAATTATGGAAGGAAGTGAGACAACCGATGAATCGGTGAACAACAAGTACATTGGTCCCTCGGTTAACAAACACAATTCGTTCCGCAGAGTCGTTCGTTAACCAAAAATTTTGTTCACCTAATATTATTTTAATGGGATATTGGGTAATTGGTTCCAACTCACAGAAAAAGTACATACAAAGTACTGTATACCAGTAATAGAATTAACGAAACATTAAATATAAACTAAATACAGTACTGTACTGTACAGTATAATGTACAATAAATAAAATACAATAGAATACTGTATTTTAACTTACTTTGAGGTGTGTATGTCATATTACCGGCAGCTTTGCTTACACATCAAACAGCTGATTGTAGAGGCAGTCGGTGATGACATGCCATATTCTTTACAGAGTGCATTGGTTCTAATGCCTTCTTCATGTTTCATAATAATTTCTGTACTGTATATGATCAATATATTAACTAAATTTCAGAATGACCAATAATTTTGATGTAAAAATGAAAACAATATTCAAGAGACCAACAAAATCGATGTTCACTTCACTGGAAACAAAGTTAAACTGAGAAGAGTTGTTGGGTGATTCAATCAGCTGAAGGGCGCACAAAAACTGTTCCCTGTACTGTCTATATTATCAATACATGAACTAAATTTCAGAATGACCCATAATTTTTATATAAAAAATGCAGAAATATTCAAGAGACCAACTTTCGTGGAAACGAATGTAAACATAGAACCAATTACTCTATTGGCGGACTAGCCGATCAGCTGATACGCACAACAAAACATGTTTGTCGTAAGGATTTCGTTAATCAAAGTTTTGTTTGTTAATCGAACTGAAAATCCTTATGGGAGCTAATTCGTTAACCGAAATTTCGTTAATCGAACCGTTCGTTAACCGAGGGACCACTGTAATTATATATAAGATGTTCAGGTATGATGGAAATCCTAATTCACTTTTTCACTCTCAACATTACCTGAAGGTGAGTGAGGGAGATTTTGTGCAATTTTTCACAAGTACTGTATACAGGTACAGTATTTCCTCTATATCGAAATCAATGGTGAGCAGCCAGTTTGATGTAGGGAGTTTTTCAGTATAAAATAAATCTGAAAAACTCATTCAACACCAATCTTTGTTCAGTACATGAGAAAAAGTATGGTATTTTTTGTCCAGATAAATTGTCACAAGACCAGAGGGGGAATTTTCCGTTCGGTCCAACCAGCAACCTGCCTTTCCTACATTTCTATCTGTCAGCATCTATGATGTTTTTTTCCCAATGGAAATCCCTACACTTGTGAGGATGGAAACATGAACTTTTCTAAAACTTTGACCATTAACTATTCTTATGTCTTCAAGATCTGAACTAAATATTGAAGTTTTTCTGAATAAATTTATATGTAACTAAATTTTATGGTATACAGTACTTACTTTTTCAGTATGTTCATGTATTAGATGTAGCATATACTGATCCACAGGCCTGAGGTCAGCAACAGGCAGACTGTGTTCACAAGGATTATAGTCCCCCAGTGAAGCTAGGAGAAACCTCAGCACTGCTCGCACTTTCTGCACACTCTCCTTGCTTTGATCTAGGATTCGTTTTCCAATAGTCATGTTGGCATGGTTTGTTGAGTGGCTTGCAACCCACCATCTTAAACATTAGAAAATATTTTCAAATCAATGCTATTTGCAACTAAATACGAGCCATCACTAGATATTATTATTTTTTTTACCAGGAACTGGCATTATCTTAGGATATCAGTTTAGTGGACAACAAAAAGTAATCTGCAACAAGATTTACCTTAAAACATCAGATCCATAGACTGGGTCTTTTTGAAGATTCTTCCCTCCATCTGTAACAATTTCTGGGTCCACAACATTCCCTAAAGATTTGCTCATCTTATTCCCAGCTTCATCAAGTGTGAAGCCATGGACATAGAGTTTTCTGGAAGAAAACAAGCTATATAAGAAAAGCTCAAGGATGAGTGATCTTCACCTTCAACTTTCATATTTTTAGGTTTGTACAGTATATATCACTTAAGCCAATTCCCAAATAATATATGGAGAAGATGCAATGTGTACAACAAATGCCATACAATTAAGTGATCTGCAGAGACTGCATAAGAAAAAATACCCTTTCCTCAGTAGCTACACATGACATTTACAGTATCCCTCAGTCATTTACAACTTGTATGTGATGAGTGTCTTCCCTCACTATTTAATCACTGAATGAAGCCTTTTTGACTTTTACTTTTAACCAGGGCCAGATTAACCATAAAGCCATCGAGTTTTTGCCTTGATTTGTGTTTCTTAAACTTAAATCTTTGTCACAATTTCACAACATGGATGAATGAATATTTCCATTTGTTTGAAGATGTAATGAATTATTTGCAAAATACAGTATACTGTACATTACATATGGTAGTACATATCTATATAGGCCCTTCCCTCTTATCAGCCTTAGGCCCCTCTCAACCTTAATCTGGGGGCCCTGCTTTTAACTCACATTGTTCACTCTCTCAGTACACTCACATACTATTAAAAAAAACACTAACTTGTAAGGAGCTTTTCCCGTGGCTGCTACAGAAGTGAGGAGGGATGATTGAAACCATCCATTGAACTGATCCACACCTTCAAGGTATAAGTCAGCTGAGGGGCCACCCAGGACACTGTGCCATGATGATCCCGAGTCAAACCAGATATCCAGGATATCCATACCCTGCAGGGACGACAGTTTTGCGTTGAGAATCATGCTATTTATTAGTAAACTAACTCAACACTTATTTAAACCAACTGACTAAACACTTATTAACACCAATGTTGATTTGATTGATATGCATTTATTTAATAAAGATTCATACAGTGAAGCATACATATACTGTAAAAATATTTACCAAGGATAACACAAAGTATAAGTAAAACTCCAATGTGATCCTCCTAATGTTGCATCAAATTGGCTTTTCTTCATAATATTCCATAATTACCTTAGTGCATTTTGTAACTAGATTAATCCCATTACATGGTTTGTCTTAAACTTGATCTTCCTTATGACAACCATTTCATTTGAAGGCACAGTACCTGGGCAACTCAGTGAAGGAAAGAATGAAGTATCATATGTAAACAAACGATTAGTGTGAATTAAAAATAATATAGCAAAACAATGCAACGCTGTACACTCTTCACCTTAGTAGGTAGTTGTCTGCCTTGCTGCTTCATCTCCCTTACATATTCAGATGGCAGTAGCTTTTCCTCTGGAAGTTCCCACCAACTATCACATCCTTCTCTAAGTAACACCTCAGCTACATGTTCAATTATGCCTCTGAAATATAAGCCCTTGATCAGTCCATAAATATATACCAAACTGATACTGTAAAGAATCTACATTAAAAAACTCTGTAGAGTACAGGGTATTTTGATAATTTACAGATCCACAACCCACATTATATAAAATTAAGGTGAAGTTCATCAAGTTTTGGTCTGACATCATCTGACGGGTAACAAAGAAATCATGTAGACAGAACTCATTCAAATTAAAGGTTACCTATACAAATACAGAGTTAATAATATACCTGTACTATATAAATGACAAGGAGTAAATAATAAATTATTTAGCTACTACCAGTACTTAAGAACTATTCTTATAAGCATGTAATAAAGCCAGCTCACTTTATCCACAAATGTGAAATAAGTTATGTGACAATAACTCAATAAGTCATCATCCGTACCTTTCTACCACTGGAAGACCCGTTACAGCATCATAAAATACAGGGATAGGGACACCCCACACACGCTGACGAGATATACACCAATATGGTCGCCTTTCTAACTGCCCAGTCATCCCTGTTTGAATATTACTAGGTAGGATTGCCACTTGTTTCAGAGCTGCCTGGAAGAACCCAGTTACATATTAGAAAAAATCAGAAGATCAGCACCTATTCAGCTACTCTGCATCAGAGCAAAAAAAAAAAAGTTGTATTCTTTCTAGTCTTCTTAAATTCCAGTTACTCTGGCCCAAAAAATATATAATATGTTTTAGCATTATAGTATTGTATATTAGTCAAAACTCTGCATAAGTAATTAAGTAAACTAAATTTCTATACACAGCAAACTCTCACTAAATGTGTAAGACAATTATCTTAAGTATACTATTTAGTGCAGTTACAATTCAATTATTCATATATCTATAAATTTAAAGATCTTTTGTCCATAATACTGCTATTTACCATGAACCTAATCTAAAACACACTTACATAATCATTTAAAAATTTCCTTAAGAGAGGACAATGAATATTACTCAATAGTTTCATCACTTAAAGCTACTAGGACAACTAGGTGATGAAAGCCCAGTCATGGACAATACTGGGTAGCAAAACCTTTCATCTACACAAGTAGTTTGCATTTCCATTAGATTTTAATCATGTACATGTAATAGACCAAGTACCTAAGCTGTCAGCCTACTAACTTTATTGTTCTAAACATTATTGCCACTGAAGAGTTGAACCACTGTTGACACTCTCTCAACTGACAATAAACAAGCAACAAAACTTTTAGACAATATATCCTGTCTAATAAAGTCTATGAGATTCCAATACATATTGCACATGATAACCTACATACAGTACAGTAATAATGACACTACACTATCCCCATCATCTTACCAAAGCTTTTTTCTTCAACTGCTCAGTGTTCATGAACCATTGCTTTGATGCTCGAATAATTACTGGTTTCTTAGTTCTCCAATCATAAGGATATGAGTGAATGAAGTCTTCCTTTGACAACAAGATTGATGGACCTCCACAACCACTTGGCTCCGCTGTCAGAAACATGTAAGAATCATAAATCTATGTAACTCAAAAGACTATATACAAGCTATATAAACACATTAGTTTTCATTTTCCCCAAAAATGTCGTTTGACGTGAAAAATACACCTGACCTTATACCTTAGTTTTTGACACTTGGGGTAAAAAAAATTATTTTGTTTTAATTTCATACAAAGGTGTTTCTGTACTTGACATGCTGATTAAGGATCTGGGTTCACAATTTAAAAATTGAGTAATTAGTGTTAATTAATGACCCTTGAAGTAATTTAAGATACAGTATTTAAAATATTTAAAGTTAACTATGCTATGCCACTTTTAGAGTAAATGTGTTTTTTTCTTAACCCTGCTAATAAAGTGACTACAATATGTAAAAATTTAGATTTTTTGTTTAATCTTATAAGGTAATCCATGTGTGTACTGTATACTGTATATACTGTACAGTATTCCAAACTTCACAATTAGACTCACATAACAACTGGATGACAGCCTCATTGCCTTCATCCAAAACTCTTTTCCCCTCCAACTCTGGACCTAATTTGGCCTGATAGCGCCCTTTGTCATCTATATTACACTCCTGAAAAACAAAATATATGGACAGTAATGTACTGCATCGAAATGGCAAGAAATCAAATATTCTTTGATAAGATTTAAAAGACAATTTTGTGTGATCTCTTTATTTTCAAATTCAAATAATACAGCCCGCAAAGAATGGAACAGGAGTCTACATCAAGAAAACACTTACCCTATACAGTTAGGGCCCGCTGAATGAATAACCAACCAATGAGAATTTATTTCTTTTAATAAGTTTAGTGTTTTAGGGTAAGAAAAACTAATTGCCAAACTCCCATTCGATTTAATGAGCATAATTACTAAGGAACCAACTTGCATTATCATTCATGTTATGTCATTGGTTGAATGGCCAGCCAGGCTTGAGCAATTGTAGACTCATTTTCAATACAAGTACTGTACAGTATAGTACTCTTAGGTAAATTCAGCGGCAGGATAACCCAGCTTAGTTAGCCAGTGAGCCAGTACTAATCAAAGCTAATGATATCCATAAGTGAGGGTTTACAGTATTTATTTTCTAGATTACATATTACTCGTATTAAATTTTAACTGCCCCCAGGGAACCCCCTAAAATTTTTCATGTATTTATTGGAAAACCTTCCCATTAACAACTCACTGAGGTTCTAATATACAGTACAGTATAGTACTGTACCTGCAACCTGCACTACTCTACAACACTCTTACTCTCTCCATTGTGTAAGAGTTTCACTGACGATCAAAATTATCAGCATTGTTGCAATACCATAAGTTTCAAAAAGGTTTAGAGGTACAAAATAGGAAGAAGGAACATGAGAGAAATGCATGAGTTTAATCACAGTGCTTCCATATGATGTAAATGCTCTCTGAAAAACCTGAACACAAAACACACATCCTCTTGTACTTACCACTGTAAGTTTTTGTTCTAAAGCAACAAGAAAATCATCATGGCCATGTGCTGGGGCAGTATGAACAAGCCCTGTTCCTTTATTCATTGTAACATGGCTTCCTGGGACACATGGACACAGCCGGTCATTCAGAGGATGACGGTACTTCATATCAGACAATAATGAACCTATGATAAAAAGACAGCAAGGGATGAGGTGAAACATCAAATACTGTATATAAAATAGCACACTTATTAGTCCAGATACACACGAGGAATTAAATGTGAAAGTAAGGGTTCATCAAGGGTCTGTAAGGCTGTCACAGTCCATATTCATATTTTGCCGGTTTGATCAATCCAAAATACTCAGTTACTCATTTCCCACAAGCTTTATCATACAATAGAAATAATATCCCAGATTAAAAAAACCCTTGGATAACATAATGAATAAGATGTGGCAGAAAGAATTTTTAAGGGACATATCTCCTAAAGCAATCATTAAAGTACTATATACTGTACGTATTTGAATATGAACTTATCTGTACTCTCATCAGTAAAGTGAGGGCATAAGGAGGGAAAGTGATTTCATCAAATGTCATCTAGAACTTCCAAAAGTGTACTGTAATGTATCTCTAACTTGCACATACCTTTAAAGCTACACAGTGGAGTAATATCTTCACTAACTGTTTTTCTAAGCTCATGTAGAAGTTCTTCTGCCCAAATACAAGCAACTAATTGCTCCTTCCTTTTAACTAGCACCAAAGTATATAATTTTTCAGGAGAATAGCAGATGGCTTCATTGGCAGGCAGTGTCCAGGGGGTTGTTGTCCACACAACCACATGAACTTTTGGCTTCCCATATTCTATTAGCTTATCCTGTAATATATTGTGTACTACAGTATATTATACTGAATCTGCTTTGCACACACTATTTTTTTTCATCATTTACTTGAATAGATATATAAGAAAACTAACAAAATAACCAAATGTTTGATTGCTATTATGCAACAATTCTTTGATAACAAGCAAAGTTAAACCTATTATACTGTATATCACCCATAAAGTGTGTTGTAGTAATGATACCTAAACTTAGTCGACTTTCTAAGTCATATATATATATACAAATTAAAGGTAAAAAAAAAATTTGAGAAAAAATCACTGACTTCTGTACATAGGATACAAAACATACACTGTTTCACAAGATTACTGTTCCATTTTAGGAAAATGAATTCACACTGAAACTAATACTATACCTGTATGTATCTTTCTGAACCTGCTCATTATCACCTGTAACAATTAACTTTATAGGTTACAAACAGAAATTAAAAGGTGCTTTGGAAGAAAACCCTTACTGTACCTGTATAGAATGTGGTACATTACTAGCTGGTAAGGCAACATATACTGAGGGGCTGCAGTGTTGAGCATTATACTCCAGCTCTGCCTCAGCTAAAGAAGTTCCAGAAGATGGTGAAAAGTAGACAGGTTTGTAGTCCTGAAAATGTGACATCAAGTAGAATATTAAATGCTCATACTTTATACTTATAAAAGCTTAAGCTAATAAATTACTTGAAGTTTCAGTATCTCTGGTCAGCTCTGTTCAATACTTCATTCAGTTGTACATCTCCTAAAAATATGCTTACATAAACAGCATCATTCACCTGGTAGATATAGCCATTTTCATACAGCTGAGCGAAGAGCTGCAGCTGTCTACTGATATACTCAGGATTGAAGGTGCAGTAAACATTGTTCCAATTTGCCAAAACTCCCCAGCGCTCAAATGCTGAACGCTGAATGTTTATAGCTTCTTCTGCAAACTTTTTAGCTGGAATATAAGAATATAACTGGTCAGTTATTCAATAATACACATGAATTCAATCATAACCTTACATGTCAATAATAGTCACCCATACATTCTTGAGCAGTACAGTATAAATAGGACATAAACAACATGCGAGCATATCGTCAAGCAGACAGGGTCTAATAGGATAACTAAACATCTTGACAATTACATATGTTGCAGAAGTAAGAGTAAATTACAGGAGTATGTTCGTTCTAGACTCTGGCCAACCTGCAGTACAGTAGGATCAGGCTGAAAACAGTAAGAAAATTACTTACCAGTTGCTCTAATTTGAATAGGATCGTTTTTATCCAGTTTTTCTTTGCTCCTTTTCCCCTTTCTTCTTTGCTGAAGAGCCTTCAATTCAATGGGAAGACCATGGCAGTCCCAGCCAGGAATATAATTCACCTTATAACCTCTCAGAAGCTTATGGCGTACTGTTATATCCTTGAGAATCTGGGGGATATAAACAGGGTGTTAAAAAAGGAGAGACAATATATACTAAACAAACTGATTATGGAAAGGAGCTCCATCAAATATTAGTATCCTCAGAGTATCAACTGTAACAAGTACAGTACAATACATATCTAGCTGATCACCCTCTCAGGTTTATACTATACTGTAGTACAGCAAATTATTGTACAGTACAACAAATTTTGCTTCCCTTTCTACTTAACATTTGAAAATTCTGTTCCAAGAAAGTTCAAGTTTGTATAGATACCCAATTACACCTGGTTATACCAGGATTGATTTGGTGACCTTGATAGGAGTTGTGGTTGTATACACTCAGTTGCTGCACCCATTGTAACAAATATAAGCTTACATACAGTATACTGTACAGTACAGTATATACCTGTACTGTACAGTATACAGTACAGTACCAGGACATACATATATTTTTTTCAAATCATATACAATACAGTACTGTGTATATATATATTTCCTCTTGTTAATTGCTACATTAGTGATAAAGACTGTAAACAAATTACAGTAGCTTAAAATTAAAGACAAACCTTGTTAACAGCATGACCAATATGAGGTCGTCCATTGGCATAAGGAGGACCATCATGCAAAACAAACTCCTGTGCTCTCTTCTGTCTTCTCTGCCACTCATACAGGGAGCTAAAATTTGCAGCCTGTAAGAATAACAGCACATGTAAATTTATCATATCTTGTATTATAATAAGAAAAGAGCAGATTACTTCTGACTAAAATTCTTAGAAAGGCACAATTTTCTACATCATTTTCTTTTAAACAAGAATTATCAAGTACTGTAGTCACTGGCTATGTTAATCAACACTTGAAGAAATATCCCCCAAATGACAAAATACAGAACAGTACAGTATTAGTCAAGCTAACTATGGTGGCTACTGGGCTGACTAAATGCAGCCAAATGAGGGTCTGATTTTGAAATACCATTTTGTAACCAGAATGGATTAATGACTCATGTACAGTACTACACTATGTCAACAAGCTTGTGGGTCTGACTGCAGTATTGCCAAGGTCCCTCCTCCAGTTGTGTGCTTGTCTATTCTCTTGTTTAATCGGACAAATATAACAGATATCAGAAGCATGACTTTTGACGGCTGCCTTCCTATTGTATTTTCATTGCATTGATACCTTGTACTGTTGTAACAGTCTCAACTCTTAAAAAAAATTATCTTGGCTTAAGCATTTTATATCAAACACAGTCCAGGGATATATTACTGTATCCCCAATGATAAGTTGATGAGTTCTGTTACCTAGGAGACATGATCAGTGCTAGAGGTGATGCTGGATGATTTTTGAGTTCCACCGTGATTTTACACCCATGTACAGTATATAGAAGTAGTTAAGCAACTAAATTTTTTAGGGCTACATTTTGGTACTGTGGTTCTTGATTTGATTCTCCTCTTCACTTAGAGATGCTGATATGGTCACCAAACACTAACCAAACCAAACAAATTTTAAGAATTGTTGTTATGCTTGTTTAACCTACATGTTCAACCTACATGCCATCAATAAGATAAATATAATATGGCGTCAGATGTCGTTTAGTGGTGCCACGTCTGTTTCCTGAAGCCAAAGAAATTGTCGATTTCATGACGTAAAATGAACATTTATCCGATACTTCAACTTCATCGTCTTCATTGCTGATCTGCTTATTATAGCCGCTTAGGCGGTCGCTAACGTTTTATTAGGCACTGTTGGCAAGTACTGGGCACAACTGTCCTAGACTATAATCCCAACAGTGGAACATTTAGCTTAGGGGACACTTTGACTTAACTCAATAAGCCATTTTTTGTAAACCTGTACAGTATATTGCAGTTTCATAAGTAAAGGATGTCCTCATCCTACATCTTTACCATGTAGTACATTAACCATTATGTAAAATAGAACATATCAAAAACTTACCTCTTGTATGTGCTTTTCATTGTGTACTCTTTTGACTCCCTCTACACGAAGAGGCAGAGTGGTGAACGGCAGCAGGACAGTCGACCCGTATTTGTTCCTTGCTGGCGATTCTGATGACTGACCTTCTTTTCCACACACAGATGAGGTAAAGGCGAATCTCTGTTGAACATGAAATAACAACCAGTTGATATTCCGTGTGTGAAGTAAGGTGTCACCGGCCACACTGTTACGAAGTTGCCGCATCTCAAACACCTTCAGGCTCAGGCTCAGGGTACTCACAAGGTGCGTCCAGATACTACACTTATTTACTCAGAAATAATTTTGAAGAACAGTTCCCATTCGCTTTAAAAAATTGTGATCCAAAAAAATATGGCAAAAATCTGTTTTTATGATATTTGTACAAAAAAAATTAAAAAACAAGTTTTTGAGCCTAGATTGCTAATTTATTTGATGGTTTTATTTACAAATTCAGTAGAATTTGTCTTTGTTGTTGTTAATTTTGTATTAGATACTAGTTAGCAAATATTGAAAGATAATTCAGGAATTAATATCAACATGGAACTAGTCCATTTTATTCCGTATTGATTTGTTAAATATCACATACTGTATCTCTGTTTCTTGTCCTCGTGGTTTTAATGTGGAAATATCACAATTATCAAGAGTTTGAAAGGAGTTTTATATATCTGACTATAAATGAGTAAATAAACATGATGAATGAATTAATTGATAAACATATATAATCTTTTTTAGCAAAGTTAAATTCCAAGTTAGGTTTCACTCATCGCAGTTTCTCACATCCAGAGCCTTACTTGGGATGGAATACGGCCTCTCGTGCTCCAGGTAGAAACAATATTGTTCATAGTTCTCTCTTGATTCTGCTGTATAATGATATATTGACCCATTATTTCCAACTAACGAAAACTTGTATAAAATATCTTATCATGAATATGGGGCATTGCATAGGAATATCAGGACGGTAAGCTTACAACGTTATTTTGAGATCTTAATGATGCAACGATGATATAATTCTGATCCCGATACAGGGATATGATAATACAGTACTGTACTCCAATTAGCATAAGTGAATGGCAGTACAAAATGATCTTGAGTGTATGGTATGCTGTAGTTACCTTGAGTGAATGGTAATTTACCTTACTTTATCCTCTTTGCCACTGATCGCCCCCTTAGCCGCTTGGGCTGGAGTGAAAGGCATTATAGCTCTGCCTTTCTTCTTTCAGATAGTCTGATGTGGTGATGTTCAGAAACATGAAGAATTAAGAATTAGCTACAGCCAACATTAACTAATTTGGTAAATATTAAGCTATACCTTCAGTATGTTACGGGCATTTAGTCGCAGTTGTCACCGCGCATTATTGTGTGGGACACACCGATATGGCACTCCAAGTGTGGGGGCAGGAAGACAGCTCCATGGTGAGGTGCAAAGGCATAGAAGCCTTGTACAGATTAAGGGGACAGAGGCAGGTGAATTCCTCCAAGGTCTCATCACAAATGACATAAATCATCTCCAAGAGGGAGCCACAAGTATGTATGCTATGCTGCTAAATACTCAGGGAAGAGTACTCTTTGATACCATAGTGTACCGAAAAGATCAGAAAAATTTCCTCGTTGAATGTGATGCAGATAAAGTAACCCAGTTAGTACGACACTTGAGAATGTACAGAGTGCGAAGGAAAATTGAAATTGATTCCATTGATAATGACTATCATGTTTGGTGTATATTTAATCCAAACTTAGATTTTAAGGACATTACTCAAGTGGACATGGAATCACTGTACTTAAATCCTAGAGCAGAATCTGAAGCTCTGCTGGAGTTGAAAGATAAAGTAGATGTCATAGTAACAAGAGATCCAAGAATGAAATATCTGGGTCATAGATTGATCATCCCATGTAATAGAACTATTAAGGATATTGTTCCTGACATTTTCTATAGCGAGGCAAAATTCAAAACTCTTCGTTACAGATTAGGAGTGGGTGAAGGTATGACAGAACTTCCATCTACCAAATGTCTTCCTTTGGAAGCCAACTGTGACTATCTTCATGGTGTTAGTTTCCACAAAGGTTGTTATATAGGACAAGAGCTAACTGCTAGAACCTTTCACACAGGTTTAGTGCGGAAAAGATATATGCCTCTAATATTCTCAGGAGATAGTACTGATGTGCCTTTTGATGCAAGTGTTGTGAATGATAAGGGAAAATCTGTTGGTAAAGTACGAGGTTGTGCAGGTCAATATGGCATTGGGCTTTTAAGAATTAACGAGTGTTTGGCTGCTAAGTCATTAATGGTTAATGATGTTCAAGTTCAGACATTTAGGCCAGCTTGGTGGCCATTTGAAGCCTCCAAAGAAAAGATGAGCTAAATCCTCAAGTGACTGTATAACCAAAATATATTAAGGTTGCTATATAGGATGGCTAAAACTTTTCACATGGGTGTATAGCATAAAGTTATTTGTCTCTAATATTCTCAGGTAATATTAGGGTCTTTATCACATGAGTATTGTTGTAGTCAAAGAAGTTGTGGTAAAATTAAGCTTTTGTTGAGTTGAGGAAATATGTTATACAAGGATAAAAGTTTGGTTTATAGTTAGAAACCTTGGTGATCCCTAAGGTACTGATGAAACAAATAAATTAGCTCTTATCAGGTACTGTACTATGAAATTTACCATAATGCATGCTTATCTCTTTCCAATGTTGAAATTAAGAGTTATGAAAATCTAGCTTTATGCTTTTGTTGTAGCATTGTAAGTGACATAACCAAAAATATTGAATGCTGAAATAACACAAGATTTAATCAAATGTCCTGTATATACTAATTTTATTGTTGTCAGTCTTGCTTATCTATGCAGCTCAGGACTGATGTTTGTAATAAATGATTCTGCAGGTACGGTATCTTCATCTTCTTTTTCTTGTTATATTATGTCCTTTAAACTGTTGTGATGAATATTGGCCTGTGTAGCCACTTCTAACATTGGTTGAGTTATGCACTGTATTGCCAATCTACAAACTTCATCTCCAAGTTAATGTTCACGACTGGATTTAGCCATTTTTAATGTTGTCCTCTGTGAACTTTCTTCAGAACAGTGAATCGCTTTTACTTAAAAGTCTTCTTGCCATCTGTAGCATTTGATTTGGCTGTGTCAGTTGCAATTACATTACTGTAATATTTTAAGATTAGCTCATCTTTTGACTTTTAAAATTTTAAGGCTACAAAATGCCATCTATTAACATTTCAGTACCAGGATGGCAAATCAGCACTGACAAAAGTAGATAAATCGTAATATGCACACAAAGTAAAAGATAGCATGAAATCTTTGATGCTTTTTTGTTTTATAAGGAATGGACAAAGTAACTCAGACTATCTCAGCTGTAATAGGAATACTGTACAACTATAAACTTTGCTTAGGGTCATCATAATAAGCACATAATTTTTTTTTTAATTTAAGAATCCTTACCTGTACTGTTAAAAATAGAATATAAATACATGATGAACCTTCTGAGGTTCCATGAACTTATGCTATTCTGTGGTCCATTCCAGCAGTTTACAATATATACACTGTATGCATCACATTTAATAGGGATAATCATACAGTTAAGCCTTAAGACATCGCTGGCATTTTTGGCAAGAGAGGGTTAATATTTTATTTTTATTGCTGTAACTTTATGGAAATTTGTTCTTGTACAATAAAATTTGCTGTTTCATTTAAGGCATTGTTTACTATATTAACCAAATGAAGTTAGGCTAGGTGAGGATAGTAATGATGGTGCATACCTATAATTTGTTAGCATTTATCTAGAGGATTGTTGTTAGACACCAGTTTGACCCCCCAAAAAAAAAAAAAAAAATATATATATATATATATATATATATATATATATAAGATGTTCATTATTATGGAATTACAGGTATCCCTATTTATTTGATACCTACCCATAGGTATGTGGTTGTTGTTCTGATTTTTTATTTCTTACCCAACAGATTATTGTATGTACGAAATCTGAGATGACAAGCTCTGAATAGGCAGTTGAAGAAGCCTATTTATTAAAAGTGAAATTGCCAAAATGACTCTATCATAAATTTCTGGCCACATTTATGGTTATGTGCACAGTATGGTATTCACAACTCCTGTTTGTATATTTCAAAGCAATATATGTCACCTGATTTCAGCCTTTTCTGTACAGTATAGTGTTGAAAAGCCAACATTGACATTTGAAGTGTGCTTAACACTATGGCAGGTGTATCTAGTGATGATAATTCTAAAAATGAAAAAGGTGGAACCTTTCGTTGTGAAGCTTGTGGTTTAACAGAATCCTATCATTATTACGGCCATAAGCCAGCATTTCACAAGGGGGTCACTTTCTTAGAAAATTGCTATTTACTGAGGGATCCCTTTCAAAGTGAGAGTCGAGGATCTTTTGTTCTTTTGGGAGGTGAATGTACTGCTTGTAGCCGTGTTGTGTGTCAGGACACTTCCTGCAGTATTTTCTACACCAAAAGGTTTTGTACTAGTTGTGCAAATGCCAACATTGAAGAGTTCCCCCCAGAGATGCACCAACGAATCAAAAAGGGAGTTCAAATTAATGCTCCGATAGATCATAAAAAATGATTGCGATGACTTGAGGAATATGAATTTCTTAAATGAGAAGTAATGTTCCTTTTGGTTTTCATCTACAGTATTTGTGCTTCTGTACATCATGTAACCAAGTTGGAAGGAAAACATTTACAGTACTTTTATTTGGTAGATCAGCAGTGCAATTTTTTCCTGGCTACACTGTACATTTAAAACCATATTTATACATATGACAACAATAAGCATTGTTCAGAGGTTAAAATTTTTGTGGATGTTACTCATACCTGTAGCTGTTATCTCCCATAAGTAAAGAAAGTTCTGTCTTCAGATTATAGCCTATTATTATTTTGAAGATCCCATTTCCAGTCATTAGAAAGTACAGGAGGCAACCCAGATGCACAGAAATTATATTGCTTTGTCCATCAAGGCAATCTTATTCATTCAGTCATTTGTTAAGTTTATGACATAGTTTTCAAGCACGGAATTACTGTTAAAGAAAATATTGTATTTTGGAAGGATTGTACGATTAATTTTCCACATGTATTATTTTTTTGTATGAAATTTATTTAAATAAAACTTTTCATTACAGAATCTTGTACTTCAATGCATTTTCAACTTTAAATCCTCATTCCCAACGTTTTGTAATGTTAATACTGTACCAGATATTTGTGCAACATTTACACTTGTTCATTGTCATGGCTGAATCTTGTGAAAATTAACTAACTACTGTATTATTAACATTGTTCATTTTTGGAAAGCTGGTAGTGAAGGAAACACAACTAAGAGATGGAGCTTTTTTCCTGATGTTTCATAACAAGAATTCTTGTGATGAAATGTCTGTAATAAAGCTCCATCTCTTAGTTGTGCTTCCTACACTCCCACACTACCTATTGTAATGTTTTGATTGAATTTTCAATTTATTTTACTTACTGTTTGTGATCTGTCATCCCTCTTTTGCTCCATGCCAATTATTTTAGACAGGAGTCCCTTCATATACCAGCCTGAAAATGGAACTAGATTTTATGAAGACATGAACTGATCTTGGCCACTAAATGAAAATGCACTATTGAGTGAAGACTGAACTTGACCTAAAAGTAGCTCATGAAGGTATGCACATAAGCAAACTAAACATGTCTCAGCCAAAGAAATAGAGAGATACTGTATGGATAGCAAAATGGACTTACTGTATAGCCAATGCTATTAAATACCGTCAATATTTTGTGGTTTGGCCTCAGAGAACAATGCAATCTCGTAGCATGAACACTGACTACATATGTTGATGGACCGCAAAAGAATATAATTAAACAAAATTATGTGACCAATGATTTAATGATGCGTATGGTTCACAGTATGATGCTGGAAATCACAGACAGGGCAAAGTACTTTTGCTTGTAAATGCAGTTTCAACTATTTTAATAAAACTATATTTAATCTCAAAGAAAAACAATATACAGGTACTTCAAACAAATTAACCATTTAACAAGTAGCTTAAGTCTTTCTGCTTAATCCAGGATGGCTAAAATAAAAACAGGTGCACACATTCATTCAATCATTCTTACTGCTGCCATAACCGTGTTCCGCTATGGTACTCCCCTTTCACATCGAGGGCTCAAATATTATTTGGCATATTTCTACACCTTACACCAAGAAGTATTGTATCTCCTCAAAATTCACTTAATGCCAGTCACCACCTAACACTGCTGCCCCCAAACTGTACAACCACCCTTTAAGTGGCCCATCAAGGTAGTGTTACCAGCGAGCACCAGCCGACCCACATCCCACACCATCATTCTCCAAACTCATGTTCATGTTTAATACAGTAAAATTTTTAATTCTATGTCATAAGCAGGACTGGACAAATTAAGTTACATACAGTACCAATTTTAATTCCATGTCTTAAGCAGGACTGGACAAATTAAATTACAAAGTTATTAAAAAAATTGTAATTTTGTAAGTTATATTTTTGAAACACATTATCCATGACAAAATACATTACATTACATTTCCTATTTTCATTCATCAATAATTTCTGAAGAAAAACCTTCTTGAAAGCTGAAATTATAGTAATGTGAAAGAACCTAGAAAATATCTAAAGAACTAGAAAAAGTTTTACCATGAGAAGCAATAATGATGTCTTGCTTTCTAGTTGAGACACCCATCATATACTGTATAAATTTTGTGTAGAAGGCTATGCAGGTATAGATCTGAATTATTATATGTTCTAGACCTATCAGTATAAGAGGTTTAATCAGCAGTCACTTCTTGCTTCTGCTTCTTCTTCTTCTTCTTTTTCTTTGCAACTCCTGCTTCTGGCACCACCTCCATTGGTTGCTCTTCTGCTCCGCCATTCACCTCAGCCTGCACCTCTTGCACTAATTCTTCCTCACCATTTACCCCCATTTCAATATTTTGTGCCTTCTTTTTCTTCTTCTTCTTTTTCTTCTCTACAGAACCATTTTCTGCAGGCTAAAATGTAAGTCATTAATATTTTATACTATAGAATGATGCACAGGACAGTAAAAACACACCGATGCAAATGATACCTGAGCAGAACTTCCACTGCACCTTAGTAAACACATAGACATTAAAGAAAGATGTAAATACACATTAATACATTTCAACTAAATATTCAGTCTAGGGGATGTACTCATGTTTTGTTTTTTTTTAATTTGCTCAGTCTTTATCTGCTATATTGCAATGGCTAGAATTCATTTGCTGTAGTTCATTCTTACCACTCCAACTGGAGTTAAAAAATATAAAAACCTATATACCTAATTTCATCTATTTCAAGCCCTCACACTATTCTTAAATTACTGACAGGAAAAGGCACATTACTGAAATGACAGAAGAGATGTGGGAGGCATTGAAAAATTATGGATATAGGGAATTGCCAGAAAGTGTGAAACAAGGTCTACTTCAAGGCTGTGTAACTAACATTTTCATGAACGTGTTGGTAAGAGGAAAAAACAAGAGCAATGGAGAGGGGAACAAGTTTGATGAAGAAGAATACAGGTTGGTATTGGGTAACAAGTCAATTACTGTTTGTAGATGACATAGGCCTGGTGGGTAATTCAGAAGGAAAATTACATATGTAAGTGAATAAATCAAGATGTGATGTTTTAGATAAAAAATAATAGTGAATGTCAATATAAAAGATGACAAAGTACAGTATGCTCCTCCATATTTATGGCAGGGATATAAGTGGTACAATGTGTTTGACAGTTGTTATTTGACACATGACATGCACACTCCTTGTTGACATCTCTAGGATACAGTTAAATCCACAGTACTATGAAATCATACTTGCACCCTTACACACTGTACTGTGTATTCTAATAAATTAAATGTACAGCAAAAAAAATTTGAAGAATCAATAATATTTAGTAGCAGCTACAACTAACCTCTTGTGGTTCAGCAGCAACAACCTCTTCTGGTTCGGCAGCAACGTCTTCTGTTGCTTCCACAACTACAGGCTGTTTGGTCTTCTTCTTCTTTTTCTTTGGGATTTCTTCTGTATCTCCTTCATTGTCAACAGCTTCACCTAATTTATGATACAAAAGATTGGATCAAATGGGTTTGTGATTCTGAGAAGATAATGCTTCAACTGCCCTCATAGTGGACTTCAGGCAGCTTGGGAAAGTTGATTTTCATTGAGAGGAAAAACTAGTTTAATTTTAAGACATAACACAAGATTTTGAGAGAACAACTCAAAAAAGAAATTTACTTACCATTTACGTCCTCATGCTTACGTTTCTTTGTCTTCTTTTCTTTATCCAACAAATTATTGTGTTCAACAAGTGCTTCACTCATAACTTCGGCATTCTTTCGAGGTATGTTTCCTGTCTCATAAAACTTTAGTCTGTCTTCAACTTGGTCACGTAGTTTTTCACCAAACACTGTAGTCAAATTTTCTGTTGAAACAAATGGAAAAATGTTCAGGGGGATCAACCTTAGGTTCCTCCACTCATGCAACTGGGTTATACTGTACTCCAAACTCCCATAAAACCCCCCAAAAAAATAAAAATAAAAATCTATAAATAGGAGCAACATTGATGAAGAAGCTACCTGAGGGCAAGAGCTGAGAGTTTAGGCTACTGTGCATGCACCCTGTGATGCAAGTATCCCTTGGGAGGTATACACTACACTACATCAGTAAAGAATCTTTTGAGTTTTCAGATATATTGATTGAAGGAACCCTGAAATATATTCAGTCCCTTTCTTGTTATCTATTTGATAATCTTTCTCTACTCCCCACTACAAAAAGGGATGTAGAAATATGAACCATAACTTGCATGCAACATGTACAATTGTACATAGATTTGTTTCCATTACTTAATGTATCTTTACCTATCAATTCCAAATCTTGATCACCAAGATGATACTCAACTGAAAACAACTTCCATATTCCAAATCATCTGGTCTATTACGCAACAAATATATTTCACTTTATCATAAATAGAGCTCATCTCACCTGTAAAACAATCAATTCTTGATGCAATGGAGCACTTGTTGGCCAAGTAACGAGAGATTCTTCCCTTGTTAGCTGTCCCAGCACGTGAAATAAATGAGGAATGGAAGATGAGGCCATATTTTGGAGTATTGCTCTTGGTCTTAATGGCACGAAACAGGGCCTTCTCAGCTCCCAGGATCTGTACAGTTGAAGCAGGATATTTAGCTAGGTTGGTCAATGATCCAGCATGGGAGATAAGGCGAGCACCTACCACTTCTCCTATAAGTGTTGCCAAATTAGGTGCTGCAGACGCCATTTTGCCCTTCATGTATGTTGCCAGTTGTTTGCGATATTCTGATAATCCAATCACTCGTTTTGCAAACCGTTCAATATTCATCAAGTCAATAGGGGAAATGTCCATACCTGAAAAAGAATTCATTATTACTTGCTTCCAACTCCTAATTATATGCAACTTAAAAAAAAAAAAAAAGAGTGGGAATAATTCAAACATATTTTTGTTTTAGTCTTACAAGCCTTGTCTTGCTGTATTGCAGGCTTCCTGCAAACAAGAGTAAAAACAGAATCTCCTTTCCGGTACTCATGGCTGTGCTCTCTCTATCATTAATGCCTTCAACCGGTTCGTGGATGTCCATTGTCCTCCTCCTAGTACTTCTTTCAATCCATCTTTCTATCTCCTTAATTGTCCACCCCCTTCCACCTTGTAAATCAAACGGCACACCAAAATCCTTCCCTTTAATCTGGAATATTGGATTTTAACGTTGAAAAAAGTAAATGGCTCAGTAACGTGTAAGGGAATGTACAAACTTCAACACCGAATAAAAAATAAAAGTAAATAGCCTATTACAGTGACAAACAGAAATCATATTCACTCTCAGATGGGAAGCACAGCCAGAAGGATTATATTAAAACAATGTTTACATTTGCTTGTTTCTGGTCTCTAGTTTTAACCAGAAGTTTAGTTGTTGAGTCTGGTTAATTAATCAGATATAATATTTCTGTAAGAATCACTTAACAGCTGACCTTATTTATCAAACAAGAATTCTAAAATATAAGTAAGAAATAGCTTACTCAGACAATTATGATGTTTCATGCTCACAAAGCATCAGATGATAGAAGTAACACATATGACTAGGTAAGCTATGTAAGATGGAAAATGTAGCAAGGAATGTTTCCCTGTACTGTAAGTTAGTTCCATGGACAGAGTCTATGTAATTTTCGTATATATTAGCCCAGTTAAGAATACATTACCCATTGTTGGGGGCTTGAACCAGGTGTATCAGGATGGTGTGTGGGAAGTACAAAAGATGATGATGAAGAACAATAGAACAAAAGCAAAAGACTAGGAAGGAAATCCATGATAAATTATTACTTACCCATCGTCATTCTAGCAGCATCTAATATGGCCTGAGCTTTGGCAGAGTCCATTAAAATCTCCTCTAATTTTTCCAGAGACTCTTCATTAAGACTTTTGCGGTCCTTGATGTAGTTGGCACACAATGAATACTGATAATTGTCAGTAATTATCCTGGCGAGCTCTGGAAAGTGGTAGGAGTACCATTCTCTGCAAAAAGGATATACAGTAGAACGTCGAATTAAAGTGGTTCAATTTAAGATTATCGATTTAAAGCGACACCCACAATTAAGGACAATGTTTTAATTTAAAGCGAATCTTTCCTATTTTGCGCGAGTCAATCTGACACAACATATTTAATATTTTGTGCCTAATGTTTCTCTGGGCACGCTACACTGTCCTCAGGGCAAAGCTGTACTGTACATGTACAGAACTCAAAATAATGTACTAAATGATTACTAAAATTTTTGTCTAGTGCAAACTATAGCATGTTTATATTCAAATTAATCACTACCGTATCTTATAAGAACTCCAGCAATGTAAATTATATTCTCTCTGGTCACTTGTGACATTTTATAAGCGAAAAACATACTGAAACTAAAGGACATAAATAAACAAATAAATACTTCACCAAACCTTTGGCGCCAACTGTCAAACATGGATACTTCCCTCACCTTCCTCCCTTCCCCCCATCTTCCCAGCCAGGGTTTGGTATTTTAGGCTAAAAGTTTTTATCTTATATAATGTCACAGACTAAAGTTAGGAGAATATAATTTGTATTGCTGGAATCCTTGCAAGACAGCAAATATTTTGAATATAAACGTCACATATTTTGCACAACAGATAAAAAAAATTTGCTCTCTGTAATAAAATTCTTAAATTAGAACTAAAATTTGTACATCTAATACGAGCTATAGCATGTTTATATTCAAATTAATCACTATCTTATAATAATTCCAGCATGTTAATTATATTCTCCCATGTTAGTTCAGTGACATTTTATAAGAGAAAAAACTTAGTCATTCTAAAGAACAGATAAATAAATAAGCACTAGACCTTGGCATCAACTGTCAAACACATCACTTCCCTCCCTTCCCCCCCATCTTCCCAGCCAGTAAACAGACCATTTCCCATCCCTTAATTTTAGCTGTGTTGATTTATGAGTGTTTGTTTTAACATAATATACTACAAAAAACAATGTTTTGTTCATTCTAGATGGGCTGAGGTGCACCTGGGTAGACTCTCAGTCTTTTTAATATTTTGTGTTTCTTTTAAGTACCAAACTAAATTATTCCATTGAAACAACACTTCGATTTAGTGCGAATTTGGTATAAAGCGACCTCTCTTGGAACCTATCTCGTGTTATATCGACGCTCTACTGTACATGATTACAGAGCATGAAACACTTTAGCTATATTGATTTCCTAATTCAACTTACCCTTTTTCAATACTGCTCAACTCGATATTTATGCTACTTTAGGGCATGAGTAGCGAAGGAATAACTTTTTGGTGAATGCAAAAACAATATAACAAACCATGACTTTTCATTAAAATCTTATCTAATGATATATAAAAGGGCAATAAAATAAGGAAATTTAGATGAGATACTGTAGTTATAAAAATCATGTTTGTACAAGGATGAAATAATGAATTTTAAAAAGAAGTACTCCTGTATCACAAAACTCTAATCACTGATACTAGTAATACAATAATACATACTTGATACGCATAGCAAATGTGTTGATATCCTTGTCAAGTTGATCAACTAAAGCAATGCTTTGAATAATCATGTTGTCTTCTCTGTTGACATTGAACTTAACTTTTCCTCTTGAGTATGAGTGGCCTAAACCAAGCTCAGTTTGTTTCATAGATGCTGGAGTCAGGCCTTTTACAAAGTGGGTTAAGTGTGTCCTGATACCACGAATAATCTGGTGAAATGAAACATTGAAACATTTCATACCAATTAGAGAAAAAATCAAGAATTTAATGCAGCATTATTAAAAAAAAATTTAAGACATTAAAGGTGGCTCATTTCTATATACAGAACATTATTAAAGCAGATGACCATAGAATTAAAGTCAGCTATAAAAAAATTCACTTATTTGTAGAGGTACTGATCTAAAGACTTTTGAACAGGCGAGGCTCTAAAGCGTGTTTGAGGAAAGTGATTATCGAGGTTAAGGGTATCTATTATAGTTACAGAGGAAATTTTGAGTAATATATCACAAATGTAGTGAACAAAATATATACTGTGTGTTCTACTGTGCCTGCAAGGGATAAGATGGGAATAAGCACACACACAAATTAAGAAACAGTCAAAATATCACACCATAAATTACACATCAGTTAGGTATAAAAAGTAATGAAATAATATGCTTACTTCAGGAACAACTCCTGTGTGTGTAAATGGGATCTTCAAGGCTTCATTGATAGCAGCGCCTAACTTAGGATCAGTCACACCTAACTGGACCCGCTTCTTCTTCTTAGGTTTTGGGACGGTGGTCTCCAAAAAGGCAGAGAGTTCCTCTGTTAGCACACCTGAAATAATAGAATTTATTTATAATTATTACATAATAAACCCTCTGGTACTCATGGCCATAGTTGGAAATCTCAACCCCCCGTCCTTTACAATCTCGCGACCCAAGTTGAGTCAGTAACAGGAACAGCTTTTCAATTTAATAATCCAGACCCAAATTGCACCCTTAGAGATGCATTTGCCAGTCCACAAGGCTAGTGGGAAGCATTTCTGCTTATGGGAGGGGTGCTCTCAGTGTGAGATAAGGCTGAGTGGGAGGGCTGGGCCAGCATGGGAGCTCTTAGTGATACACTCTGCATTGTAAGACCATTAGAGGTTTAAACAAGAAGGATTTTTTTTAAGTATATCCCATACACCTGGTAGCCTTTTACGGACAGTGTGGATACAGGACTACTGTAGATTTTTTTTTTTTTTTTACTACATAAGGAGGCAATGTGGCCAGTTTTGGGCTTGACTGCTTACTCTTACCCAACTGTGAAGTTAGGTACTCATTCACAGCTGTGCAGAATTGGGGGCGAGGGTGTGAGGTACAAACCCCAAGGACAGGAGGCAAAGGCTGTATCCACTTGACTGATGTGTCCCATTCCTGTTTTCTAAAATGCTTAAAAGTAGTTGAGAATTATTACAACTCCACTTTGGTGTTTATATATATATATATATATATATATATATATATATATATATATATATATATATATATATATATATATATATATATATATATATATATATATATATATATATATATATATCACTGTAGGTATATGTATATGATATATATATATATATATATATATATATATATATATATATATATATATATATATATATATATATATATATATATATATATATATATATATATATTGCACATTCTTTCGTCTTTTCTTGGCTCAATACAGTAAAGAGATACATACTAAACCATGGTCCACCCTCATCAAATAGTGCATCAACTTGTAATTATACACATTAAAACCTTCATAGCCTAAGAAAACTAAAAATGGTAGATACATCATCATTCAAAGAAGCCATGATAATAGCCTTTGAGTTACATAAACCCCTCACCTAAACTTATCTGAAGATTAAGTGCATGGCTGGAGAGACTCAAGGATAGGTAACAATCATCACCTTCTTATATAACAGTCATATAACCATATATTATTAGAAGTAGCACAAAAGAATTGACATTATATATATTAGACAGCAGACGTACATTTAAATTCCCTTAAAAGATACAAAAGTGGCAGTGTAAAAAAAAAGATCCCTTTAATCCTTACAACTAGGGGGGTATTCCCAGGGAAAAAAAAGGAAGAATAAAATCATAATTTAATGATATAATTTAAGTCTAATTTTGTATATATAGTTTAAACTATTACAGCAGAAATGCTAATAGACAAAGAACTTGTTTCACAATACCATGAACAAAAAATTATATGTACAGTACTGTATAATTAGGTTAAAACATTAAATTTTTCTGCAAAACCAAACTCAACTACAGTACTATGCTGTACAATATTTCATCAAAGTATCCAAGCGTACCTTCAGTTATGGCATTGATATTTCCAAGGGCAGATGCAGCAGAGGTGAAGGCTTTAAAGCCTATTAAATTCACCACCTGCATAAACTTGCTAGGTTCAGTAACTGCTTCCTCTACTTCAGGCAAAAATGTGCCCACTTCTTCAAATTCTTTCACTCTGAACAGGCCATAGCCCGAGGCGTGCTCGAGCAGCACACATAATGTTGTCTGAAAGAAATGAGAATATAAATTATTAGAACTCCGTATTATTTTGTACAGTTAGTTCCTGACTTACGACGGGGTTAGGGACCGACAACCAGGTCGTAAGTCAAAAATGCTTAAATAATACATAGAAAATCTAAAATGGGTGTCTCTTTCTTCTCAGCACCACGAGAACTCACACTTTTACGCTGGCCAGCCATTTTAAAGGGAATTACAAACAAAAATTTTGTCAGTAAGCAGCGCGATCACTAACGTTGGGACTCGAAAATACATAATTTGAAAATAAATTTGTACGACTGCGGCGGTCGTATGTTCGGATGGTTGTAAGTCGAGGTGTACCTGTATACAGGGTATACCGCACTCTACAGACAAAACTGAATAAATTTTCATCTTTATTTTAAAACAATTATTCACCAGCTAATTGTATGGACGTGTCTTACTCAAGGTTATGTTTCTCAAGAATCATTCAATCCTTAGCCATTGTGGGAGACAAGATTTGTCCCGTGTCCCAGCCAAAATTATTTTCCTCAATTTGAGATTCTCAATCTTCAGTGAAATTACCAGCAATAAATTAAGAAATTAGTACTGTACTGCAATACAAGTGATTCTAACCTATCAGATTGTGTTTTGATTCTTGTAGAAAAGCACTACCATCAGAAGGAGCTGTTTGATTCCGTTAATTATTTCCACAGATGTTCTTATCATTATAGTAAGTATTTTAAGAGGCAACATTTACTAGAACCCAATAGCAACCTGGCCTAACCAACCAAAGAAACCTACCTAACCTTACCTAACTTCCTAGCCCACCCCCCCCCCCCATATTGAACAGAAAGTAAACTACTGTACTTATTTTGGTATCTGGTACCAATGAAAGCAACTTTGTTGAAGCGTCATGGTGAAATTTAACATATTTTGTGAATGTGAAGAGTACGTTCAGACTGAGTGGATGGTTGTAAACTAACAGAGCAGACGACTACATACGCTGATTCGGCAATTTTTTTGGAGGAGTATTTACAGTAAATAATTAATTTCAAGTACAAAAGCACTTTGAGCAATCATTTTTGTGTCATGATCAGTTTTCACCGTGTTTTAGCTAGCATTTCCCCTCATCCTTCATGCCCTACCCACTACAGGTGATTTATGATCATTGATAGACTAAAAATACTCGCAAACTAAAAAAGTTGTCACCTTTTAAAATACTTACCATATTAAGAACAAGCTGGAAAAATGAACGAAATCTCACTCCTTCTGGAGGTAATAGTTTCCTAATTAATTACCCTTTTCAGTATGAAGTGTATTAAGAACATTTTGGTCAATTTTCACATTTATTTTTTTTATTAATAAGCACGGATCCTTCTGCAATTCTATTTTTTCCATGACGTTCGTAGAGCACACTCCTAATTGATTAAAACAGACCAAGATACTTATTTACATAATAATCCAGCCTTATTTCTTAAATCATGCCAATACCAAGCCTTAACCACAAAAGAGATAATACAAGTTAAAAGTATCTCCAAATAAAGGCACTACAGCCCACGTGCTAATGTTAACAAGCGGGTCACCATCCACTAAACTAACCCCGACAGTTTTGTTCTGCGTTGATGACTAAAGTTAACACTACAACAACTCTGTACAGTGACACAACACTCTACTTCACGCCACACAACTCATTCATATCATAACCTCACCATTTTAGCGTCACGAGGTCTTTTTTACAATTCCTAGACAACTATTCCCCATGTGGCACAGTGGCAGTCCTCTCCAGCTCTCCTTCATAAACACATTTACCATACTTAAAACTCGTCTGTGATTGGCTGATCAAAGGATATTTTGCTCCGCTAGCCAATCACAACGTGTTTAACAAACTGTCTACAGTATATGAACGTGAGCGTCAACATGCGCAATAACACTTGTTTTAGTTTACTTATTCATTAATATACTCCTTCTTGGTTCATTAAAAAGTGTTACTTTGCTAAATATGTGAAATGATAACTTGACACTATAAACGAGTGTGTGATATAAGTGAATTGTGTGATAATTCAATACTGTATTACAAGTATTAATTTTATCGTAAATTTAAAGGTCTCATGAAGATTAGGAACCCCAGCTTATTTTACCTGATGATTAAACACCCTACCTCAATAGGAATATTTCCACCGGTTCTAATAGACTTTACCAGTCCTACCTGCTCAGCTTCACTAACCTAACCAATAGCTAAATCTTTGTAAAACTGCATAAATTAATAAATAGCTCTATCCTTTGGCATTTCCTTTTAAAGATGGGGTGCACTCCTTTTTTGAACCATTGGCCAGTAGACACGTATAGTAGTTAGATGGAGCCACAACTTACGACCAAGTTACCTCTCACACCTTTGCAGGCCTAGTGCACTGAACTCTCTAGCTTATCAGAGGTGTGCCCAAGAATTACCCTCAATCCTGTAAATTTTCAGTTACAGGTATTTCCCAACTTACAAAGCTTCAGTTTCTGAAAATTTGAAATTAAAAAAAAAACTGTACTATGCTTTCACTTAAAAACGAAAGCCCCAAGCTATAAATAAAATTCTCAAATTTTGTACTTTCTTCTATGTACTGTAATAAGGAAAATAACAGGTTTTTATACTACCAATATGCATACTTGGCATTTCATTATTCTCCTACAACTTCCAAATGACAGACCTCAAACTCACATAAAACAAGTACAGTACCGAGTACTGTACAGTATAATGATCTCCACTCCACCACACAATCACTCATCCAGTTGCCGGACTCCAATTTCTTCTCATTTACTCGCATATAATATTGGAAAACTTAATAAAAGAAAATCATTCTGTATTCTTAAATTTATATATGCAAATTAAGTACAATTGAAGGTGTATAGTTGTTGCAAAAGTATGTGTTTATTTTTGGTTTATACAGTACTGTTTTCATTGTGTATACCCAAAAACATCATTAAACACATGTTTTATAGTACAGTACTGTACTTTAATACATATTTGGGATTTCTTGTATATTTGTAGTCTATGGGTAAATGTGCTTTGATTTACAAAAAATCAACTTACAAAATGTTTTCAGGAATGAAACCCTATTGCAAATCAAGTACAGTACAGTATACACTGGCTACAACTATAGTATCCTCAAACACCTGAAAAATTGTCAATGCAGGAAGTCCTCATTATTCGAGGCTAATACGGACTGGAAAATCACCACTTATACTCGGATACTCAGGAATCTGAAGAGCACTTAAGATGTCCATCACATGCTCACCTCTTTTCTTTCGACTGATAACCTCCTATTTCACGTCCAGTCTATAGCTGTTATGATTCCTTTTAGGGACAGCACCTAGTTTAGCAATGATTTTTTAAGAATGCACATGGAAAACAATACCTGTAGAGAACTGCAGGAGGCTAGTCACTGTTTATGGTGGGTGAACATGAGTACTGTACATGGGAATGAGCGTGGTGGAGGCTGGGGGATGTGCATCGGTATGACGGGAGATGTGAATCATTCTCTGTTGAGACTTCCAAGCTCCATGGATATTATTCCTCGTTATTGCAGGGACATTTTATGTATAGTTCAGCAATAATTTGGGCTTGTAAATGCAAAACCATGGATATCGATGACTTGGATAGTGAGGACCCCCTGTATATAACCCATACTTTGAAAAAAATGACCTTTCTTCCTCTTTCAAACCACAAATGGCTCATCTTTACCATTATCACCTCTATAAGAACATTGCAACTGTCATGAATTACTGGCTTTGGTTATCAGTACAAAAAATCTTGTACTTAATTACTGTACACTATAACATATAAAATATTAATGTAAGAACCACATACTGTACAATGTACAAGAAAATAATACATCACACCAGAACGGTATTTTGAATCCTTTAAACAATATTGAAGCCACAATTCAGTGAACTCTAATGATGTTTGTATACTGTACAGTAAACCCCTTTGAACAAGCTAATATATACAATATAACTAAGTCCCAATCACGAAACAAAGATGCAAGGGGTGAGTTTTGTTCTTGTACTTAAGAAAGACTTGGCATAGTGCATTCTAATATTGTACATACATGTAAAACAGCAAGCAAATTACAGTACTTGACAAATGGAGAGCTATTGGAATCACCTCTTTGGTTTGAAGTACTAATGTATATTAACCCTTTGGCTGCAGGAGGTTACCCTAAACTGAATAAAATTGTCTGGCGGTAGCCAGAATAAAATGGCAAGTGCGGGAAACGCAGTGAAAGGATTAATCGAGATAGGTTTTAAATAAAATGACTGCTACTACTATAATGTACAGTATCTTACATAGAAACCAGAATGGTTAAAATATTGTATGCTGTTGTACATTCTGCTGTAGACAGAAAATGATGGCATTTGCCACAAGGTAAAGATATGTGAATGATAAATTTTGTTCAATTTCAAGGAAAGAAAACATGAAAAAAAAAAAAAAAAAAATGGAATAAAGAAAGTGCAGTAAATAATTTGCAGGTCATCTTGTAATTTTAGTGAAATAAACAAATTTACTATACAGTATTGTCAAAAATAATTTATATTTTCTTTTAATAAAAAATGCAATATGCCTTAACTTATTAGATTAACAATTAACATGGACTTTTAAGCGTAATATTTCAATTATCACATTATCTCTTCAGTTTCACTTGCAAAGCACCAATCTAGACATGCAGTACATAATTTGTAAAGCATTTAGTAACTACTGTACTGAGCATTTCAGTTTTAATTAGGAAATTCAAGGTTTATAATTAGATGCTCATTTGGTTTCTTGAGAAAATATCTTGATTGGCTTATACTTCTTGTTAGGGTCAGGAACATAATATTTAAACCATGACTCCATGAATGAAGCTCGTCGAGACCAGGGTTTATAATGACCATTCCAGTGTAGTAACTTGGCCTTTTGAATAAACTGTTTTGAGTAGCTTGCCCCCGGTATTACACCTGAAAAAAAATATCAGTTTGGTTGAGTCCACTAGCAACAGTCATACAAAATTAAGTTTTAGTGTCACACAATTCTGAATATTTCATCACTTTCAAAACATATAAAATATTAAGGTACAGTACGGTATTGACCATTATTGGCAGAAATATCAAAACTGAACAAAGTTTAACCTTACCCCTTTTAGTGGTTAATTTCCAGTTCTTTACAAAGATAAGCTAAATAATTAAATTGTAAAAACACTAATAAAATGGAAAAGTAGGATAGATACTATGAATTAATAAATTAATAATTGAATCATAGTTTTATAATAATTAAAGGATTACAGTAATACTTTACCGAGGTCCCTAACATGCCAGAGGTGAGGGAGGGGCAACACACGCCGGTACATAACAATCAGCATTGCCGCTTCTGCCTCGTCTGCCTCTGGGTCCAGTCCATAGAGGGGATCACTATTGATAATGAACATGTTATTAACTCTTCTGTAAGCATGCTTCTCACTGGACACCTCATTTTAAAAGTAATGTATCTACCTACTTACTGTACCCATCTATTTATAATGAACAATACAATACAGAACTAAGTAAATTATTCATATCCATTCAAAACAAAATTATGTATACTGTACCTTGATACATAAAAATATCAAATCATATACAGTCATTCCCCAATATTCAGAAGGGTTAGCTTCCATAAAATCTTGCCTTAAATAAAAATTCTGTATATAGACTCCCATTAATATAAGTGGAGATAGGTTCCTATGCGACAAAATCTTGACTCTACAATGTAACAAATACACATTACACAACAAACTTTGTTATGTTACGGCATGCACAAACAACGCAACAGCAACAACACACATCTCTAAATTAGCTGATTGGCTGACAAATTGGTAGAAATGTGTGGTTCTGTCTCGGATGTTTTAAGGCAGGAAAGTGCTACTTTTTTCTTTCTTCTAAAATATATTAATTTTGTATTTATTTTTACTAAAGTTTCTGTTACTGTATAGTAATGAGTTTTGCTTTGTTTTAATTGAATTTTAGTCATAGATTACATAGATTAACCATTTCCATTACAGTGAATTCCCGTAAAACAAATTTCCAAAAATTGGGGAAGACCGTATTATATAGAAAATGTAATGACTTAATCAATCAGAGTATTGTCCTCATATCTGAAGGTTGGCAACCACAGTCCTCCACATCACATATCTTCAAAGTCTGGGAAGGCCTAAGACCCAGCTTATGACATAATTCAATTAAACTGCAGTGTGTTACAGTATTTCACAAACTTGGAGTAAGGCCATCATATACACGTATCCCTCGCACTACAAACATTCGAAATACGAAAATTAGCTAATACAAATTTCCTCAGTTAACCCCTCTTTCTTGTTTAACAAAAGCTATTTTTCATTAGTTAGGTAATTTTTTTTCCTCATTGGGAACCAAACCCTATTTTTCCCCATTTGTTCTTTTATTTGTGATACAAAATTTCACCAAAATGAATGGTTTTCCAGGACCCTCACCCATTCATTAGGCAAGGGATACCTGTACTGTATATATTAATATAAATTGAGTCTTTAAAATCTAAAAAAGACGTGTTCAATAATGTAACATCCATCAGATCAGCCAAATCAAATCCCATATAACGATTAAACTATCATTTTATATAATTACAGTGCAGTACAGTACAGTACAGTATGTATTTGTTTTTAAAAGAACAAAAACTCACTGTTTACTACTGTTCACCCAGTCCACTAAGAGAAGTGAAACATTTGAACTCTTCCAAACAGTCATGTCTGCCACAAAAACATCTGTGTTGAAGGTACAGGATTTAGGTTTGATCTTGACTCCTCTCAGCTTGGGATGCTTCAGGTTGATGTGTGCTGAGTAACGAGGCTTTGCCAAACCGAACCATTTAGAGCCTGATGAACAGTCCTCTGAGAAGGCACCCAAATAAGATTTTTTCATAGGCAAATCCATCAGTTCAATTATATCACCTGAAAGGAATAAGTGGTAAAAGTTAGTGCTAATGAGTAAGAATACAGCACATTGTTTTAACTAAATGTTGAAGTGGAAGACTAAAAAAAACACCTCAAGAAATTGGGATCAAGAGATTCAAGTCTTATTTACTGTAAATCATACAATGAATGGGACAATCTACAGTGACTGGGTGGTGAATGCAAATGTGCTGCAGAGATTAACTCATCTCAGACAAATCATTTTTTCTGTCACCAGATACCGTTCTTGGAACACTTTGAACCAACACAAACTTCAGTTGAACTGTTCAATTTGGTTGATCAACAGTTTCCAATGAAAATCCTAGAGATTAAGGAAAACATCAATAGGCCAAGATATCAATTAGTCAGCAATAATAAATATTTAGATATGCTATAAGACATTGCTTCAATATGCCTGAAGACAGCTGTGCTTCCGGAGCTGTGCCCATAGTACATAGTATCTGCTGCATTTTCTGGGCTGGTGCCCTGGGTCTGTGATGGTGAGTGGAGGGGTGTGAGGGACATCCCATTCTGGTTTTACCCAACAGTTGCCATCAGGTAAGCGCATGGAAAATGACCATAAAACAAAAAATTATATACTGTACTGTACAAAGTCTCAAACATACCGGTACTGTACTTACCTTGGACAATGACATCAGAGTCGAGGTAAATAAATCTGCCATCCAAATCTGGAAATATTGACTGAAGGTATATTTTGGCAAACTGAGGCTTTCCCTTTGGCATCAGACGCACGTGTGGCCGAATGGTGTAATTTACTTTCTTTAGTTTTGTTTGTAGTACCCATTTCCTTCAATGAAGAAAAGATATGATTGGCAATTAGAAAAAAGTTCCATTGAAATGTTAAGAGTTCAAGAATAACAATAAAGAAGTAGAGGAAAGAAAAAGTATACTACTGTAAAGACATGAGCCCCAAAATAAACAAATTCATGAAATTTAAATATATTAGTACAGTACACTGTATACAGTAGTACTGTACATACAGTAGTTGTAATTCTGAGAAAGTCATAACTTCTACAACTAATAAGGAATATATGCCATTCTGATTAAGCTTTACTAAGCTAAGCAAATTTTGAATATTAAGCACCAAAAGCAGAGTTAAGTTGAGGCATTTAAAAATCAATTTAAAAATTGTTAACAACTAGCTACTGTAACAAAAATACTTAAAATGGAACACAGGATAAATATAACATAGTTGACTACATATTTGTTTACACCTCAACCTGTCACAGATGAAAATTAAAATAATTATATTTCAAAACAGGGATCCTATTCCTGGGTTATTATTATTATTACAGGAACTTTTATAGTCAGCCATGACTGGAAAAGCTGCAAGTACAGTATGTACACATATTTGTAAACACCCAATACAGTACATGTACCGTAGATGAGACAACACAGTAATGAGAACAGAACACCAGTACATTTCTGCAAAAACTCATTGACATAAGTGAAATTTGACCTTCAAAGGAGAAACTTGAATCTAGAAACAAGAAAAACTTCTATGACATTCTAACATCTTCATAGACAGATGACAATGCCATATCATAATATTAAGTACAGTTGTACTTGTATTCAAAAGGTGTATAAAAACATTTTTATTTTTTTTGAATTTACCAACTAACCTGAAGTCTGGGATGACAATCTTTGGTAGAGTAACATAGAAATGTACAGATGACTTTGTGTTTGTGACGACACTGTTCATGGCAGCAGTAACACCCAATAGTGTCTCCTCATTTCCAGATATAACAATTTTCACAGTTTTACCTAAAATCAGAGGAAGATTATTTGAAGATAATTATCAGCTTTAATTACTAGTCAATTCATGATCCTTAGTTAAAAGAAGTTTACTTGGATGCTGAAACGATGAATCTGTGAGAGCACACATAGATGGTGCACATACTCTTATGTGTACAGTACACTTTTTACTTATTCTAAAAGAGCATATAAAGAGAGAACGACAAAGGGAGAGAAAATTAGTGCAAACTGATGTAAATATCCCATCACTAACCTGAGTTTTGCGTGTTATTAATACTAGCGCTTACTCCTGGGAATATTCTTTGCAATGAACTGGCTTTGGATTGACTTCCATTGTTCATTTTTGCTGCTTCTATGAGTTCCCCAAGCAGCACCTGCATTAAAATAATAGTGTGCATTTTAGCTGAAGTGATATACACACACAAGTGAGTACTGTACTGTATACAGTAATGTAATATATCAACATAAGTCCAAAAGTCTGAACCTGTGCAATTAAATATGTTGACTATTTTTCATACCTTGTATTTATAAATAAAGTATAAGTTTACTGTGTTGCTCCAGATGATCACTGAATATATTAAAGTTCTACAAGGACAAACAAGGCTTAGTGCCCATAATGCACTTACATGACTCTTTGCTGCCCTAGCCAAAGGTACATTATCTGCTTGACTGGCATGTGCAGACCTTCGCTGAGAATCAGTAATGCTGCCAGGCTGCCACTTTAGAGAAGACATGACATATGCAAGCAGTAGTGACCAGCCAACACTAGTCACCACCACACCTGAAAATTCATACCCAATAATTATTAATAAGCAATAATAACCTGATGCTAATCTGCTATTAATTTAAATTCTGTGTATGTAAGGGTATATACAAGCCTTGAAAATAAGACATTTTAATTACAAATTCTCAATCCAAAATGAAATACAGTGTAAGAACAAACCTCTTGGGGCTGGACTAACACGTGCTTAGACTGGTCTGGGATAAGAAATACTGTATCTAGGTACTTGGTAAGTTTTTTCTGGGGGGTGTGGGGAAAGGAGCAAAAAACAAAAAACAAAAATTAATTACACTAATATGTTATTTTGTACCTACCAGGCTAAGCTGTAAGATGTTGAAGGAAGCTTTAGGGAGTGTGCTGAAAAACCTTTGTGGAAATTTTTTCTGACACACCAAATTTTTTTCCAAATTCCCAGTTAATTCTACCCATTTAGTGTCGTTAGACAGGTTTAAAAATATTTTTCTGGTAAGTTAGGTAGGGTTAGGTCACGTTTTAATAGGTTCTGTGCATTCTCGTTTCCATTTACATGTATTTATTTAACAGAGTGAAAATTGCATTTCCACTAAGTTTCGCCAAATTCTTATCAACTCCTACTGCTGTTAGTCTATAAACCTACCTAACCAACAATCGGACAAATATCCACAGCCTAAATACTTGGGGATGTGAAAGCAATCGAGTGCAGTGCTAACCATGTTGGTACGGAAGGCGTAATATGCAGTGTGTTGCATCAATACTGTTCCTATGGGGCTGTAGCTATCAGGCCTTTGGGACCCACTTTCATATTACTTAAGACATGCAATTTAATTCAGACCATTATTCCCTGTACCTCACTTGATTCAGTATAGATTTACTCACAGACTTTAAGCTTCGTGTGTACCATGATTATTCTCGACGCCCAGGAATGTAAACTTATTTTGTGATTGTTTGAGCATGAGCGACCCTTGACGGCTGCCACATGAAGCTTGTCCGAATGTGTTCCTGCGGCGTTGTTCACCTACAAACTTACCACTAAAATGTGGATATAATAGTACGAAGTATTGGCTGTGAATATGTACTAGAAGTTTTATTTAATTTAGTCTTATGAAAATGTTTTTTATTGAATGAATAATGCAAAATTTTTATATATGTTATTTATAGTGTAAGGAAGGGTTTACGAACAAATGTTAGATGTAAACAACAGCTGTTAAAATAGTCTACGAGGCCAACTATATTTACCTTACCTCTTTTGCCTAATGATCACTCACTAGAGGTGGTCATGACGAGAGAAGGAGGCCAGTGACCTGTGTAACATCCCTCAATTGTTCTTGATAATTTTGTCAAAGGCTATTTAGAAGCCTACTGGAGGATTGGTAAAAACAGCCCGAGAAGTTTAAAGAGGGCCACTATGACGCCAACCCTCAGCTATGAAGTCTTCATATCTCAGGCTGTTTTTACCAATCCTCCAGTACTGCACTGGACTTCTAAATAGCCTTTGACAAAATTATCAAGAACAACTGAGGGATGTTACACAGGCCACTGGCCTCCTCTCATTGAAGACGGCGCTTGCATCGTTCAAAAAATTCTGACCGATGCATAGGTACCATATGCATCGGTCAAATAGTTGACCTGCATGGCCTACCAGCTTTTGACCGTAGCTGTCAATGGGGTCACGTTAATGCCCATAGGTCAATGATTTGACTGATGCATATGATATCGTTGCATCGGTCAAAGTTTTTGAGCGATGCAAGTGCATCGGCCTGGGTGGATTTTTTTTTTAAATTAGCCCCCCCCTTGACCAAGGCCTGTCGCTGGCTGTCGTCTGCTTCCCACTACCGCTTGGTGATCATTGAGGAAGTGAAACGGAAACACGAAACATCTTAAAAATACTATTTAATCATTTCAGTAAGCAATTATTAATTAAAATAAAATAATTAACACATATTCACAATTATGAATATTATTGATAGTCATTTCAGCGTAAAAGAGTTAACTGTTTTAATTATCCCCGTACACTGGTTCTCTATGGTCCCTGTAAACAACGACGGACAACCATGGCTACGCGGAGGAGGACTTACTCGTCCGGGTCTGATGCTTCTGACCGATTTATATCTATTAATGAGCGACCTGTTGATGACATATCTCTGGATGTCTTCTATAAACCTCATAGTATAACTTTACTAATAGTTATAATCTCCGGCTTGATTTACTTCGCGTTCACCAGGTGAGTTTTAGGGGCAATGGAACTTTACTATTGCAGAAGCTACGGTACTATTATATGATTCATCGTCCTGTGACACCAGAATACAGCCACCTTATACCTGGCTCAACGGCTGTTCTGTTTTATCTCTATTACAGCTAGAGTGGGAATGAAGGAAATGGCTGAGTGAAGTACGCATTAAATGGGATTTTCCGTAGAAGGAAAGCTGATAACTTGTTTATTACCTTTAAAATTTGCTGTACCCTGTACCTAGGGCTTATATTTAGATGGGGCACTAAGACAAATTATCTCAAATGTTTGGAATTGCTTTAGAAGTTGAAATATACAGTAAAACCTCCATTTAACGAACATCAACACAATGGAGGTTTCATGGTAAAGAATCGTTTTGGGACAAACAGAAACAATTAAAAAATTATGTTTGGTATTATCGTTTTGGTGATCCGGGGAATTTTAGGAATTTTGGTTAGGTTAGATATAGTTCCTGGGTTCTGTGGCTAGGTTGGTTAAGTTGGTTAGGTTAGTTCAAAATAATTCAGAACACGTCAAAAACATAGGGATGACCAAACCTATACTTTTACCATATGTTTTCCTAATGTATTTTGTGTTGTTTCACATGAATCAGACTTCCATATCCATCGCAGGGGTTTGAAGTAGAGGGAAGTTCTGGAGTAAATTACTCAAAAGAACACAAAATAAACCTTTAAAAACACTACGTAACATTTCCTAATCTATAAAAATCCTTGAACTATAAAAAGCTTACCTTAGTCATGTTCTCGGTGTTTAGTATGTGATGGTGATGTTGTTTTCTGTGTTTAGATGAGGAGGGATCCATAAACTCCAAAGCAATTCTTAACCTTTTTACAAGTTAGGGAAGGTTAGGTAAGGTTTTCAAAGGTTTGGTGCTGTTTTTAGTATTTTGCTTCACATATTTTTAAACCCTGGCCACTTTGTTCAAATCATGGTTGTACAGTGGTAGCGGAAAGTTTGGGCGCAAAATTACAGGCGCCCAAACTTTCCGCTATTATCAAAACATACGATAAATACCAATTTCCGCCCAAACTTTTCGCTATATTTCAATGCTAGGGTTTGTACCGCTATTTAGGCGAGACAATACGCACTACTTGGCAACTCTGATTAGTCGCTTCAGTGAGCACGTGGGTGCAATGTGTAAACTTCTCTCACGCGGACTAGTCGTTTTTTTGCGTTTTGTTCTGTGTTTGTGCCTCAATATCTCTGTAATGGGAAGTGGTAAAGAGCTGGGAAGAGACACAATTGTTGCTATTATAACCCTCTATAAGGAGGGTTATAAGTGTAAAGATATAGCCACTCGTGTGGGAATAGGAGTGCGCCAAGTTCAAAAGTGGATCAAGAAATTTAGAGACGGCGGAGGTGAGGATATTTCTACCCCCAAGCCTCGCTCTGGTAGGCCAAGGAAAATACAAAATCGTACTTCCAAGGTTATAAAGAGGCAGTTGGATAAAAATCCAACACTAACAGCTCGAAAACTGAAGGAAAATAACCCTGCACTGCTCCAGGACGTGTCTGTAAGATGTATTTCTGATCATTTACTCAAAGATTTACAATATCGCAGTTGTTGTGCTAAAGTTCGTCCCCTCTTAAGTGCAAAAAATGTACGGGATCGCATTGCTTTTAGCAAGAAATATAAGGATTGGACCCTAGAAGACTGGGAACAAGTCTTGTGGAGTGATGAGTCAACGTTTGTGGTGTCGTCTGGCTGCAGGTCCAAGCGTGTCAGGCGTCCCAAAGGATCGGACCCAAATGACCCCCGCTACACAGCTAAAGTTGTAAAGCATGCTCCAAGTGTTATGGTGTGGGGATGCTTTGCATTTGGTGGAGTTGGCAATTTAGTATTTTTTGAAAAAAATGAGAGTGTAAATCAGCACAGTTATTTCGAGTTATTGTGTGATAACCTGCCTGAAAGCTTTGAAAAGTGTAACGCTAGCTGGTTTATGCAAGATGGAGCTCCTGCTCACACAGCTTGATCTATTATCCAGTGGTTAGAGGACTGTGGTGTAGATTACTTCAAAAAGTGGCCTGGGAATTCACCAGACCTAAATCCCATAGAGCACGTGTGGCATATCATTAAAAAAGAGCTTCAGGATCGTGACGCTTCGACAGTAGCGAAGCTAAAAATAGAAATACAGGATATTTGGGATAATATCATTCCCCAACACGTAGAAAAACTGGCAAGATGCATCCCACAACGTTTGGAGAAGGTCATCAAGCTTAGAGGAAAATCGCTTGGCAAATAAGGTACGTCATGAGCCCTTTAAATGTCTATTTAAATGTCACAATTGTTTACATTCGTCTTGCGCCCAAACTTTCCGCTACCACTGTATATCCTTAAATAAGTAATTAGTGCAGGAAATAAAGGTCATATTCATTCAAATAACCATGAAAAACAAGAAAAAATTATAGTAATGGAATTCCATTTTGGACATAAAACGAATCTACCTAATTATCATCTGTTTCCTCTAACACCATTGGCTGTGAACCTTTTGCTCTTACATTTAAAAGAAGTAATCTTACATTTACTGGGCATAAAATCATGAGCTCTCTTGTTGACATTCGGCAAGACTGGGACTTTCTGATGTATCATGCACTGCTACATTATGTAATTTGTCGTTCATAAACTGTACCAAACTAACCTACCAAAACTTAAGCTTCACCTCAACATTATATTATTTAGGTCAAGTTAGGTTATTTTTTTTTGTTTTATGATCAACAAATTATACATTGGAGCAATATCTGATACAGTACTTTGGAAAATTCCCAGATTGACTGAATGTCAATAATGCTACTGTACTGTACTTGTGAGTTTTGCCCCATTATGCAGTATACAAGATTAGCAAAATAAACATTCTGACCTTTGTCTAATTACTGTATAGCAGGAACAAACTACTAAGTACAGTACTGCAAAATGTAAGTGTATACTGTACTGTATAGTACAGTACTCAGTGATTTGTTCCTGCTAGAATCAGTCAGTCCTCGACTTACGACTGGGTTAGGGACCGACGACCAGGTCGTAAGTCGAAAATGTGAAAATAAGACATAGAAAATCTAAAATGGGTGTTTCTTTTTCTTCTCAGCACCACGAGAACTCTCACTTTTACGCTGGCCAGCCATTTTAAAGGGAATTAGAAAATTTTTTTTGTCAGTACACAGCATGATCACTAACTTCAGGACTCAAAAATATGTAATTTGAAAAATATTTTATATGACTGCAGCAGTCATATGTCCGGGTGGTCGTAAGTCGAGGAGTACCTGTACTTTAGTGAATATTTTTTCTGAGTAGCAAAAGAGCCTCGTGGGGAAACATTCATTGTTATACAGTACTTCATGTTGGTTGTGTGTCTTAACCAGCAACTTGAGGAAATTTTTTATAGGAGATGAATGTTTCTTTTTACCACATGAGAAGCTTGAACAGTGAGAAGGATTAGGGTAAGTTTGTCATAATACTGTATTATTTTTTCCATCATGAATACTATACATGCACTAATAACTTACCTTTTTCTTATAGGGATGAAAATGAGAGTATCCAGTCAAACATACAGTATGGGTTGGGTGCGATGGTCTTCTTTTTCGTCATCATTAGCGTCATGGCATTCCCAAATGGCCCTTTTACTCGACCGCACCCAGCTATCTGGCGCATTGTATTTGGGCTCTCAATATTATACATGCTGTTACTGCTCTTCATTATCTTCCAGGTAAAATTCATAGTGAATTAGTTAGTGCTGTTCATTTTCATCACTGGCAAAGAACCTCATGATACTGACAGTAATAATTCACCACATAAAACAGTATCCCAAAATATAAATATGATAATAGAATGAATATTTTCTTCTTAAATGTGCATTCAATATTGGTTAGTCACTTTTAAGACATTTTTACCTGTACTGAAGTTAATTTTGTATTAATTCAATCCCAGTTTGTATTTTAGCATTACCTCTCTATTTTACCCTTTAAAGTTTTTTCCTGCCAGAATCAAGACTAGATTCTGAGTCTCCCTTTTGATGTCATATATGCATTGGATCATCTGAAGAATAACCTCCAGCTATTTTTCCTTAAGATAAACCACTTTAACGTGAACCTAACCATAATTAATTAAACTTAATCTCCCCCCCCCCGCAGGTAGTGTTCGGGGTGTTTAATCATCAGGTGAAATAAACCGGAGGTTAATCTTTAGGTGATCTCAGGGATTTGTACTAGTTTGACAGTTGTGTTCTGCTTAAAGATGACATGTGTTTAGGGTGGACTATGTTTTTCAGGTAATGTTATGTCACTGTGTTCATAATCTTTGAAGCATTTTACTTGAATGTTTCTGAAGAAATTTCATTGGCAGTTTTTACTCCTTGAAAGAGGAGTCTTCTGTACATTGTTTAATAATCTTTTGCTCAAATTGTCATATTCATACAGTATACTGTTCCTTGCTTGACTCAGATAGGTAAATAATTGTTTTTAGATACAGGGTAACACCAACTGCATATGAGACTGTTTGTCAGGACATCACTAATGTTGTATGTTGATCCATGCTCACTGCATTTATCTAAAACTCAGCCTCAGCTTGTTCAGTTTACATGCTTGCTCCCACTTACTCCACAGAGATACCTTCTTGTATGTTAACTCTTTATACTTATATAAAAGACTTATTAGCATATAGAAACTGTATTTACCTTTATTTTTAACAGGACTACAGGACTGTACGTAGCATGTTTGAATGGTTCTTCCCAGAACTGAAAAACTTCACCATTGATATGGATAAGGTCGGTGTGCTATTACCAGTAACATTCTCATATTGCTAACCTTTCCTCCTTGATAAGATGCTGAATTTTATGAATAAGACTACAGTACATGAAAATTATACACACCATCATATATTTGATTACTAAAACAATGCCAGAGAAAAATCACAGTATTATGTTTGAATTTGAGTTGATGTAATCAGAGTGATGAGAAGAGAGGCATTAAAAGTAGTCTGAGTGAAAGGAACTTGGGTGTCCTTGTTTTGTGTGAAACAAACTAAAGGGCAAAATGAGAGATGAGTTGGGGGACAAATGTAGGGTGTAAGGTCTAGAGTGTTTGTGAGATTGAGGGTGAAAGGTGTACTCCACTGGTACTGTATATTACTTTATTGTTGCCATGAATGGGGGAACATGACCCATGATAAGAGAGCTACCACTGTTACCTGTTTGAAGTTACTTGCTGTTTCCAAATTAAGGTTGACAGTAGTTGGTAAACAGTAAGACAGTGGATCAGTTGTTGGCTTACAGCATTTTAATAACTGATTGAGACCATTTCACATTTAGAGTTTTCCCAAAACTTGCTAATTTTGATTATCATCACCATTTCAGGGTCTTGAAAGGAAACACATAAGTTTATGATTTGATTAGGATATGATTGATGAATTTCTTTTAATGATATATTTCTCATCCCTTTTGTTAAGACTACACACATTATTTATCAGAACTATGTTAATAACTGCTCCTTAATCTGCATGAAATTGGATGATTTTTTAATAGAGAAGCATCTTCAGTTCTTGGACATATGCTTGCCAGATTATACTTTTTTACTGATCCCTCCATTATACCTAACTCCCACCCCTTTTGAACAGGGTAAATGGGGAGAGAAATGTGATGATCTTACCTTTGCGCGACTGTGGGAGACCATCGATTTTTTCTGCTTTGCCCACTTCACAGGTTGGGTCATGAAGACCTTGCTCGTGCGTCACTATGGCATCTTGTGGACTATCTCTGTCATGTGGGAGATAACAGAAGTAAGTTGAGTTATAGTAATTAATAGATTAGTATTATATTAGAGAATTTGGTGCATAAACCATTGGATCTCAGGTTACATTATTTTGGTCGTTGTGTATTGCTGGGAGATAGGATGGATGGACCAGTTATAATGGCTGGAGATAAAGGATGGATGGTCTTTAGATATTGTAATTATAATACCACAGAATGTCTCAAAATGTATCTGGTGTAAACTGTCTTAGAATTGTAACCTTTTTTTTCCATGGCTATTTTTGATCTTTTAGGGAGGTCAGATTAGCAATGGTATTAAAATTAGTGGTTTAGATGATACAGTAAAACAAATTATAGTGACAATTTTGTTTCCTTCTCTTGTGATGTAAAAACTAATGTGAATGAGTTAAGATGTATAATGGCTGAAGTGTCGAGAGGTTTTTGTACCATCTTATATCAGTGGAATTTGAATTAAAATGAATTTACTGTTCAGGGTATATCTTAAATGTGAATTATTTTCCAGATTGCATTCTCACATCTCCTTCCGAACTTCATTGAGTGTTGGTGGGATGCTGTCATTTTAGACGTTCTTCTGTGTAATGGTTTTGGGATATGGGTTGGCATGCAAGTGTGCCATTTGATGGAGATGCGTTACTACAATTGGGAGAGTATCAAGTAAGGCCATTTTGTAATATCTTTTTATCTTATTTTCACTCTTGTGTGATTATGAATTGCTTCCTAATAATTTCTCATGGCTGTCAATTTTGGTTTCTCCCCAAGGATCTAAAAAAAGTTACCAGTGTGTGTGTGTGTGTTTTTGGAAAAGGAGGTTATGAAGTATTTTTAGATTTCTGGATTGTTTTTTCAAATGAAACTTATCTGGTATAATTTAAATTTTGAAAAACGTTTCTTTTAAAACAGAATCTTCTACAGCATTCCTAGTCTTTCTGCTACTGTTAAATAACATTATTTTGTTCTCCAAATTCTGTTAAGACCCAGTACAGATTCTTGAGATATTTAACTTTTTTACACTGTACAGTAATGGGTTACAAGAGGCTCTGAATTATTCAATGTATTGCTTGGTTCACTGTTTGTACATACCTGAAAATTGTTGCCCTCTTAAAGAACAGTATATATAATTACACATAATCTTAGGTTTATATTGTTTATAGTTCTTCATGTCTGAAATTGTTAAGTGCCAATATTTGTCTCTCAGGGACATCCAGACCACAACTGGTAAGCTGAAGCGTGCTGTTCTTCAGTTCACTCCAGAATCATGGACAGCCATGAGGTGGTTAGATCCTGCTTGCAGCTACATGCGCTTTCTGGCCGTGTCTCAACTTGTCGTCTTCTGGCAACTCTCTGAGCTTAACACCTTTTTTCTTAAGCACATCTTTCAGATGCCTCCCAGCCATCCACTTGTCTTCATGAGGATCTTTTTGATGGGAGCCTCGTCTGCCCCAACGATAAGGTAAGTGTGTTTGTCCTGTACAGTATCAGATAAAAGATAGCAAGACAAATTGTGGGGTATGTGATGTTTGGGTTCACACTCAGGATGGGATGGAGAAAGGAAACTCACAATGTGCTCTCTGTATACATATTATATTGGATGTACAATGCAGCTTGGTGGCTGGTGCTGGGAGGAGGCAGCGTGGTTACAAGCGTGATGTAGAGAGAGCTGGTTGGTGGGGGTGCTTAGAGGAGGACAAGCTTGTGGGTCGCCATGCTTGCCAGCGGGAGCGAGGGCCGCCAGACAGAAGCGGAGGAGGTAGTGTTGCTTGCTGGTTGGTGTAGGTAGAAAGAGAGTGGTCACCGCGAGGTCAGGTCTTATATAGCGGAGGTAGGCGTGGCTTAATAGTTGACCTCCGTCATGTAAGGCGGCGCTGGTTGACCTAGACCACGAGGCATACACTGGGGAATTCGCGGGGTCGGCTACTCAGCGACAAACAGCGTTTGTAGGGGAGGTATCCACTACAATATGTCAACATTAATCCTTGTGTTTTACCATTGAGTTGCTTCACAGTTTGTGTCACTAGTCATTATAGTTTCATTTATTAGTTCCAGCAGCTGAAACTTGAAGATATTTTAGGTTTGGACTCTCTTCATTTGTCTCTTTTACTGTTAACATGTCAGTGTTTTTTGGTGCTGTTGTATTCCTTGAGCCATTATATGAATACAAAACTTTATGCCTACTAGTATTATCAGGAAAAAAAAAGGAAAGAACAGTCCTATTTATCATATGTGTCATGAAAGTACATGTTGAAGACAGCAGGTTGGCCCACAGAGTGAGGTATGTTATTTTTATATATTGTTCAGGAACCCATGCTATTAAGGTGCTAGAGCTGGGGGAATTTCTGTGAATCAATAAACATTGCTTCTATTTCTACCTATTTCTACAGGCAGTACTACAGCTATGTGACAGACCCCAGATGTAAGCGTGTGGGAACACAGTGCTGGGTGTATGGGCTGTGCATGTGCATTGAATCTCTTATCTGCATCAAGTTTGGAGCAGACATATTTCAACACACTCTTGTCCGTAATATCATCGCTTGGGTGTTGATTCAAGCTGCAGGGTCAGTAGTGTGTGTGTACCTGTGTGTTACACATCACAGGTGGCAACGTAAGCGCCAGATCAAACTGGTAAGTACAGTCAGAATTTGTATAATTTACTTTTATTGATGTTACATACTGGTCTGTTTTTTTAATTACTGAATGTACATAACCTATGTTTTGATAGATAATTCATCTTTAAATATTATACATAGAATTCTTCATCTCATTTACCCAAAAAATAATTCAAAAATTTTCTTGCATTTCACGTGATATGTGAAAACACTGATTGCATGCACATATACAGTAGATATATTTTAATATTTGCACATGATACAACAATGATAGTTGTTATATTGTAACATAGTAGAGGAAGTTCAACTGATCTAAAAAAGTCAAGGAGATCACCAGAAGTATTAACCTCCTAAATGATAAGATGTTGACAAAAATTAATTGTCTGGCTGACACTGCTTCATGTTGCTGCCGCCACCCAGGACGAGGTAAACTTTTGAATCTCTTATAATATTGTGTCTTGTACCCCTTGAAATCATAAATTGCCTTGTCCTAAATATATCAATGGCTATGCCAGCATGGTGTGTCATTGGCACATAAGGGTAGACTTATTAAAGACTTATTTATTTATTTATTTTTATTTTTAAGGGGGATTAGCCCACCCGGGCATAGGTCACTGACCCACATCGGGGCCTGGGGGGTGAAAATTTAATAATAATAATAATTCATAGTAAATGAAATTTATAATAAAAAATACAAAACTGAAAATAAAATGATAAAATAATAATAATAATAATAAGAATACTGTAATAATAATAATAATAATAATAATAATAATAATAATAATAATAATAATAATAATAATAATAATAAAGAACCATAAAGAAATACAAACAAATAAAAAAGATCAAAAGTGAGAAACAATATATGTATGTTGTGTTGTCAATAGTAAGAGAAACAATTGAGACCCTGCAATTGTGTGTAAATGAGGAAGAAAGTCAGATCAGCAACCTGGGACTTGGTCACAATACATTATGCTTCCAATATCTTCCCAGGCAGTGACCTTCCTCTCTTGTACAGTACTGTACTCAGCCACAGACAGACTGATTGTAGACTTGATGTCCTTTGTAAGCTTTCATGTCATTGGAAGTTAGATCTCTGTGAGAACACAATATAATTCACAGTGATCTTGCCATGTATGTTACAGCAGAAGGAAAATTCATTTTATCACAGATCAAAGAGTGAGTTACTGGTAGTGATCAATATTGCTGACTGAGTCAAGCATATTCAGGGGTATTCATATTTATTATATTAGGACCAAACTTTCTTGTTATTATTTAATTTCACTCTTCTTCCTGGACATGTTTGACTCACTATGCCAAGGTTTGTAAATAAGAATCCATTGATAAAAGCAATAGAGCTTCACTTTGTCAATCCACCTCACATAGAGAGAGAGATATCTTCAGTACATACCCAAGATTGTGGATGGCCTCTTGTTGCCATGGAAAACAGCAACCCCTCCATATCGGATACTTGTGATATTGATATTTTAATGAGATGGATTAAGGAAAAATAAAAATAAGGTGATGTTAAACATTTTTGAGTAAGTAGATGCAGAAGGTATACAGTAAATCTAAAATATATTACTCCAGAAGTTACAGGATATATATACAGGATAGCTTATGAAAATATATTTATAAAAAGATAATAGTTTTTAGGGATAAATTTCTCATACAAATATATTTTTCAGGAAGATTAATTTCGCAGGATATAAAGGAGTCAGCGGAAGTATAAATAACTATTATAAAGATTATAATACTTATATAGAGGGAGTGGGAATGTAAGCAAGGAGAAAGTGTAGGGGAATCGAAGTACAGTTCTGTAATGTTATTAGATCCGTGAAGCTTGGGGGATTGAATGGCATACAGTGCGTAGAATTTGGTGTACAGTACACACTTATATGCATAGTTGTGTTGAAAGTTACCGGGAAACACTGCTGTAGGTATATAGATAGTGAAATGGGGAAAAAATGAAGGGAAATTTGTTGTTGTGAGTAGCTTTGTGAAGATGTGTACACTATATTTTGGGGGGCTGCCTTGATGTGTTAGTAGTGATATGAGGCAGGACCTGTAATGTTATTGCCAATGGTGAGACCTTAGAATGGTTATTGCTTTGTCAACTTCCCGGACGTAGTTAACCCTCCTGGGAGATGTTCATTGGCTGAAGTGGTGGCTCTGAGGATCTTTTACTGCTGATAGTAACTGAATTCATTGAAATACTGTATATATGTAAGTAAGACTCCAACGATGACATAAAAGATGAAAACTAACCCTTAATAGAGCAGAGAGGACTTTGGTAGTTGGAAGACATTTAATTTTCCTTTGTTTTTTGGTTTGAGCCAATCACCACCACCTTTAATAATCAGCGTTTGTACCTCCAAGTTCTCTTCCCTCCCTCATGTATTTCCTTCATAACCTTGATTCCAGTTGAACTCCCATGCATGATTAATATATCCCATTGTATTTAATAAGAACAATTCCAATTAGGCCATAAGAAATTTTCTTGATTTGCATATTCAATATTTGACTATGTTATGTGGAGATAGTACTGGAGCTTCACTAGTTTAATGGGTCATATAAAGGAGTGTTAATACTGATGATATTCCTGAGTAATTGTCACATTTATTCATAGAGGATTATTATGTGAAGGGGAAAATTGATCTTTATTTTAAGACAATAATTTTTTTTTTAAATAAATATTTCTCTTTATAAGTTGATATAATATTCTCACTTCCTTCTAAGAGGCAGCAAAAACACTAGGGTCATCCATGGTAAGTGACATGTGACAAACCCAAAGTTTTACATCCTATTTGTAATATCGTGTTTAGACTTTTTATTTTATTTGTTCCTAAATTTTGTATTGACTAAAACTATCAGAGTTGCTAATTTTATAATCCTGTAGACCATGATGAGTAGCATGTCAGCTTTATTAATCTTAAGGATTTTCTGCACATAATAACAACATCCTCCTAAATATATTGGAATAACAAGCTTCTTTAGGGATTTTTCTAGTGAGCAGATAGTGTTATAAAGACACACTCCCATTAGCTGCTCCTTAGATTTCATTATAACATGCTCTTTAAATTTGCCTTGTTACAATCCCCACATAACATTTCACATGGGATGAATTGGTACATGTCATGGGATAACTGTGCAGTAGTCACTCTCCATCTTTATTCGGTTGGGCTGTTCCTCTTTACATATTTGTGCATTTTTTCACTAACCTGTTTGGCTTAATTGTGATATACAGTTTCTCCTTTTTCAAATGAGTGTAGTCATATACCAATCAGTTCATAGTACAATATTTGTATATAAAGTTGCTTCCCATATTTTAATACAACTGATGATGCAGAGTTTTTATTGCTGCATTTTTGTTATGCAGGGTATTTGATTCACTGCAAATTCAAATAAAATAAGTTTTTTGAGAAATGGTAGTCCAGTATTGTATAGGCACAGTATAATGATTTCCATAAGTTAACAGATTCAACAAACCAGTGTAAAGCACACTTAAGTAATTTGGAATTGATTTGACTTTTGTTCAAGTATAGCAGTTGTCTTTAGTTAATGATATTGGAAGTGAACTAGTTGAAGTTTTAATTTATTGATAACCAGAATATATGAGGCACTGCAGGTGCATACATATAAAGGACCTTTCATATGTACTGGTGAGGTAATCAAGAAAGAAAAATAAACTTATGCAAATGTGGTTATGAAAGCAGCCAAAGAAATTTTATCAAGTAATCAAAGTAGATAGGGCAGATGATAGAGTGACTCCAACTGATGAGGCAAAGTAGATGAGGAAATAAAATGTACCTCAGAAGTAGAGAGAGGAACCCCAATAGATATGGTATTGAAAGTAGATTTAGGGAAGAATATCAACTGTGAATCAACAAGTTGTGTATAATGAAGTAGTGTTAGTGCCTCGTGTTTAAACTATTACTGTGATAATACAGGTCATGAAAGTAACTCTTTCCTTATTGATGGTCTTGTATTCTCCTCACACAAGTTCCTCTATTGTGGTTGGGACCAGGCATTATAATACCCTCAGATATAAACTGTAGTGTAAATAGTGTTTATCTCTCACTTAGGTGATGTGAACCTCTTTGTTGATGTAAATGAATACACGTATACTGGTATAGATGATTTTTAAAGTAAAAATTGCAGATTTTTGTTTACTGATTTTTACCTAAACTTTAAAAACCGTTTGTGCTAGAGTGCCCCTTGATTTTGATTCCCTTTTCGTGTATTTTGGTACTGTTTTTAGTATACTGTAGTATTATTTTGTTGTGGGGAGAGTATTGTAGGTGATGATGTTGAAAGTTAGTGAATCTCCCAACCCTCTATGGTGGGGATTAAACCAGTGTCAACTGACGAGTTTGTGTAACCATTCAGTCTCTAGGGACATATCTGAGGTGTTGTTTTAGTGTATTGGAGAACAGTTGCTGGGAGGAGGAATTTGTGAGACAGAAGGAAGAAATGATGAATGGGAAGGCATGAAAATTTAAAGCTCTGGTTTGAAATGAAAGAAAATTATAAAGGAAAAATGGCATGACAGTTTTTTATCATTAGAATGATGTAGATAGAATGAAGGGGGGGGGGGGGTTGAAAAAGTATAAATTTATTGTGTGTAGAGTATTCTAATAAATAAAGTAACAAATCATTTAAAGGTAGAAATGAGAAAGTTTTAGGATGAGTTAAATACTGTGGTTGTATCCAGAGACTTCAAGGAAATGGAGATTGACAAAATAGAAAACCTAATAAGGAAAGATATAAGATTATGATGAAGAATGAGGTACTGGAGGAGAGTAAAAATTTTAAAGTATTTGGGAGTACAGTGACTGCATGTTATATAACAATGATGTAATGGAAAGTGAAATTAGTGAGAAAAATACATGGGAAGAAGGTGGTTGGTGAGCTGGGAGCATCACCAAAGGAAAGAATGTAAGCTTTGAGGTAGAGAAGATATACTACCTACCCTAACCTATGGTAGTGAACCATTTGATTGGAAAGAAGCAGAATACTCTACTATTCAAGCCAAATAGATGACTCACTGGGTACTTGAAGGTTGCATCTGGGGTAGGAAACAGTAAAATTTATCATGTGTTTGGAATAGTAAAGAAGGCTGAGGGTGGTGGAAGAGAGGAGAGTAAAAAGATTGTACTTGGGCAATGTAGCAAGTACATTAAGCAGAGAAAAATTGGCAACAGAGGGAACTGCCTGGAGGAATGAGGCATCATAGATAAACTTGGTAAGGCTTTGTAGATAGAAAGCTATACTGTTATACTTATTACAAGATTGATGACTGGTGCCTTCTTATAGTGTGGTGGCCGCTGTAGGTGTAAACATGAACATCTAAAGCTAATATTGTCCCATTTGTCATATGACCTTGCAGTCTGATCCTGTAATTAGTCTCCTCAAACACATATAACTTGTATTTTAAGCATATTTGATTTTCTTTTGTTCTTTAATTGCCTTCATAATTTCTGGATTCCATTAGTTCTTGCAAAAATTTACCCATTAGCATTTTAGTACTATATGTGCTTATAGCAGATACACGTCCTCTGTTTATGATGTTACATCCTCCTTACGTGACTCTGGTGTAATGCCACAAATTCTACTAATGTCAGAACCCTGGTAACCCATCAAATATGGTGCTGGTACTAATTCATTAATTAGTTACACCTTCTTGCTTGAAGTAGAACTGTTCAAAAGGGTAATAAAACCAGCAGTCACCACTTAAGGTTAAACGCAGTGAGTTGTGACATCATATCGGCTGTCCACACCTCTCATGTCACCTGTTGCCCCAATCCTACAACTCTCAGGATTGATTTTGACTAAGTTTCAGCTGCCTTCCACCAAGGTGAAGAAGTTTAACCTGGCAACACCATCTCAGGGGGTAACAGTGTGAGGAAGTTGGCTGGAACCGAGTTAGAATTGAACTTGGCAGTCAAAAATTATAAGCAATAGATGCTGCTGTGTCACGACCCCCTTTTAATCCCTTGTGTACAGGGTTGCCTCTGAGCTGAATAAAATCGTTTGGTGTTTGCCAAATAAAATTAAAAAATTGGTGTTCCTGTAGTAAATACGTTAAGGGCTTTAGTCTCAGTAGGGAGGCTGAAATAATTAAAGAATTAATCCCAGCTGCCACTGTCTGAGGTTTACCCATGTTTTGACCCCATAGAGTTGTTGGGATAATGCATAAGTTATTTAATCTTCGGCTCAGTCTTAAAATGAGATTCCTGTCTTGATCTTTTTCTTTTATTGGTTACTTTTTATTTGATGTAGCATTTTATTTTCGTTAATTGAACTGCTATCCTTGTAAATAAAGCAAGTCCTTTCTTTGCCTCACCTTGTATGTGAGTCATTAATTTTGTAAGTGTGTAAATAAAGAAATAACATTATTAACATTAAAAGTAACTTGACTAACAAACATGCAAGCAAAGTCTTGTCATGTTTATTAAAGGATTTGAATGATTAATTGGGTGAGTTTTCAGTTGTCTATGTATATATATCAAGAAATACAAACATAGCACAGATGCACATGTCATTATTTTTGTCTACAGGACAACTTTTTGGTAAAATTGCTTTCAGTTAACTGTTAATGTGATACAGTACCTGACAGACAAGATCTCGCAGGATGTGGCTGTTCACATACAGATTATGCTATAAATGTTATATCATAGAGTTCTGTATAGTATGATAATCTTATGTCCATCAGAATTGAGTACTTACTGTATTACAGTACTGTAGTCAACATGTGCTAAGTGATGAGCTTCACCAGTAACAGTTAGTGGTATCCATAACTCTTCTCAGATAGTGGTTTGGCTTAATGCAGGTATAAATATACTGGTGTTCCAAGATCCTTTCAAGCACTTTGCTGTTGTCATACATCTAATGACATTATTATTATACTGTATTGGTATGAATAGCAGTCAGTTAGAAGAATTTATCTTTGATATCTCTGGAGGCACTAGATTGATTGGTGCTAAATTATCCATATTTCAATTTAGGTTAGTTTAAAGAATGCATTTCAAATACAAGATACAGTATCAAGGGAAAATCATAAATGAGAATGTTTAGTTATCATTCCATGTACATATTTCAGGTGTGACAACTGACATTCATATATTTTCCAAGATGGCTACAGTATACTGTATAGATAATGGCACAGACGAGTATATCATAGACTTCCTCCGAGCAAGTGATCTCAAGCCCTTGTATTCCTTTTATTAGATAGAATTAATCTTCCATTACTCCCATTATTAAGGGAAAGGTTACCCCCTGAGACAGCTAAATATTACAGTTGGGAATACAGGTACTGTACATATTTGGTTATCCAGTAAAGTACAGTTACAATAATTCACAAATGTTAGTTTTATCTCAGAGGTGTGCCATGATCTAAATATGAATATAAGTATGTACATCTTAATTGGATACTTGTAATATGAACAGTAAGAGACAGACATCCTTACATAGTATTGCGGTTATAGGTTCTCATGATTATGTATGCATACATGTATACATTATTCACTTTATATACACACACAATATACTGTATATGTCTTCATTAAATAAGACATCAAGAAGAAATATTCCTTTTGATTGGCGAGAGATTTTATGATGATAAGTGTCATATGTTTATGGTAGTTAAGTAGTGGTAGATGGTATGGTAACTAAGGAGGCCCCTGGTATACATCTCAAGGCAAATTCTATTAAAAATTTTGATTTATGAATGAGTGCTATGTGCTCACCTAGTAATTATGGTATAGACTTAATGCTCTGTTGATTATCTGCCACCCATTTTAGTTGGGAATGGAATAAAGATAATAAAAAAAAAAGTTTGGAAGAATATTTTAATGTAAGTGATTCCTGAAAGATATTAACTTTTTTTTTCACAGGAGGATTCTTGGGATGAAGACACAGAAACAGACACTATGGTGTCTTCATATATTCAATCTCTTCCCCGCAAGACTGTGACGCTTAGCACTCCAGAGGATGAGGACAGTGACGATGAAGACGAGTGGCCGCCAGTGACACAGCGCAGAGTGTTCCATACCCGACTCAGGCGAAGTAACAGATTAGACCAATAACTTTATAACGAGTGAAAACCTCTGCTTCCAGTGATGTTGACAAGTGTACAAGTTTGTACCTATTCCAGTAATCTTTATGAGCATTTTTCTTAATGTTGCCCAGGAGAATATCCCCTCAAAGCATGTTCTAGACCTACTTTGACTGTAACAGCTTTTAATGGGTTTCCAAATGCACAAGTCTGTCTCATGCATGCCTTTGATCGTCTTGTAGATACTGTAGTTGAATTATCAGTATGATAGGTTTCAACCAAATGTTGCCTAAACAGTGTGCAAGTAAAGGTGATATATATATTTCTGCAAGTACAATCAAATAGCCAATTTTTAACATATAAGTTTATGGCCATAAATTTTGGATAAATTTATGTAGAAGAAATGTGAAATCATGTTGTAGTTAGATTTTTTAACATACAACCTTATCTTTTTACTATACTTTTTCTTCAGTAGGTGTATATTCTCTAGTAGCTTCTTTTAAGAAATCTTCCAAGGGTGTCCATTAGTAATGCCCCATTAATAGATTTATACCAAGCCTTATCTTTCCTGAAAATATTCCTATGGTTGTTTATTATTTAACAATACTGTATTATTCACGATTTGGCTTAAAGTCAGAAAGATATAACAATGATATTTTCAAAGATGTGGTCCCCAGAATACCTTGATGCATGCATATATTGATTGCACTTGTTTGAATGTGGCCTTTTGTGATGTATGGTTTTGTGACATTAGCAAGTTTCATGAGAGAGATTGTCATTCCACAAAGGTTACCAGTAAGAGGCATATGTGTTGTGATTCTCATTTTTATTTGCACTTTTTGAGCGTGATATTCTTGGGCCTATTGAATATCCATATTAACATCTACTGTATATACTTTATTTTTGCTTTTATCATTATTCATATTCACTTTGTACTGTACATATGATACTTACACAGTGAAGTTAGAGGGACATGGGCCTAAGGATCCCAAAAGCACTTTAGATACTTAAGCTGTCTTCACTTATAAGTACTGGTAACTGTTTCATGTACTGTATATTGTAAGTGGGAGTCCAACACTGACACTCAGCCAATGTTGGTGTAACCTTGATTGTGAAGCAGCTGTCACTTGTTTACACTCAAGAAGTTATGAAAAAACTGAAAAAAAACAATGATTGCCTCAGCATGTGAGGGAAAACAAGATGTATTTAGGAAAAAGAAAGAACAACAGGAAACTGCAAATGATAGAGAAGTGTTTTTCTCTCATAGGTTGATAATTAGATAGATGGATGGACCTGTGAATGGGTGAATAGATAGATAGATAGATAACATATTTCAGACCATTTGGTGGACTTACAGTATGAGGAAATTAGTAGGAAGCATGTCAATGAATGGTGTTGAGCATATTAGATACATCTTTTGGGCAAAACATTATGTCTGCTACAGGGATATACTTGATGGGCTCTCGAGTTCAACCTGTCATCTGAGTGCAGTAACTATTTGTATGATACTTGTACTATTAATGATATTCATATTGTGGTTATTAAGATCATGATTATATTTTTAGTTGGTATTATAAGTAGATATTACCTGTTTTTATCCTTTTGACTGGAAGTTCAGAGGGACATAGCAGTGATGCTGTCTGTAGCAATTTTGGTTTCTGATTCATAACTTTCCATAGACTTTGTGGATTGATTTAAGTTTCAGTGAGAAAGTTTATTAGGACAGATTCCTGCATTTAATTGTTGGGCATGTTGCCAACTCAGGTGATTTTACTTGTACAGTATGGACATCACGTCTATCATTCAGGGGGATAGGCCATGTACAGTGGCTCCTGTTCAGTAGGGGTGAGATTTATTATTATTATTATTATTATCGTCTTGTTATACTATATTGTTTTCATTGTAATTACAGGTGGCCCTCAACATTTGGACTTACTCCCATTTTTGTGATGCCCTATGGAAGCTCATAGCAGAATAGAGACCAGAGGCTGACACACTGTTGAGTGGCTGATGCACTGTTTCTACGTGTTCACTTTTGTTAATACTGTACTGTACTAATAGTAATTTTTCATTTTCTACTTGTAATTTAATTTATTTTTATATTAGAACACAAAAAGTTTTATTATAATGGACAGGTATAGTACATGTATATCTTTAGTTATTTAAAGGTTTTGCATCTTTATATACAGTATAATGATTTCTTAAAAGTCTACCTAGGAGTCACCTTGCCATGCTTGAGCTTTAAACTGTGAATATCTAAACTTCCACCACAGATGTTAATGTTGAATACATTTTATGTCGCCGTGAATGGTTGAATGGTGAACTTCAAGCCCATGAATGGTGAGGGCCACCTATATTATTATTAATATTATTATTATTATTATTATTATTATTATTATTATTATTATTATTATTATTATATATGTATTGTAATTTCTATCTTTAATACGTCAGTACAGCATTCATAAAATGTGACATATTTTACCCCAAAAGAAAATGGTATCTGCATACTGAACATGACAAATGATTGTATGGTAATTGAAAATTTATATCATTGAAATGTTAAGCCTATTTATTTTACATAAAGAGGCTGTAATGTACTAGATACTGTGGAGGCATTCTCTTGTGCCATGTACAGCAAAAGACAGGGAAAGGTTGATGAATTGTATTTTAAAAGTTGGTAATTTTTTCTTCTTCTATGAATCTCCCTTTGATCTGAGCTGTTGTTAACCCATGTTGTAGAACCCTGTTGAGTTACACTGGGAGGCAGAATAAAAGTTACTGCTCTTACCTAATTTGTCTTGTTGAGCCATATAAGGTATGGTTTTAAGGAAGTTATGTTACAATGGGAGGCATTGTTAAAATCACTCCACTTACTTGACTTGTTGAGTCTTACAGATTATGACCTTAAGCAACGTGCAAAGTTTACGTCTTTACAGATATCTTTGTCAATGTCAGAATGTTTTTATTGGGTGAACATTTGCAATTTCCTCATTTAAGTAAATGGGAGTTCATGGTCATGGAAGTTGAGTTTATTATTTTATACACTTGATACCATAGCAATAAAAGTTCTTTTGCTTTGATAAGTTTAAAAAGTCCATTTTATTGATTTGTATATATTAGTATAGTTATAACATTGCTGGAGGAAGTACTGTACCTTCAGGAAGATATTTTGGATCAGCAGGAACATGTAATCCAAATGATAGCCAGATACAGTGTAGATACATAGCTCAGACTCTAAAAGTGATGATGATATTGTTATGACACTATTGTTTGTAATCACTGTCATAAATTTAAATAAATTACTGAAGTTATTTTGTGTTGCTAGTCATTATATTGAGTGTTTTATTGTGTATGTCAGTACAGTACTCTACTCTCCTGTGGTAAAATGAAGGCTTTTCATAAAATCATACATATAAAACACATCAACTTTTTAATTAGTGGTCAGTGTAATGCATAAGGTAATTGTAATATGCTTTGGCGACATGATATATATTCTTAGGAATTATGGCTACTGTTTTTATAATGCACATAATAAATATGTTTAGATGTGTAGTATTCTCCTGGTTGATACCAAGTACTGTATAAGAAGAAATGAAGAGGGAAAAGGATTAGGATTTGTACCAGAGAACTATGTAAATGAAGTTGTTGTACCACTGTATAGAGAAAATGGAATGCAGCATAAAGCTAAACACTAGGTACATTTGATAACAGATGAGTGTAAGGTGTAATGTAGTTTACTTTATAACAATTTGATCTCCCATCTTAAGTGGCCAGGTGCTCAGGTCACAGGTCAGTGTAATACAACTCCCATGGTGTTTGAGTTTAAGTTGTGGTTATCATATTTTGTGTCTCAGCATTACTGGTGTAAGCTTTTGACTGGTTGAACCTACAACTAAGTCAGATAGTGATGCGTATTGAAATGAATAGAACTGGTCACTTTGTCATGCCAAGGATTCGAATTGAACTAAGTAACCCTTTCCTTCAAGGGAGGGGGGTTGCCACTCACTCAGTGTAAGAAATAGGGAAGATAATTTTAAATAAAAAAGATAAGATACACAGTAGGACGGTTAGGCTAGTTTAGCATAGGTTAGGCTAGGATAGGGTTATGAAAAGAGAGAATTAAGAAAATAATAGGAGATATTGTGGAAGAGCACTGCATCCCAAGCTTCCCAAGTTTATTTTTTATTTTATGGGAAGAGTCTTTCTTTAAGACTGTTATACACTTCCTACGTAGCCAAATATTATGAAACTTTCTACATAACCTGTTGTTATTCACTTACTGTTTACCTCATCCCCAAATCCATTATTAATTATTATACAGTACAAACTGTGAGTTTGAGCAACTATGTTCTGTAGATATAAAGCCATATTAGTGATATAGTGTATTGAAATGATATGTGCCTTTTTTATTCTTTATCATTATGATTTACAAAATTGGGGAAGCTTACAGTAGCCACTCTTGCACATCTGTCTTGTTTGTCCCATCTCTTGATAAACGAAAGATTTCAATTAAAACTTTTTACTTGAATATGTATCATAATACTGGATTTTGATACAGTATGTACTGTACTAAATCCAAAATTATGAGTCACACAAGGATATGCTTCAAGTTTTAACCAGTCAAGTATGAGTTAGGTTCATGTACAGTATGACTTGTATACTGTATGTTGATTTTTCTATGGTGGCATTGGATATATGTCAGAAGCTTTTTGTTCTGTAAGTTCATAAAAGAATAGTTTTGTTTCCTTAATTTTTATACAAAATAGCATCAAACCTTCTTTTTGTTTTGTATATTTTTCAGGGACTGGTTGTGTGCATTCTGAAAAATTTCTTGTGTTTTAGTTTTTGACTTGATATGATCTACAAGAAAAAATTACCAAAGAAGAGGGTCATGAACCCCTTGAATAATACAAAGTTCAAAATTTGAATGTATAGTATTTATCATCATCATCATCATCATCATAATATTTTGCCATTTACTATCCTCATATGGGTTAGCTACAGTATGATTACCCGATGGCAGCTCTCCCTGCTGCATGGTCTCTTGTGGATTCTCTTGTCAAAGTTAATTTTGGTTTAAAATAACTGATGACTCCCTCAGCATGGACTTCATATGGTCACTTACATAACAGTTGATAACAGTAATTCCATAAGGAAGAAATTTATTTTAAGTACTCGATAATACTGTACCATAAGCATATAACTTGACTGATGTACAGACATTGTACATGTATCAGAAGATTGTGAATATGTGATTGCAGTATTTCAATGATTTATAGCTACTCTTTGATGCTTGAACCATAATATATTTTGTAAATACACTTTGTTGCTTTATCTGAAAGTTTCCTTTGTATGGTAACTATAGTCAACAACAGTCCTCAAAATTTGTAAAGAACTCTTCATTCTGGGTAAATTATTTCACAAGCAGTCTGCCACATTTAACAAGAGTTGGGAATTTCTGATATGGAGAAGAGGAATGTACAGGTGAGGGTACACAATAGAACCTTAAATAATGGGTAGTAGCAATTTTTTTTAGGATATTGAAATTGTGGATGTGTGAAAAACTACTAAGTGGACTTAATTTAGTCATTCTAGAAGACTTTTTAATCTTAGATTAGCTCCATCCTGTCTAAGTGTATATGCTGTAGAGTGCCAAACTGTAACTGTAATAAGGTGAATATTATGATGCTGCAGATCTAAGAGAATGAATACATGGCCACTAATTTTTCAAGTACAGTACTGTATTTTTGTATGTGTTTGTCAGTAACAAGAGTGAAATGAATTTTGATGGTTTTCTTTTCATAGTATATTTTAATTTTATAATATAGCTATTTTGTAAAAATTGAAACAAATTATTTTGTATTTTGCTTATTAGACTTTAGACATATGCTTAGTTTATAAGGATTTTTTTATTAGTTAAGATAACATTCTCATATTTCTTTAAGTATCTAACACAGTTGTAATGGATATTTATAGTGAAAATACTACAGGTTGACCCTCTCTTGACTGGCATTCCATCAACCGACAACTCGCAATTAATGGCACTGTAATAGAAAAATCATTACTGTACCTGGTAAATCTTACAATTCATCCACCACGTAGTTGTCCAATTGGCTGCATGGCGTCATGTGTACTTTATGTTCACAGCCCAGAGTTTATTTAAACAGCTTTTATTGTCTTGGCTGTGGTCCTGCTGCTAGTGTTGTGTGATTTTAGATATTAAATTATTATTTTACCCCTAGTTCACAGACATAATGTCTTATAAGTGACCATCAAATACTCCTGGCTCTTGTTTTCCCAAGAGGAAGTGACACACACCGCTGAAAAGGTTGCTGTGTTCTTGTTGGTATGTGTGTGACAGAGGCTTAGATTCATAAATTTCTTCCTCTAATATCAGCCCTGGTCCCAAGGTTGCTGGGTAAGAAAGGGTCAGCCTGTATATGATTCTGATAAGTGAAACTTGCAAAAATAGTTTGTAGAAAATGTCATATTTTCTTGATAAGGAAAGATAGTTTTGTTGTGGCTATTTTGTGTAACAGTGATAATTTGCATGTACAATATTTTTAAGTAGAAAGTATTTATTAGGGAACTTATGTTATATACTAGATAATTAATTCTCTTGTAGATGAAAACCTTGTAAATGATAACATACTTTATAATATACTATACCCTTTATGTATGTTGGAATAACTTTAAAAGGAGTATATTTAGTTGTTTCTGAGTAGATGCTAAATGCTGTTTCTTAAATCATTGCAGCACTGATTCTGTAACACTTGTACTGTACCACGATACTGTACGTATCTGTCCAAGTACTCTGGACAAATTTACAAATTTTTATTTTTCTTGCATAACTTCCATGTCAATTATATATCATTATTTTAACCTTACTTGGATTTTTTCATTTTATAATACTGTATCTAGGACTTATTTTTCCTCCCCTATCTTTTTTTTTTAAGTACAGTATTCTTTGATAGATTATATAAATACCTAGAGTAAGTCATCAGGACAACATGTAAATACTCTACTGTATTGATGCAGGATGCAAGGTCTCGAGTAAATAATTTTCGCATAAATTGGTTATAAAAGCATCTACGTATAATATTTCATGGTGTAGTTGATGGAGGTACATTGTTCAGTATCTGCTCCTGTATGAATAGAGGAATACTTGCTTCTTGTTTTCTCTTTTGAATTAACGGATATTTTTAACAGATGTCTTATTGGATAGTTTAAAGATTGTATTGTTCTATCTTCAAATGTTAGATTGTTGATGTTATTCACTTGTATAACTTATTCCCCAACATGGACTAGATGAGTGTTTTTGTCTTGTAGGAATCAACCCTGTGTAGTGGAAATGGATGAAATGGCTATTAGTAGCCTTCTATATAAAGTATTGTATTCCATTTTGTTCTTATCTTCTAATATAAGGTATGTTAGGCTCTTTGAGTAGAATGACCATAATACACAAAAACTTTGTTTGTAATTGCATTTACCATTTATGTTTTGACGACAGTGATAGAGACCACTTTAAGTAGCTTATCTTTTCATTACATAGCCATCTATGCAAAGAAAAGGTTTCCTAAGGAGTTTACAGTATTGTTATTCAAGGCAAAAATAATTGGATCATGATGGTTGCCCATGTAAATCATATTTTTGTTCTTCAAATGGAAAATTCAACCTTGGTTTCTGTATTGTTTTTTTTTTACTTACTTTCAATCCTCATTACTGACTCATGATGTAAGCAACAGTTCTCTTTATCTTAAATTTTTTTCATAATCATAAAGCTCCTATCGAATCAAAAAGAACAAAAGTAAGAATAAACTGCTTCTGTTGTCTTTACTGCTGTTGGCAGGACACAATGGGTGGATATCATGGATCCAGTTGGGTTATATCCATTTTATATTGATTTTAAACATCACTTTCAAATGATGAAATTAAGTAGCTGGTACAGTAGTGTTAATGAAACAGATGATTTAGCCATGTTGGTTATGTACTGACAGTCACACACACACACACACACACACACACACACACACACACACACATATATTTAGTTATCTTGTTTAGTAATTGACATTCTGAGTACTAGAAGTAGAGGAATGTGGAAATGTTTGCTGTTTAATTTATTTAAAATTGGAGCCAATGGAAAAGGATGTTGATTGTTTTCAGCACATTTTTGAGAAGGCACCAAATACATATTAAATCTGTATACCAAGATAAGTAACAATTTACTTTAGTAAAAACAGCTTAAAAGTGACTTAACTAATGCTGTTACTAATTGTTTTAAGTGAAAGGATTAAGAGGGAATTACATTCAGTGTTAATTACTATTGATTGTTACTGTACTAGAGTTTGATAATTACAGTAGTTCATTCCTCATCTGTAAAGTGTGTAAGTATGGAAGTACCTGTACAGCCATTTTCATAATGTGTACCCCATGTCTTGCCGGTTATTTAGTTCATCTGTGTTTCCTCATCTAATACTCCATGTAAAGCTTGTAGTGTATTGAAATTGCACTAGAATTTAGACATTAAAAAAGATCACAGTAGAAATATAGGACATGATTAGTATCTCGTAAATACTATAGATTTTATTGGCATTATTGAAGATATGTCAAGAATATAGATGAAACATTTTAAGATGATTCTGGAACTGCCTTATGAAGAACCAATAATTGTATTTTTAGAAAAGTGTTGAACAGATATTTAAGACAATCGCTGTAAGAGTACACCTACTGAGGTGCACATAAGCTACACCTTTGTACAGTAGTTCCTTATAAATGATGATCACTAACAGCAGTCCCTTGTCAATTTATTAGCTCTCTTTACAAGTTAATAGTAATAGTATTTGCAACCTGTGCAAACTTTTGTCCATCTTTCATTATACAGTACTGTACTCTTTTTGATTTTGTGCTGTTGATCTAAATCATACAAATTTTGTTTAAAATCTCTTTATATATTAGACTAAGAACGTGAAGTATTATTATTTGCAGGATATTACAAATTTACATTTTGTGAATTAAAGTGTCTTACCTCATCTCAGTGTTTATAAATGTGAATGATAGAAAATAAGATTTTCTTAATTGATGTTAGGATAGGCAATAGATGATACATTAAATCAGTAAGCTGGATGTTTGTATCCTTTATACTGTATGCAGAATTGACATTACGTTAATAACTCGGTGGAAGGAGATAATTATATCTTGTCTCTTTTAGTTGATGTGACCTCTGTAGTTTTATGGCTTATGTCAGGACCAAACAACTTATGAAAGTGCACCAGATCAATCCTTCTCTGTTGGCCTAAGGAAACACCTATCCCTTGTTGTCAGCCATATTGGAATTTCCAGGACAGCTCCAGTTTAGTTGTAACCGACTCATGACTGGGTTCTTTCTTCATCTCTTCATCTTTTCCTTAGGGAAAATATAACTTCTGCACCATGTTATTGTGCACTTGTGAGGTTTATGGCTCAGCCATACAATTGATGTTGCCTGGTCCAGATTTGGTCAGAAAATGGATTTCCAGCATCAATCCAACACTTTGATTTTAATATTTTATGATGAGTCAGAAATGCACCATCTGCACATCAGACAGTTATTTTTGTTTTCTCTGATGTTTATTTTATTGTTTTATTACAAGTCATGTTAAAAGAATGAAATGGAGGATATTAATCTGAATATCATTAACTTGTTTACAGATATTGTTCCACTAGCATATTTGCAAATACAATACTGTATACATGAGTTCAAAGTGTTTTTACATTTATCTACCTCTGCTGAAGCAAGCAGCAGTATTTTATATTTTTGTGACACTATTGAAAATACTGAGTTTAAGGAATTGCCAGTGATGGTTCAGGAGGGAGTGGGCAATTTCCTTTAAGCATTATACTGTGTAGATTCAGTAGTTTGATGATAGTGTATTGGATGTAGTGTTGATAGTGTAGTGGATGTAGTATAAAAAGCACAGTTGATGTAGATTAGATAGTGTAGTGGATGTATTTTGATGATAATGTCGTGGGTTCAGTGTAGTGTTGTAGATGCAGTGCAGATGATAGTACTATAGTGGATGTAGATGTAGTATAGATGATGGTATAGTGAATGTACAGTAGTTTAGATGATAGTGTAGCTATGGACATGACTATGAGCTGCCCCACCAAATCAAACTCGGGCAACGTTGGGTACCCCATTTAGTCAGAAACCAAACCCAAGTTTTAAATCGTAAAGATCTTGCCATCACAAAGCACTGTCTGGTGTAGGGTGGGTAGTGTATATTAAACAAGAGCTCCATGACTCAGTTGATAGCTCTGTTGACATAGTCTTGATCATATGTCAGGCAAGTTTGGCGTGCGCTGAGTTGGCCACAAGCCACATCAATGCCCTTGGCTAAGCTAATGCTGCTTGTTTGGGGATGCCACCCCACAAAGTATGGGAAATGATGTATGTAGTGTGTTAGTTTTCTTACATGTTACTCCAATACTTACTGTATTCTCAAACTAAGCCTTCAAATATTAGTCCAGTGGAATTGAATATTTAGCAATGATTTGCACTCATTCTTGTTTGTTGAACAGTAATTTACTTCTCTTCTTAAAGACAGTGTGGGTTTACCACAGACTAGTTCTTCCTATTTACTTCAGGTGATGATTTATCATTGTGCATATTGCAATTAGTCTTTATATTTTAAAAAGATCTGCACTAAATAAACTTTATTCACATCTTTATCCAATCGCTGTACAATAAGTTTTCATAAATAATAATTGAGGACAGTATACCATAAGATATCTTTGTATTTTAATGTTGTGTGTTGATACTTAAGCGAGTGCTGTACCATGATATTTCCACCAGTAACGTGTTGGTGAATATTAATCTGATATTTGATGTTTACAATCCATTTATGATTCTCAATAGTTGTGTGATGACTGACTGTCAGTGCCGAGTTCATATTTGGTGACAAGTTTAGTTATTGTTATTAACTTGCCAAGTGATTTCAGAGATCTCAAGTGTGACCAGATTACAATTGTAAGAGTGTGTAATGTAATATTTTATACATTGCACAAACTTGGCATCTTTTGTAGATTTATTCTTTTTGATGCAGTCATTATTAATTTAGTAATAAAAATATCATTTTGAAGAATGTTTTTGATACCTTCTTTATATAAGGAACTTTATACATTACATTGCAAAAAACTGGTAACAGATTAGTGGAGAAAGGTGAACAATGTGGGTTAAGAGTTAATGCTGTAAAGACGAAAGTAATGGTTGGCAAAAACTTAAAAGAAATTTTTTTGAAATGTACTGGAAATGAAAAATGAGGTACTTTGGTTATATAATTAGGGTTGAATGTAATAACAGAAATATTAATGGGTGAAGTTGAGGGTAGGGGGGCCAGGTAAGGCAGAGACGGGTGGATGAATTAAAATAAAAAAAATTGGGTTCTCCAGAGAATTTTTTTTAGAGGATTGATAAAACAGCCCGAGAATGTTTCGAGTGGAGGACTGTGGTCGCCAACCCTCGGATACATATAAGGACAACTCTGATACTCATAATTCTACTATAGTTTCTCTGTGTTTAATATTATAATACCCATCCCTATGATCACAATGTTCTTATCACAATCGTTTACTTCATGGATGTTACTTTACTTAAAAATGTTCAATTGACAACTTCCTGTGTTAGAGGATTGCTCACGTTGGCGGTCGTCTTAGATATTTCAAGTGACAAGTCGCCAGTCAGCTAGCTGTATGTGTTTTGTTATTCTCAGTAACTTGTTGAACATGACCACCTCAGTTCTTGTGTAATATTTATATTATCAGTTGCCAATAGTTTATTCCCGATGAGTTGGTAATGTGTTGTCGATGTGACTGGGGATATTTACATATGTGTTTGGTATATATGAATTGAATTTAAGGAAGTGTGGATGTGTTTAGGAATATATGCATATGTTTTTGATTTGTATAACTTGTATTTAAGGGTGTGTGGAAATGTTTATACAGTAGTTGGTATACCAACTCCAGTGAAGACAGCCGGTGTTGGAAAAGCACCATGCAGAGGACCGTGCCTGCGAACGTACCGGTAATTCACAATACTACCTATCATTGGGTAGAGTTTTGGTATGTGGAAGAAAAAAAAATAAGTTTGTGATACTGTAGTGGATTTCTCCCCTACAAACGCTGTTTGTCGCTGAGTAGCCGACCCCGCGAATTCCCCAGTGTATGCCTCGTGGTCTAGGTCAACCAGCGCCGCCTTACATGACGGAGGTCAACTACTAAGCCACGCCTACCTCCGCTATTTAAGACCTGACCTCGTGGTGACCACTCTCTTTTCTACCTACACCAACCAGCAAGCAACCCCTCCTCCTCCTCCACTCCTGCCTGGCGGCCCTCGCTCCCGCCGGCGAGCATGGCGACCCACAAGCTGTCCTCCTCTGAGCATCCTCACCAACTAGCTCTCTCTACATCACGCTTGTAACCACGCTGCCACTTCCCAGCACCAAGCTGCATTGTACATCCAATACAACATGTGTGCAGAGAGCACATTGTGAGTTTCCTTTCTCCATCCCATCCTGAGTGCGAACCCCAAACAAATGTACCTCACAAATGGTGACCCCCGGAGATTCGCACTCACACAGGATGGAGGAGAAACCGATCACTCTCCCAGTCTTCAAGCAACATGGAAGACTGGCTTACCCACACAGAAGCAGCTCTCATCGGCTCTACAGCTACTGTCTCTACACCGCAGGTCGGAAACCCTAGAGCAGCTCTGCTACTCTAAGCAGACAGCCGTTCCTCTTCCTGCCCCAAGCACCACGTCCTACCGAGCCCAACACACCCGTCGTGCCTCAGACGCCGCCCCCGGCCCAGCAGTATCCCCTGCCACTCCTCCTGACGCGGCCTATGCGCCTGAGTGCGGACCCACACACCCCTCTTTTCTCCCTCAGGTACTCCCTGCTACTGTCCTGCACCCTGCTGCTGTCGTGGACCCAGCTGCTGTCACGAGCCCTCATCCGCTTCTGCTGACGCAGCCCCTGCTCCTGACCCAGGCCCACACACCCCAGCAGGCGCATCTGACGACTCTGTACTTGCCGTGAGGGAAGCACAACATTCATTGCCTCCACACACCCTTTTTCTCCCTCTCTACTCCCACAGATATTGTGTATCTAGACAATTGTCTCCTCTAGTGGCCGGCTCATCCACGCCCTCGCCGTTATGGCTCAAATGTGGCATGCACCGCCCGTTCTGCCTCACTTGAACCATGCAACCCTGCAGACAGCAAGTCTCCTACACCGCCTGGAGGGAAGGGGGAGTACTGTAGTGGATTTCTCCCCTACAAACGCTGTTTGTCACTGAGTAGCCAACCCCACGAATTCCCCAGTGTATGCCTCGTGGCCTAGGTCAACCAGCGTCGCCTTACATGACGGAGGTCAACTACTAGGCCACGCCTACTTCCGCTATTTAAGACCTGACCTCGTGGTGACCACTCTCTTTTCTACCTACACCAACCAGCAAGCAACCCCAACTCCTTCTCCGCCGCTGCCTGGCGGCCCTCGCTCCCGCCGGCGAGCATGGCGACCCACAAGCTGTCCTCCTCTGAGCATCCTCACCAACCAGCTCTCTCTACATCACGCTTGTAACCACGCTGCCACTTCCCAGCACCAAACTGCATTGTACATCCAATACAACATGTGTGCAGAGAGCACATTGTGAGTTTCCTTTCTCCATCCCATCCTGAGTGCAGACCCCAAACAACTCGTACCCCACAATAATTTTTTGCAATTGATATTACAATTGATAAGAGCAAACTTAGAATAGCTACTGTTAAAAAAAAATCTCGATTATTAATTAACTGACATTTGTAATTTGATTGTACTGTAGCTGTGCATGGAATTTTAATATATGTCGGATATATAAAATATACAAGAAAATTTTTAAAATTAAAATTATTGCTGAAAATATCAGTAAATCTCAAATTAATGTGTAGATTTTTTTATTAAACTTAAGTAGGAAAATAGGCCATTTTAGAATTTCGTCTGCCGGAGTAGCTGGCGGGCGAACAATTGTTGACATGAGCAGTGAAGTGTTAATTATTGCGCCATAAGTGTTATTTTGGTTATGTGAACAATTTACTATTGTGATTTTGCTTTTGGAATTGTGTAGCTATCAAGTCATACTTCAGTTATAGTTTGGAATGTGCCATGTAAGTAATATTGTAATTTAATAAATTTGAGCCATTGGCTTTGTTATTTGTTTAGAAACGAGTCAATGCAATTTGTTGGGCTTGTTTACTTAACGTCTTGTATGCACAGGTTCTGCAGGATGATATTTAACATAAAAATCATGGGTCCTTCCAGGTGTACTCGTAAGCCTAGTGGTGGCACTACTCATAGAAATCGGATCCAAAAGCACTCATAGAAAACAATTATTGTTTCACGATTTAATATTTTTGTCAGCGAGAGCCAATACATTTGTAATACAGTATTCCATCAAATATATTAATTTCTTTATTTTTTAATCTACTGTATTTATAAATAAATTACAACTAAATTTTTTACATAGTAAAGCTGGTCAAATGAATGAGGAGTCTTAGAAGCAAACACCGACCTTTTTTATAAACATTTGTTTGTCAAAAAATAACAATAAAATGCAAGGGACAGAGCACACTGTTTTCTAAGTTCAAGTTTGAAATACGGTTACGGTAATTAGATTTAAATACAGGTCATCGGACTCCTCACATATATAAGATTAAAACACTGAACTCAATGAATTTAAGTCATAGTCCTCAAGGGTATTATAGCATGTATTAATAGGCTAATTCATTGTACTCAAGGGGCTTTAAGGTGTCGTACTCTATAGGTGAGTTTATTGTACTCAAAGGGGTTATAAGATACCGTACCCATAGGTGAATTTATTGTACTGTATTCAAAGGGGTTGTAAGATATCTTATTCAATCTGTGAAGTTATTGTTCTCGGGAGGTTTAGATCGTACCAAAAGGGTTAAGTTGATTTGTAAAAGATAATTTACACGAGTCTATGCAATTTTCTTTCTCTGTTTCTCTTCCTTTCCGTTTTCTCTTCCCCCTCTTTTACTCTCTTTAAATTTTCTCTCCCTCTTTCCCTCTTCATTCTCTCTTTTTCAATCCCTTTTCATTCTCGCCTTCTCTATCTATTACTCTCTCTCTTTCTCTTTCCATTCTCTCTATCTCTTCATCTATTTCCCTTTCCATTCCCCTTTTCTCTCATCCTTTCTATTCTCCTATTCTCCCTTTTCCCTCGTTCTCTTTTCCTTTCCATTCTCTCTTTCTCTCATCGCGTCCACACATCTCCCCACATCCCAGACGGCATAGAATCTATACATACCAAATGAGGTTAGCCCAGTCTGCCTCCTAATGTGAATGTCCCGTCCTAATAATATAGTGCCGGGGCATATAGTATATAGACCTCTGTTACAAGGGTGTGGGGGCTCTGTTACAAGGGTGTGGGGGCTCTGTTACAAGGGTGTGGGGGCTCTGTTACAAGGGTGTGGGGGCTCTGTTACAAGGGTGTGGGGGCTCTGCAAGGGTGGGGGGGCTCTGTTGGGTGTGGGGCTCTGTTACAAGGGGTGGGGCTTTTTTTTTTTTTTTTTTTTTATCCTCTTCGCCACTGATCGGCTTGTTAGCCGCTTGGGCGATCGGTCACGACTCTTTTCCTTTATATTCTTCACCAAAAGGTCGGCTCGCTAGCCGCCCGGGCGATCGGTCACGTCTCTGTCACGCACTGTTGGCAAATACTGGGCATGCACCGGCTCCTGAATGTACCTGAACCCGCTCCAGTGTTGGTCAAGTCTTCTCTTGAAAGAGCTCACACTCGGTGCCGTCACAACACTTTCTGGTAGATTGTTCCAAGAGTTTACAACCCTCACTCCGAAAAAGTTTGCCCTCACGGTTTTCCGGACTTGCGGCTTCTTCAATCTTGAGCTGTGACCCCTTGTGGGGCGAGCGTCCGCCAGCTCCAAGTAAGGACACTCAACTGAGTAGTGCCCCCTGAGATGCTTATAAACCTCAACTAGGTCCCCCCTTGCCCGTCTGTAGTATAAGCTAGGCAAGTTCAGGCGCTCCAATCTCGCAGGGTAGCTGAGATGCCGAAGTGCAGGCACCAGCTTGGTGGCCCTCCTTTGAACATTTTCAACCAACTGACAGTTATAAGGGTGTGGGGCTCTGTTATAAGGGTGTGGGGCTCTGTTATAAGGGTGTGGGGCTCTGTTATAAGGGTGAAGGGCTCTGTTATAAGGGTGAAGGGCTCTGTTATACGGGTGTAACAACAGGCATTCATCTTACGGAACAAACAGTATCTGCGTCCTACCGAACTAAAACAGCAGACAACATGAGGTGATAGCAGACAAGCCTCAGCATTAGAAAAAATTGCAGACAGAAAGACTTAATAGCAGACGAGATGAGAAATATGAGAGAGAGAGAGAGAGAGAGAGAGAGAGAGAATGTTCCCCAGTACCTGTAATAATTCTTAAGAAACACACACTCACATACACGCACACACACAGTCACTTTGGAGTCGTCTCCTCCTTGATCATATCTCTAGGATGGAAAGACAACAAGCGGTGTTTTTTAGGGGAGGATGATGTGGACCCGAAGTCTTCTACCTGGTGTTCATATTGTGTGTGTATTTGTCGGAGGTCACAGGAGCGTGTGTACGACATCCACTGCGGTGACGTCACGGAGGGAACAGGTGGGAGGTGGTGGTGGCGGCGTCTCACTGGATCCCGCCTTTGTTCGCCTCTTCCTGATCATTATTCGTAATTGCTCTTTTTATCCGCGCACCTTTTGTACTCTGGGAATATTCGGGTCGCGCCGTGACAATAGCCGGTTAATATATATATATATATATATATATATCTATATATATATATATATATATATATATATATATATATATATATATATATATATATATATATATATATATATATATATATATATATATATATATATATATATATATAGATATATATACGCTATACAAAAGATATCCCTTTCATGTAAGAAGGACCTGAACCCCTTATGGGAAATACAGACGAAACTCTCACAACTACCGTAGGATTTTGATTCTATAGATGCTGTCTTGCCGTTCATTTTTTTATTAGACGATATGAATTGCTTCGATATGGCATTACCGAGCATCAATTCCATCTTACGTGTGACGGAGGGGTATTGGAATCTTTAGAATTGTAAGCGAATCTCCTTCCCCGCATCACCTGATCCCTTTATTGTGAGTCTGCCATTTGCTGAATCGAATCTGTGCAGAGATGCTCAATTGTTTGCAACTCTTTGCACGGGAAACTGCGTCTCCGAGGGTGTTTATATTGCCACAGTGGGGGGAGTTCACGTATAGAGTTTATTATATGCGTTCACACCGTGTTGTAGCCAAGACTGATTTATATACAAATACGCTTAAGGTTATAGATATACCGGGTATATGTATAGTATGTGCTGAGTGCGTCTTCTTTCACTCCTATGCTTTGTTCTACTACTTTCTCTCCTATACATATTGCTACTTCTTTCAGTCCTATGCTTAGTGCTACTTTTATTCCTATACTTTAATCTATTTATTTCACTCATATGCTTAGTGCTACTTCTTTCACTCCTATACTTTGTGCTACTTCTTTCGCTCCTATACTTTGTGCTACTTCTTTCGCTCCTATACTTTGTGCTACTTCTTTCACTCCTATACTTTGTGCTACTTCTTTCACCCTTTCCGTACCTCGCTTTACCTTTATTTATTTATTTTTTTAAATTCTGATTTCGTTTTCATTATTATTATTCTTTATTCCCATTGGATTTTACTCGTATTGTACGCTGTGTGTCCCTTCCCTCAGCTGGTTTTAAAGTCATGCGTATACTGTGGTAGTTATTTCCCCAGACGGAAAAAATTCATTGACAGCGATAATGTCAAGGGGAAAAATACCAATATTATCAAACTTGGCGTCGATCATTTTACAGCTAAAATCATCAAATAATAAGACTCGATAAAATCATTTTAGGATCTGATACAAGTTTTTTTTTAGGTAGAGTACAAGTTCATCATTTTGCAATAAGGTGAAAAAAAAAAATAAATTATATATAAAAAAGTGTCAATTATCGTACCTCGCCAGCCCGGGCCGTACCACAGCATCCCCCGGCTGACGACAAATAGGAAATGTGATTTTAATTTTATTATTGTGTCATGATTACGGAAAATGCTCTTTGTTGGATTAAGGGCGACAGGATAATGGTTGCAGAAATTCAATATTATGGCCAGTGGAGATAGAGGTTAATTCACGGTTTGAATGGCAGGTGTGTGTGTAATATTGAGATTAAGTGATAATGAATTATACGACAATGCTGTTAGTGTCGGCTGCCCTCAAAAATGGCGGGAAAAGCGACATAAAATCATGAAAAATAATAATAATACCTGTACACGGATATTATTGCTAAGAAGTTAAGAATAAATGTGGGTATATTTTTCATGTGTACTCATCTCGGGTTGTTAAGGACTCGTTGGTGCGTATTTAATTCTTTTCTCGTACTCGGGGCCAAGAGAGGGGATACGAATTTCTTCTACTGACGTCACGAATATATATAAATACGTTTTCCAGAGTCCAATAATCTTATTTACCGTCTAGTATATCTTCTCAAGTATTTGGTCAACCTTTTCTGACTCAAGCGGTGTATGATATTGCTCCCTTCACGAGACATAGTGAAACATGGTGAGTGGAAAGCCAGCATGTTCGTATGGTTGGATGAAGGAGGGAGGGAGGAGGGCATAGTGTAATTTAATGTGGGTTATACTGTAGATGCCGTAGATTATATCATATTGACGTAGCTTAGTAATATATGAGGTACTGTATATAGCCCGTAGAATTTTATTACATTGTTCCTTTGAGACGCTGAGTAGTTAAATACGGGTTGCATTTACCGTAGAGTTTACCACAATGGTCCCTTAAGTTATGCAAAAGTTGGGAATATTAATGAGTTTAAATTATCAAATTACGTTACATATATACTAATTTATGCTAAACCTTATATATTATGATGCGTGAAATAAGTTTGGGTGTCAAATGCTATGGTGAAATAAGCTGGGGTGTCTAATCTTAAGGTGAAGTAAGCTGGAACGTCAAATCTTTGGGTGAAATAAGCTAGGGTGTCTAATCTTCACGTGATCTCTGTGTTGTTTTAGAATTGTACCCCCTTCATGTATTACAACAGAAAATGGCGGCGTTGGTCAGAGTGAAGGTTTGTTTATTTTTCATCTGAACTGTTGTGAGACAATTTAAATGTTATTAATGTCATCTGTTGAAAGGAGACTCAATTGCGGCGGCATTTACTATACGATACAGTTACAGGACCAATTGTATTACGATAGTTATAAGAACAGTTGTAATAAGATAGTTAAAAATTTTTTTTACAATATGCAGTGAGGAAAATAAGTGAAAAATAATGTTTATGAGTAATTTTAATCTTCATCTAATATTTCTTTTTTATTTACAGGAATGAGAAGTCATTACCAGTCAAGAAAGGGTTAAGGTAAGTGAAAGTTTACCTGTTTACCTCAACTGATTAACGCATTATTGAAATTTGTGGGTCTTAAAATCTGCACATTCCAAATTAAAGGTACAGTAATTGGATTTTAGATTGAGATATTAAATTTGGATTAATAATATAGTATTGTGATTTGTGATTTGTTGACCCATGAGCCTTAGTGTGTCAGGGGAGGATACTAGATGTTCTCTATTATACTCTACTGTACTAACACCTGCCCCGCCAGTGTTGAAAACGTATAACGGTGCCAACTTCAGGTAGTGAGACACACCGAGACTTGTTAGATGTTCTGCTGTATGTTAGGGTTCAGTTCTATTAACACACACGTTTACAGGGTAGGTCCTTGTATCTGTGTTGAGGTGTAGGCAGCACAGATGAGTAGTATTTTTTTTGTCACTTCACCACAAGATGCAAAAAGACAGTGAAGAAACACGAAGAAAGTTTGATGGTGGAAGAAAAAGGACTGAAGCCGGTGACGTCAACTCTGCCTCACACACACAGGGTAAACTATTAGTCTTATTGTACATTACTGTGTTTGTTTTGTGTTTACATAACAGAAGGTTGAGCCAGATGGTCACCTAATATCTTGTGTCTGAACAGTTAAACGTGTCGACCACCTTCGTAGTTTTCACCTTAAATGTCGTCACCTTACTGAAGCGAGTATCTATTATTATTATTATTATTATTATTATTATTATTATTATTATTATTATTATTATTATTATTATTATTATTATTATTATTATTATTCCTGTCAGTTGGTCAAGGAAAGAGGAAAATGATCCCAATAATTTGCCAATAGTTTGTTGTGTGTGTTTTGTGTGGTAATTTGTTGCAAAAGGGAGAATAATTTAATCGTTGATCTGTTTATTTACATGTTTTGTGAGTGTGATGCAAGTAGGTGGACCAATTAGGGAGTGTTTTTATTCTGTTTGTGGTTTTGTCAGTGTGTGTGCTAGTGTGTTTTAAGCCGACGATCAGTTAGACCGGTTATTTATCCTATTTACTGCCGGTGTGTTTTAACCCTTTGAGTTCTGAAGGGTTAAATAATTGTCCTTAAAGGGTTAAACCATCGTGGTCAAAGGGTTAAACTATCATCATCAAAGGGTTAAATCATCATAATCATCATTAATGCTGACGATGCGTTCAAAACAGGAGAAAAGACACTATTTTTTCTTTAGATATTCCGTATTTATGTCTTTATATGCAGAAGAAGAACAACTTAGCCTTTTTATTATATATTTTTTGCCTCTCAGTCTTCGTATTGAATGGCTGCGGTACTCTGCCCTCCAGCCCAGCTTGCCGATAACTTTAGGTCTATTGAGAGTCACGCAAGCGAAAAATGATCTTAGGAGGCGTGTGAATGAAGCAACAAGAGACTGCTGGTGGGTTTTAATCAGTGGTACCAACTGATGAGAACGGGTTCCAGCAGGCAGGCAGGTGGGCCAACACACGGCGGATGTGAAGGAAGGTCGGGCCCAATTCGTCTGGGATGATTTATTTTTACTAGGAAGGTCTAGATGGATGCCTCGGTGGTGGTGGGAATAGTTCAGTATCAAGGACTTATTAGTTCATTGATAGTCAGGATGTCTAATGGTGGTTTAGTCAATTAGGCAACCGTGGAAAAATAATGATAATGAAATAATGATGACGGTAACAATAATAATATTAAGAGTGGCAATAATGATAATAATAATGATAACGATAATACAGTAATAATAATAATAATGAAACATGTTCACATTATTCAGAAGTAAGAGTACAGATCACAATTTCACTATAAATTCCGAAACCTGACAACTGTTCACCAAGATAACAAAACGAGACAAGAAAGAATCCATTAAAGGCATCCAGCAGGGGTGAAAGAAGGTTCCGAGTCGACAACATCGCAAAATGAAGGATTTAACGCCACAAGACTTGCTACTTACCGATTCTCTCATCTCTCTCTCTCGCGCACTCTCTCTGGTTCAGCGGCCGGGGATGCACCTCTGCTCACCGCAATCAACAATTTTATCAGAGAAATACATGGGGTTGCTGCTCCTTGTGTTTTATGAGCCTTTGTTGGCGAGGCAATACTATGAATAATCTCATTGCATTGCTAAAACGTTCTCCTGGCGTTGGATTACAATGAAGGTTGTGTTGGCGTGTGTAAACCTTGTAAACAAATATATAAATAAGATAAATTCATAAATATATATAAATTTACATGACTAGAAAACAATATAAATTCATGAATATATATACCGTATATATATAAATTTGCAAGGATGGAAACTAAATATACATTGTAAATATATATAATGCACAAGGAGTTATGATATCTATATATAATGGGTGAGAATTTATATTAAACTTTGTGGATATACTGTATAATATTTAACATGGCAGAGCGAGAGCAGAAACAGAAGCCTTTGGTAACTGCAGGTTGGGTGGGGGGAGGTACGATTTAAGTCTCCTCGTAATACATTCAAAACAATTCTTTCCCTCCCTCTGAAGTATAAAACTCTCATGTATAATTTGACAGCAGCTTAAATCGGACACCTGTGGAAAGTAGAAGGAAACAGAGGAAATAAGTTTATACGGGAGCCACCACACCAAGCTGTCTCTCTGTCTGTCTGTCTGTCTGTAATTTCAGGATAAGTCTATGCAGGATTTTCTTTGTGTTTTTTATTTAATTTTTTTGCTCTTTATGTGATGGTGTGTAAAACCGTGTCACAGTATTACTAATTTTTTATTTATTTTTTTCCGTTTTCTTCTAAATTTACGTCATTTGTTTAGTAAGAGAGAGAGTGTGTGTGTGTGTGCCAGGTGAGACAGATGCCATAGTCAGGTGGGTGGAATTCAGCGAGGCGTTCCTCTTGTTAAACACTGAAGATATTTCCTGAAAATGAAGTAATTACACACACACACACACACACACACACACACACACACACACACACATTATGCTGTTTTCTGTTCAAGGGGGAAACACAGTACATTACCTTTAGGTTGGATTGGCTTGTTTTAGGTCAGCAGCCGCCACCATCTGCTACTTGTAACAGTGAAACAGGATAATAATTCACTCGATATTGAAAACCGTCGCTGGGGGGTAATTATAAGTGTACTGTAATTTATCGTATGAGGGCAGCTGTCTGACTTCGTGAATGGATGGTACTGGAAAATTATTCACTGCAAGCGTTAGCGGCGAAATTTCCAGGTTCCGTTTTTTTTTTGGGGTGGCGTCTCTGGATTAATTAAAGGATTCATGCGTTACTCGAACCTCCTCAAGATGTGTTATTGGTTGTTAATTCATTTGATATGGTCTAAAGTTGAGGAAATATTGTTATGTTATTAATTCGGCTTCTCTAAATTTATCCCTTAGTAAACTCATCACCCACCCCTCAACTCCCTACCCTAACTCCCCTCCCCCGACCAAGTGACTTGCCCGACACCACCACCACCCCCCCCTCCCTCCAAACACCACCACAACTACCACTAACCACCACCACCACCGCCAACCACAACTACCACCAACTACCACCATCGCTCCTACCACCCTCATCTCCACCACCACAACCCCCCTCCCAACCCAGTAACCAGACAAGTGTGTTTTAATCATCAAAAGCAACAATGACAAAGACAGTGGTGTGGCGACCTGTTGTGTCAAGTTGTCTGCATGACTGCTATTGTTTTCCCTTCCTCTTCCCCTTCCTTCCTCTTCCATTTACCCTTTCTTTTTGTTCTTGTTCCTCGATATCCTCCTCCTTCCCTTTTACTTCCCCCTTCTTCTCTCACTCTCCCTTCCCCTCCCACTTCCCCCATCCCCCCTCTCCTCTTACCCGCCCTGCCCCCCCTCCCCCGGCGAATGGGAGACGCAAGAAGGACAGACTAACTGATAGACGAACTGACAAAGAAGACAGACAGATAAAAGGGGACAAAAAATTACAATACCCCACTTTAGCTGCGGGGTGGCGGCGTCGGTGGGGTGGTGGAGGTCCCTAGGGGGTGGGGGGGTGGGGGGGTAAGTCACTCCGGTGCCTCAAGTTTAAATGAAGACGCTGATTGGCTGAAGCTCTGGAAGTCAAAGTTCATTGTCAGTGTTGTGTCACAGGGTAGCGAGTGGGTGGGATGGGTGGGTGTTGGATGGGTGGCTTGGGTAAAGGATGAAAGAGTGGGAAGGGTGGGATAAGAGGTGAGGCTATTTTTAGGGTAGTGGGTGGGTTTGGGTGGGTGGGTGGGTTTGGGTGGGTGGGTGGGTGGAGTGGGTGAGAGGTGGGTAGGCGATGGATGGGTCTCTTGGGCAAAAGATGGAAGGATGGAGGTTGGGTGATGAGGAAAGTTTAGGGTGGTGTCTGGTTGGCAGGCTGATGGAGGGTGGGGTAGGGGTTGATGAGGGAGGAAGAGGGAGGGGGGGAGAAAGAGAGGAGGGTGGAAGAGAGGAGGGTGGAAGAGAGGAGGGAGAAAGAGAGGGTAGGTTTGAGGAGGTAGGAAGAGAGGAAGATGGGTGTCATTAGGGCTAAGGGTGGTATAAGATGTGGGCGGGTGAGTGGGTGTCACATAGGTGGGTTGGTGGGTGACTGGGGTGTGTCACCAGGAGGGGCAGGAGAGAGAGAGTGTGGTGTGTGTGTGTGTGTGAGGGGCGAGGAAGGGGATGACCACGCTCACGCCCACGACAGCAGTGCGGGTGGCAGGTGGAGTGTACTGGTAATCAGGGTTTACGACCGCCTGCAGCCAATCACCGATACAACCCTTAATGACTGATTGTTTTGGTGCGTCACGGCAAAGACCAGACCCCCTCCTCCCTCCCTTCCTCCTCCTTCCCCCTTCCCTCCCTCCCTCCTTACCTCCCTCCCTCCCCCCTGTTTTATACCACAATGATATTAAGAAGGCGGGGAAAAATGAAATAAAAACTGAAGAATCTAAGAAAAGTCCTTCTCCTTCTCCTCCTTCTCATCTTCCTTCTCCCCCTTTCCCTTCCCCTCACCCCCATCCTTACCTTCCTT